CTAATAAAGTATATTATTTTAATAATACTCTAATAGCTTCTATTATTTCTCTAAATACTCTAGATATATAAAGATAGTCTAAGCGTTCTACTAAGCTTTTCGCTAGATAGTAGTTATATATTCTTTCTCTAGCTTAAGATAAGTCTTCTTAGAATAAACCTTCTTATCTAGAAATATTATTTACTAGCCCTAATAAAAAGAAAGAAGACTTATAAGATAACTCGCTTAAAGTCTTAATTCTATACTTACTTACTAAATAACCCTAATAAATATACTCTAAATACTTATTAGACTTTATAAATACGACTCTATAAGTTAAACTATATTTCTTATAAAATAAGTAAGGGAAAGGTATTTTATTACCTTTATAATTAATTAAGATAGATAAAGTAACTCTCTATTTTACTAGATTAGACTTAGAAAACTTAACTAATTTCGTAACTCTAGATATAATAGAAGAAAAGAGAGAAGAGCTCCTTACTAAAGAAAGTTAGAATAACTATCTACTTATAAGTAACTATAGAAGTACTTTAGGACAAAGTACCTTAGAAGAGGTATTATATAATAAATTACTAGTTATAACTATAGAAGAATATATAGACTCTAGTATAAGTAGTATAAGAGATAGTATAATATATAGAAGGGGTATCTATAATAGTATAGATAGCCTTAGATAATAATCTAAAGCTAAAATAGGTAACTATAGAGAGAGCTAATTATAGATACTTAGAATAGATATTCTAAGTAGTATACTAAGTAATTAGAAATAGAATATTAGTATTCTAAATAATATACTAGATACTTAGAATAAGTATTCTAAGTAAAGGACCTTAGTAGAACTATATAGACCCTTTAAATCTAACCTCTAGAGATAGTTCTATAGTAATTAATTTAAACTTATACTAATATAATTAGCCAGGTGGCGTAGTAGTAGTATACTACGTTACTAGAAGCGTTTGTTATCTAACGTCGTGGGTTCGAATCCTATAACGGCCACCTTTTTATACACTAGTTTTCGCACGCTCTATTAAAAAGTATACGGGGCTAAGCGAGCACGTGATGTAAAGGTTACCATTATATAACTACTTAGTCCTAAGCGACCATTAGGTAATGTAAAAATAACTATACTATTATTATATAATAAGAATTACCTAATATAGCTATCTACTAAGCTACCTTAAGTAGTAGAGCGACGCCTAGAGCGGCTAGACCCATAACTAGCTTAGCTCGAATCATAGAATTTTTACTATATACCGGGGCCTTATCTACCCTAATCCGGCTTAGCTCGTGCTTACTCCGGCTCGGTAACTATAAAATAGACGGTAATACCTAATTAAGTATCCCGCCCACCTATAGACGATTATATAGCCCCAAAGAATAATTTCCGAATTCGGCCTAGCTAGGGTTAGTACTAAGGCATGGACCTATTAGATATATACCCCCTCCGGTATTAGTTATCTTAATTAATAACTACTACCCGGCGTAAAGCTATATTCCTATAGATAGGAAAAAACACGGTAACATAGGAATAAAAGACTAGGCCTAGCCTAGCGACCTACCTAATCATAAGAAAGGTAATACCTACTATAGTTAGTTAGGGCGTTATTAAGAGCCGGTACTAATATAGTAATAAAAGCCTAATATAAGGATAAGAAGTAAGTTTGTTACCTAATGGGATTCGAGGACTTAGACTAGGCTAGGTTAGATTAGTAATAGGGTCTAGTTAGGGAGCTAATTATAGGAGGTTTTCTTATATATATAGTAGCTAATACTAGAGGAGGCCTGAGCCTATGGAGCATATATATGGCTATATATATAGTTCTTCCTAGTTAAACACTAATATTATTATTATTATAGTTCTATTTTTTATAGAGTAATAGAGGTTATTTACTAGCTATTAAAATATTTCTTTTCTTTAGATACTAATCTATACTATCTTTTTTTAACTTATATATAAAGTAGAGGTTATTAGTATAACTAGTCTATAATATAGCTATATAAGGTACTTCTTCTTTTTCTATAGTAAAGTTTCCTTATCTTAGTACCGGGTCCTTAATCTAATTTTTCTTGTTTTTATTTTTCGAGTATTTATAGGTATAGTATCTCTTTTCCTTATAGTAGAGATACTTACCTTCCTTCTTTAGTTACTCCCTTTCTTTATTAGATAGATATTTTATCTATAAGGTACTAAGTTCTATTAGTATAGGTCTATTATAGAATTCCTTATATAGATAGTTTAGAGCCTTATTAATATAGCCCTTCCTAGTATCTTATTTAAGTATAGATTAAAAGATCTTTTCTCTTCTTTTCTTATAGTATCTCTTATATAGTTAGTTATTAATCTAGACTATAAGCTTAATATACTCTTAGAGGTTAGTAGAATAGTCTCTCTCTCTAGAGATTTTATTCTTAATATTATTATATAGTCCGGTATAGAACTAGAGAATTAGAGGTTTATTATTCTATTCTAACTAACTAGAGATTTATTAGAATTTAGAGGTATAGTTAGATATAGATTTTATCTAGACTATTTACTAGATCTATCTCTTAGCTATTCTTTACTTATCTATATCTCTAAAGGTTATCTTAATATATTCCTTAAATTCTTTAAAATATTTAAAGACCTTAGTAGTATTATTCTATTAATTCTATAGATTATTTTCTATAAAGTCCCTTAAGTAGAGTTTAAACTAAGTAAGTATATCTCCCTTTAGTAGTCTAGTAGTAAATATAACTTATTCTTCTAGGTTCTAAATTTAATAGGCCTAAAGATATATTCTAATCTATATTAGAAATCCTTAGAGTTCGCTTTACTTACCTTTAAAAGGTTCTAGGATTTTTCTTTTAAAGCCCTCTTTAGCTTTTCTAAGTTTAATATTTTCTCTCTAGAGCTTCGTAACTTACTCCCCTAGTTTAATAATAAGATATCTAACTTACTCTATAGTTAGTACTTATAGGGCGGTTTATAAAGATAAGGATTATCTATTATTTACTATTTTATATTTAAATAGATAGTATAAATACTTATTTTAGAGTCTAAGTAGAGTAATTAAACTATAATAAACCTTCCTAGATAAGGATATAGTCTATCCCTTAAGTAGTCTATTATATAGAGTATTCCGGCTTTCCTTAAGGTAAAGGTACTTAGAAGGCTTAGAGGAGTATAAGTAGGTTTATAGTAAGTATTAATAGAGTATAAATAGTAACTAGCTAGTAGGCGAGTAAAGTAGTAATTATATTAGTATAAGTTTAAATTAATTACTATAGAACTATCTCTAGAGGTCGGGTCTAAAGAGTCTATATAGTTCTACTAAGGTCCTCTAATTAGAATACTTATTCTAAGTATTTAGTATATTACTTAGAATACCGATATTCTATTTCTAATTATCTAGTAGGCTACTTAGAATACCTATTCTAAGTATCTATAATTAGCTCTCCCTATAGGTGTCTACCTTAGCCTTAGGTTATTACTTAAGGCTATCTATTATATTATAGGCCCCTCTTCTATATATTATACTATTCCTTACGCTACTCGTACTAGAGTCTACGTATCTTTCTATGGCTCTAGCTAGTAATTCATTATACTTCCTTAGATATAGCTATACTAATATCTTATAGAATAACTCTACTAATAGCTTATCTTTAGTTATATCTTAGATACTATTAATAATATTATTTATCTATAGCTCTAAGATAGTCTTATCTATCTTATAATAAAGTATACTATTAGATAAGATAACCTTATAGTACTAGCCTTAGTAGTTTAAATAGATTATCTTATTATACTATAGCTTACTCTATATATTATTAATAATAACTTCTTAATTATATTCTTACTATCTTTAATTCTCTTAAGATTTAACTAGCTATTTTATACGTTCTTTAAGATTTAGATCTACTAGTAATAATACTATACTAGTAGATACTATACTAGTAAGTAGTAATAGTATAGAGGACTTCGGATTTAATAAGATAGTCTTCTTATACCCTAGAGACTAGTAACTCTAATAATAGATAGTATCCTTAAATATAATAAATATAGCCTTAAGTAGATTCTTTTTATAAAACTATAGACCTTATTAATAAAGCTAAGTATCTTATTCTAGTTAAATATACTCTAATCTAGTATACTTAACTATTTTCTAGGACGTCTATTAATTCTAAGCTTTATAGTAAAGCTTCTAGCCTTAAATAGCTAATTATCTATAGCTAGAGACTTATTAATAAGTCTCTAAATCTCTTCCTTATACTTCTCTTTCTTAAACTTATACTAAGTAACTATCTCTAAGAATCTTATCCTAATAATCTTACTAAATCTATCTACTCTTAACTACTAATTAATATAGATAGACTAGATTACTCTATTAAGGGCTATATTCTTATTCTTATTCTTCTTAACTTTAACTATCTCTTTATTATCTATAGTATTATTAATAGTTTTATTAGATATAGTACTTAGTAAGATTAGAGAAGGGCTTAATAGAGTTATAGATTTAGTAATAGGGCGCGCTAGAGATATATTTTTATACCTTACTACTATCTTTATAGCCCTTAATACCTTCTCTATATTATTCTAGAGCGTCTTTAATATAGATATATATAGCTATAGTCTAGCTAGTAGTAGTAGAGGTTCTATTAAGTTATTATAACCGAATTAGACGCCTTTACACGACTTAGAAGGTATAATAGATATTATAAAATACTTAAAAAAACACTAATATATAGCTAATATAGTATAAAACTAATATATAGTAGTATTTTTATAAATATATGTGGTAATTATTAAAAATATTATAAAATATCGTATATACTGTAAAACGTGTGCGTGCGACATGAGCGTGCACCGACTGCCAAGCTTTCTCATGTAACTATGGATAAACGGATCCGGCCGGCACCCTCTAAATCTCACTCCGAGACTATCCAACTAACTTTTGTAGCTTTCAATATAAAGGCTAATTACGAAACCTGTCAACTGCGGCAATCTACTGAAGCTCTACAATATGATACCGTTGATCGCTCTCGAAGAACATTTCCTCTCCCAGGAGATGATTAACACCGCTGAAGGAATGTACTCGGAACAGCTCAAATGGCTCGACGGCGTCCGAGACAAATTGGACGATATTGGACCGCTGCGCATATCTGAGATGGATAAGGGCGGTGTCACCATGCAGATTGTTTCTCATGCCCCGATAGCGGATGCTTCGACCGTTGCGCTGTGTACCGCTGCAAACAAGCAGCTTTACGAAGCAGTCCAAGCTAATCCGGATCGCTTCGCTGGCTTTGCAGTGCTGCCAATGGCAGATCCAGTAGGTGCTGCGGGTGAGCTAAGGAGATGTGTCAAAGAGTTTGGTTTTGTGGGCACGTTAATTGACAATCATGTCAATGGTCAACATTACGAAGGCGATGAGTACTTGAAGTTCTGGAAAACCGCAGAGGAGCTTGATGTTCCTGTGAGCTAATATTGTGTGTGTGCTTGAGTGAAGTCTGATGAATTTAGGTCTATCTGCATCCGACTTGGCCATCGGAAGATATGGTTCCACGTTACGAAGGTAACTTCTCCACTGGGGCAGCACTCAGCATAGGTAGTTCTGGCTTCGGCTGGCACGCGGACACACAACTGCACGTGTTGAAACTTTTTGCTTCGGGCCTTTTCGACAAGTGCCCAAAGCTCAAGCTTATTATCGGACACATGGGGGAGATGATACCTTTTCAGCTAGAGCGCATCACCTATATATCTAGTCGCTGGGGCAATCGCAAGAGGAGCTTCCAAGAGGTCTACGACAATAACATCTGGATCACGACAAGCGGTGTTTGGAGCTTGAGTCCTATGGCATGTATATTGCGGAACACCAAGATCGATAAGATCCTGTTTAGCATCGACTATCCATTCGCGCAGAATATCTGGGGTCTTAAATTCATGGAAGATCTTGAGAGTAGTGGGATGGTGACCAAAGAGCAATTTGAGATGATTGGATATAAAAATGCAGAAAATCTTCTCAAGGTGAAAGTGGCGGGCATCAGATAGCGACGACGCCTGATCCGATCCTTACAATAGGTTTTGTAGTATTCGGTCTAGTGGATGGGATGATATAATGATAGCTAACGGGCCTAACCCTTATTTATTTAAAGAGCTGGAGCGTTCATTCCGGTCATCTGTCATTACGTCGAGCCCGGATCCCAATATGTAAGTCGAAAGGTTCGACGGTTTTGCGATCTCGACTCGTCGCCTTGTCCTCCTCTAGAGTGAGTCGATTTAAACTGACAGACTCTGACACGAACTGAAAGCGATTTTCCAATATGTTCTGACTCATGGGTGCGGCAGAAACCCCGAGCTCCTCGTCGCACGCATCGGCGAAATCACAGCACCACTTGGCGAGCATTGTGGCATACCGGTTTTTCCAATATGTGGGATGGACGACCAGGCTCTCCAGCTTCATCATGCCTTCAATCTTGCTAGATATGGATTAGGTTACGTTCTGACGGGCCAAAATGTGCAAGTAGTGTCTCACCTTTTCTTGATCTTTGTTACCTCATTGTATATCTGTATACTTTCCTGGCTCTCATCTCTTCTCAGGCTTTTGGTCGGCCTTTTGAACCTAATCGGTGGTATCGTGGCTTGGTATCGTAAGCGGCTGGCCGGATCATGATGTAACTTCACTCACATGTGAAGTACTCGGACGATTTGTTATGAGCGTTGTGACATCTGGGTACTTTTACTGAAGCGATACCTGCGATGACGGTCTCCCTTATCCTAGGTATGTGTCCTGGATGCTGATTGTAGTAGGTTTCGATAGCTCTATCGCCAGCAAGATTTTCGTGCTTGTGCTCACGATCGACTGCTCCTGTCTCGATTACAAGGACGATATGATCACCGTCAGTAATCTGTTGGTAGAACCAACACTTGTAGCTACTTATTGTGTCCATTATAGTTGCGGGACCATAATAGGGTCGCTCGTATTTGAACACGGCAGAATTCGAAAAGCCAGCAGTGGCGACCAAGGCTATTCTATCCAGATCATGAAGGTTAGCTTTCCGAATCTGAGCCTTCGTTTGATTGATCTTCCCGGCAGAGACGTCTTGAGGAAGCGCGGGAAGCAGTGGCGCAGTAGGATTCACAGAAGGCTGACATATCGCAGTAGAATCAGACATTCCAACAAGCCACAAAAAACGAGAGCACGTAGAAGCCTTGCCCCAGACTTGGCTGCCTTTCGCGGCAGCCGTCTCTAACATGGAAGGAGTGCTCATGTTGTCCATCTCGAGGGTGCAAACAAAGGAAAGCCTTCACAAATCCGAACAGAAACCCAAAGTTGAAGCCGTATTAAGTATCATTCCACGAGAGGAGGTACGCCAATATACGTAAAGCTATGCCCTGGCGAGCTCCTCAACTTATATATGATGCATAATTTGCATAGCCTGATCGCTCAAGGCAGTACTAAAAAGCCTCCTGACGGGGTTAAGACATGATGGAGCAGATGATAGGTCGCATGAAGATTAGTATAGGGCGCAGTCCTATACACCAGGGACGAAGAAAATAAACGTCTCACTAACGTTACTGTGTACAAAGCAGGCGCATAGTAGAGCGATCAGATTGCATGGAACATGAGTGTAGTGGAATATAGGTACCCAGTGGGACGACGCTAGGAGGGGCGTGGCTCTAGGTGCTTACCCGATCTGGACATTGTGGCTTCGTTGACCGATCAAGTAAGTTGTTCGAACAGCTGAGCCAATATTACCTCAGACCTCATCTACATAATTAGTCAGGACAGGCAGTGTCCACGCCGAATTTCCTCCTACTATTCTTTTTTAGGCGACTTTCTGGCCAGAGCGTACTGTGACTGTGCCAGATTCGACGTAAGCGCAGCCTTTCTAACACCCGTGGGCTGTATTTGGCCGTGGCACACATTGTGCGAGAGGCCTGTCGCTTACCTTCAGTGAGGCTGAGGGAAGAAGGCAACGGGTTCTAGAAAGTCAGCAGCGCTGGCAGCGCCCTCGATGTGCAGCTCAAAGATAATTTTATCTTCGACCTGACAAGCACACAACGACCAAAATTCCTGATATAACAGACGCGGGTCTCGCATGAACAGGCACAGCACGCTACCTCAACGCTATTTCTCCGGTCATGACCGATCAGGGTGCAGCCAGTCCGGACGAGGAAATATCGTGGAGCATGGTACAAGGACAGGGCAGCTCGTGGAACTACTCCGGTACCTATATGGGTACATGGGTACCGGTGTCCTCATACTCGCCTAGTCAAGCCTTCTTGCCATCCTACACCACACGCGAGCACGAGTGGGAAGCCAGTCTACCTGTAACTTCTGATGCAACATACACCTCTGCAACAGATGCGAACCTTCGAGGTCATGATTATACCGGCTCTGTTTCATTACCCATAAGAGGGCATGAATCAAGCAATTCAGAACCTTCACATTCTGGGGATCCTCTCGACTCCGTAGCTTGGGATAGTAGAGTCGTGGTCGAAAGACAGGCCTACCATTCACCCAGCTCGACCCTTTGTTTTGGTGATGGCCAACAGAGTAGACTGCTGGTTCGCTCCAATTCCGTTACTCATGGGTATCACCAACATAATGTCCGTGATGGCGCTTTTCTTGTTCACAGTCATACAGTCGATAGGCAAGGCCAGTATGTTGACAGTCTAATGGTGTGATTAGAGATAATCCTGACGATAGCCTACGCAGACTCACAATGACGACAGAGGTAGGCCATGTCGATCATGGCGCTCCGCAAAATTACAGCTCCACATATACGTCAATGACGCCTAGCTTCGTAAGCGTTGGCAACAGCGAGCCTTACGCTCCGTTCAATATGGACGAGACTCAGTCTGGTATCAACTTTCAAACCATCACCGGGATTCAGCAAAGCCACTATCAGCCCCTTGTCGCTGGACCGGTCCCTTCGTCAAGCTCGTGGCAGAACATCAGCTCCCCACATGATTCTCCATATGGAACAGAGGAGCTTGTAATCGATAGCCCACCTAGCAACGAAAACCGCTCACCTTCTATATCTGCCGAAGCGGGACTAGCTCATGATTCTAAAGTTGAGCAGGCCGAAGAACCTGCTGAACCTCAACCACTGAAAGGGGATCCTCGGTATCAGAATGGGCCAAGTCGCAGTAGTGCTCACTTTAAAAAACGTCAACCAAAGAGCAAGGTGTCGAAGAGACAGGGCAAGTTGACTGATGAAGGGCGAGCCAAAGCTGCTGAAATGCGAAAGACCGGGCGCTGTCTACGTTGCAAGATGTATAAGCTTGGGGTAAGTATGTTTTTGTCAGATTTGTATTACTCTCGAACGTCCTCTTTCCAATGCTAGACGTCACAAGACCTCCCTGCCTAAGAGATGTTTATAGATTTTCATGGTGATTAGAGAGTTCTGGTTCGACTCCCAGCTGGTCGTCACTTTTCGTCTGTAGAAGGCATCCTTCGAGCATGTACTCACATATTCGTAGTGCGATGGAAATAATCCATGCCAACGATGCACTAAAGTTGCTGGATCAGCTCGTAGCTTTTTGGAGCCATGCACAAGAGCAGATTTAGCGGATCATAGCATGATCAGGCATTGTAAGTCATATCTGTGTGAGACTCAATACTAGGTTAATAACGTAAGTTGTAGGCAATGCCAGGTTTCGGCAACAGAATGCTGAATTTATACGCTATAATTTCATTCGTGTAGACGAGCCTCTACCTACCGTGGAAGTGCATTGGTTTCTTCCTGGAAATGTCCAAGTCCACGGACACCATGTAACTGTACAATATGGTCAATATAATGTCGACAAAACGCTCGCAATGGATACTACTACGTACCACATCAGTGGACGGCAGCCAATCACCACACAGCCATTTGCCATCTACAATACCTCGAAGCTCGTAGACGATATGAGTAGACTGATTCAGGCTGCGCAACCCAGCGTTGAGAAATGGATCGTTTCACAATACCGGGATGATCCTTTGAATCACCTCACTTTCCTTGAAGCTTGCCGCTATAGAGACAAGTCAGGTTCAAGGATTGTCGCACTGGCTCTCCGTATACAATGCGGTGCGATCATGTCTCAAGGGTATGGCTCGGTTTTTGGGGGTGACCCAACGCAGTTTCGACGAGTAGACTACATCAGCTCAAGTCCTTCCGATTATGAGTCATACAACCGAGGAATGGATACACCATTGCCTCAGGCTATGGGACATCAGTTCGATGTTGCTATCCTAAAGTACATTAACGAGCTCCAAGTTGAGCTCGTAAAGGGACTGAAGAGCAAGATATTCGGATCCGGAGCGAAGCCTTGGTATGAAATATTTTTGACATGTTTTGTTCTTCTTTCCAATCTCGAGTACATCCATGATGGTGCCAGCACATACGCTCGATCTAAGATGAAAACGGTAAGTAGTAACGCGTCAATTCATACATGAATCCTGTTCTGAGTAATCGTTCGTAGGCTCTCGAGAGTCAGGTCACCTTCGTCATAAAAACACAAATTGACAAATGGAAACTATCCGCGCGTATCCTGCTTCAGCATTTTCGCTGCGTCTTAAAGGGTTTTGTACCTTTTCACATCGCCAGACAACAGTTACCACAGGTCAAAAAGGAAGCGAAGCTAGATGGTGAAGCCACTCTCTACATACAACAGGCATTACAACTACTTGATAAACAGGGTATAAGCGTCTTCATCCTCGGTAATCAAGGTTCATTGCTAACGCAGAAAAGCTGCTTACTATACCGACCTCGATGGTTCTCGCACAGGCGGCGCTTCCCAGAAAGGGCGATGGATTCATCAACTTTTCACACAAAGCTACCGCCAAACTTGAATTCTGCCGGGCTTATAGTTGCCAAGTGGTTGTGTGTCAATGTTTTAAGTTGGGAAACTAGAGGATACGTACACATCTTCCGTACAAATAACTACTCCGAGCGAGTCTCACTTTTATGAGCCTTGCAATCACTTGTAACACTGCAAAGAAGCCGAGAGATTTGGCCTGAGGGCAGTTGGATGCAAAAGTTGTGCTTTTCGGGCAAGAGGACCCATATCGAAGTGTCGTACCACATGATCGTGAAACGGCTGGGAAGCTGTTATGAGTCGTCTCTATAATCAAGAAATAGCAATCTGAACGTTGGACGCACCCTATAGACCACGAAACCCTCAGGTATACCACTACGTACGAAAAAGCTTTAGGGGTCAACCCTAGTCAAGAGATGTCTAGTTTTTCCACCACGAGACCCTCACTTTGACAGGATCTAAGAATATCATATGGTTCCCGACAACACACAGTCCATAACGTCGAAACCCCCTAACACCTAAGTTACTACCTCGTCAGGGGGAGAATGTCCCAATCAATCAGCCGTGGCTATCTCGACCACTGATTTTTCTCCATGGATCAGCATCAAATATCGGGATGTTTTGTTCTCGATCTTTTGTAAAACAACCTTCGAACTTCTGACAATAGCCTGGAGGTTTCACCCATGCCCTTTGAGGGTCCCGAAGGAACATCCTCAGGAGGTGACGTTGGCTAGGACCTTCTGCTTTAGATCCATACGCCGATCTAGCATGCATTACACTAAGATTATGAATGTATTGTATGTCGCCTTCTTGCCGATCCAGCTTGATTTTGCGATGCGAAGCGATTTTTTCCACAACTTGAAGCGCATACAACTGCTTCTCTGAAAGCTTTGGCATAGCACACGATCTTGGTATCTTGGGGCTTCCAAGGAGTGGAGCTCGCACCAACTGACAAATTGGTCTGCCTCTGCTAAACCAAAGGACAGGTCCTGGCTCAAGGTAGGGCAATTCCGTCTTCCTGAATGCAGCGTTCAGCTAATGAAATGATATGTAGTTATCTTACTTACGAGTCCTTCATCTCAAATGGCCAGTTATCTACCGACAGAGTGTCCAATACCTCTGGATCAGTGGCTAGAATCTCGTTGTACACGGCGCCAAAGCTCGCAAGAAACTGGTCTCCACCGTTGTTCTCGCCCCCTGTGTTGCGCACATATAAAGCTAAGACGTCTCCAGAATAGCGATCTGCGTGAAACTCCTTTTGAATGTCAGCAATGTGAAGTCCACCCACCGAGAATTTGGCAAAGCAGATGATCAGCTTACCATAGCTGTCGGAAGTTTTGACCCGGCAAGACCAATGTGCTCAGCTCCTTCCAGAACTTTATCTCGAGTGGCATCACGAATATGACCTATGACTAGCATCAGTCGCTATTTGTCCTGGGTAGACATAGTAATGCTAACTCAGGGTTTGATTCGCGAAGCCATCTGTGGCTCGTTCCGGACAAACATGGGAGGACACCCCAACAAATGCCAATACACTCTCTTCGTCGTTGAATCGTGCCTCATTCAAGCCTCTGACTACGGAGAGTCCAGGACCGTCATGGATGTGTTCGCTACAATTGCGAAGTTTTCTTGCGAGTTCGAGTGGAAGATGAAACGTGCTTGGACTCAAGTCGCTCCGGGGTCGTCCACTCACTGCGATGTAGACTGGTCAGTAAAACGCCCCGAACATATTATTTAGCTGATGCTTGGCGGACAAGTATCTCTCCTGCCGGTTTTGACCATGAGAGGTGCGGTTATCTAATGATGAAAAGGTTTCCAACGTCCCAGAATTTCTTATCATACTTACATTTGAAGCTCACTACGGCGTGGCGAACTGCTTGGACTTCTTCCTTCGATAACTTGAAAACGTAATCCTCCGGTGTCAAGGTGCTTCCATCCCAGACTCTAGGGCTAATAGATGCCGGAGCGAAGCCACTGATCTCCGAGATCGTCGTTTCTGACGAGCGGAAGGAGCTGATACTCTCTAAAGAAGGAGTCCTAGTGAGAAGTGAAGATGGCATAGCGAACATGTTTGCTGAATACATGCAGGGGTACTGAATTGGTGATTCGGCGGTGCGTCCAATACCCAACAGTGAGGAGATGCTTCTTCTTATACGTGAGAAGCCGTCCCTGACGAATGACTCTTTGTCCAGCCAGCTCATCGAGATGAGCAGAGCCTCGTGCCAGACCATCTAAGGCCCAACACATATCACCACTATGTACGAATACAGCTCGTGCGTGTAACCTCTCACATGCAATGATTGCTATCAGCTGATGAGTTTTGAGGCTCTGCAAGTGTCCAAGCATGTATTTTCCGTTAAGAATAGAAGGCAAACTCTAGCCTCAGTTAGCCATTCGGTGATAGCGGCTCTTCAGACTCATCCCACGTCGGATTCGACGAGCCGCGTCACCTTCAGCGCATTACCAGCGATAGGCGTGTCATGATTTGGGGTCCACATTCGAAATTGCGAAAACCAGTCGGACTGGTAGACAAAAGGTGGGATTTGGCGCTCTGGTCGGCTTGAGATTAGACCAATGGACAAGATGACAGGTTTGCAGGTGGTACCCACCTGGACACTTAGACTCTCCTCCTTACCGTAGTGTTGAAGTATGACTGGAAGGAGCATTCCAGTTTTGGGATGCTATGCCGCAGGGCCGCATTACACTTCCACAGAATTGGGTCAGTCCTCCCGTCGGGCGCACTGCCATGTCAGGCAGACTCTAATGTGGAATTGCATGATGAAAGAGACATTGTAGCTGAGCAGTTGACGGAGTAGAGCTGTAGCATTGCAAGTCGTCAACAAACTCACTAACGATTTTTGGACACAATTGAGAATACAGGCTTCCCCTGCTACAATGTCTACGTGTCGCAGTTCTGAGTCGATTGAGGCTCATATGCCCATATTTGGCAATGTGGTTGCTGAGAGGACCTTTGGCTTGTGTCACAAATATCGTAGATCTTAACCGGTCAGTCTTGAGAATCCATCTCCCATGCCCGGCATATGGACATATCAGCCACACAATCATATGGCTTCAAGCTGAGCGTCAACGGTTTACCGTCTGACGCTGAAACCTCATCTGCGGTATGAATATCCCCCGGCCTATTATACGACAACATGGATCTCTTAGCAGTCACAACCCGTGCTACAGGGAAGAGTCGCCCAGGTTCACAATCTTCAAGAAAAATAGGCAACCATCATGGAAAACCCGCATAGCGTAATGACGGTGTGAAGAGCGCTTACCCCGACAAAATTCTCCTAGTAGTATGACTCTTGACTTGCATAGACATTGGAATCGGAACCTCAAGAATTGGCTGTTCACAATAGGTCTCTCGAATAACATCAAGTTAAGAGACCGACCAGAGCGGGAACCTCATCAGCCGCAGTCCTCACCGATCAGCTTTGGCCTGTGTGATTGGCTTCTTGCCCGCATGCTGTTCACATATGATCTGACCCGAAAACCGGGCTATTATAATGATTTTCGTTGTTGCCTTGTACTTCTTTCACCGGTCGACTCGACCTTTGACCGCTCAGACGCCCCGGTTACTCAGCCCGCCAAGCCTTGCAGAGCCTAGACAGAGAGCCGCAAGACGACAGCTAGGGGCCGCTCGCCCACTTCTGACGCTGTCGTTCATCTTGTGTACGCTGCTATGAGGCATCCCTGGGCTGACCATCGCCTCCCTGCACCGTCGCTGGTATATATCTTAGCCTGGACTTGGAAATAGTCGTCTTATAGTCCTAAATTCAAGAGTAGCGCTCGCCTCATTCGACACTTACCTACACACACACTTTACCAATCCGTCTCAGACGTGTTCTCACGACGCCCGCGACCCCTGACTCGACTCCTGTACGTCGCCTGCACTCACATAATTGCACTGCCGCGGGCTCGTCTAATGGGCTCCTATCACGCTCGTCTGGTAGTAACTCCAAATGTGCATCACATCGCGTGGCATCGCGCCGTGCCGCTGGGCCGATCCGTTATCCGTCCCTCTGGGTCCCAATGGATGCTAACAGGCACAGAACTGGCGCGCATGGGTCATCTCGTGAATACAGCGTAGTGCAGGTACCGAGACAAGGCTCGTGATATATCTTGCGACTGACTTACTTGAGAAGAGGCATGTGTTGGTATGGGTCGCTTTGTCGGTACAGATGCGACACAGTGATAATGGTACAGTCGCGGAAAGCAGAATCCTTGGGCCGGACGTAGTCATGATGGTGTGGCTGGCCAGATAGATTTTGGCGTGGATCTGTACGGAATACTGTCTGGAATGCGTGTGTACGTGAGGAGTCAATCCATCGGGAACTCAGCGTCATCGAAGCTACTTGCCATGCAAATGCTTGTCTCACGGGCTACCACAGAGCACTACTATCAAAGGCTCATTACATGCTTGTCTTGGCTATGAGAGGAACTATACGATGCATGTTGTACTCACCTTGTGAATAGATAGACGCAGTAGTACTGTTCTATTGTCATACATTAAGGTTCTGCATCGATGCGTGCTCACATCCGTGAGCTGCATGCTGTAGGTTGTGATGAAGACCTGTGCTTGAGAGTTTCAGAGTGTGTTGTAAAGCGCGTTTATTCAGAGTCACATATATGTATATATAACGATATGCAAATTGACTTTTTGTCCGTTCATTTCCGTTGTTTGATCATTACGTCGTCAGATATGACTGTTTCTTAAGTTCAGTCTCTCACACTTATCCTTACTCTAGGACTTTCTGCGCCTCCGTTGCTACCTCAACATATTTTCCTGGGCATTTCTTCTGCGCGCTCGTATTGTCTTGCGTTGGTTTTAAATTTGCTATTGCATATATCTTTTATAATTTTTTTGATGTGGTTTTCCGGTGACTGTGAGCTTCATTCGCTTCGTAAACCTTTGAATTTCTCCGTACTTTACATAATCAAAAGCTTGCCTCAAGAGTTTTGGCCCGTAATGTACCGCGCTTATATCACTCTACATTGTGAACTGGTTTACCAGTGGTAGCTCCATCGATGAGCCAAAAAATGATACGAAAATACAGCACAGTAACAAAGACGCACATGGCCTACTGAGTTAATCTACCAACTATCGATATGAATGAAGACGTTAGTGTCGCATCCTTGTTCTCGTACAATGGGGTATCATGTCTTGCTACACTTAGGCCAGGTATCGCATCACGTGGATTGTGGGACATCATCATAACTCTTTGCTTTTCCCCACCACCACCACCACAACCTAGGCGACCGCCTTGACACCATCAGTCTTTCTGCGCCTGAGCTTCGGCGGCGTAGGATTGCGCTTTGGAGACCGGGCGAATGTGACTGACCTACGTTCAGGTTCAGGAGCGAGACTGACGCTGTCGATGTCAATGACGTCTTGCGGAGAGTCCCCTGAATATATGGGGAGAAATATGTTGGCGGGGTCCGAAGTGGTATCGGAGGTACCACCGGTTCGATCCCGTTCAAGGTCGTTAAGTTTGGGAGTTGCATTATCTGGCTTTGTAGTAATGGTGTCTGGCTGAGTTGGTGGGACGGGTGTATTACGCGGGATGTGGAAGTTGGTTTTGAAAACAGGTTTGACGGAGGTGGCGACCTGGGTCCCTTTGAAAGAACTGGAGTTAGGCCATCGATTAACAAGCCGCAAGTAAAAACAGGGTGATGAGCAAGATAAGCCAGTGGGCATAGACCAGAACCATAACTGAAGTGAAGAATAGCTTTCAGGTACCTGTGCGGGGCTTCCCTTTCTGATGACAATCCGGACTATCATGGTGATCATGGTAGATACACGCATCGCCGCTCTCCGTGGGATCTTCAAAGAGCATACCACCGGAATCATTCTTAATAGTATTGACGAGCTCTACAGCGAATTCAGGATCATCTCGAAAGCAAGACAGGTAGGATGTGGCATCCTTGTTCGCATGAGGATCCATAATTTGTCTGGCAGCAATCTTGGTCATTAGGCGTCGAAATGGAGAGCCCTTTTTAGATTTGCGGTAGATGAAGTTGATTTCTTCAGCGTCGGGTACGAGTTCGGCTTCATACAGGCCCTGGCGGAATTGATCGATTGCTAGGTTCTTCAGTTGTGGCATGTCAAAACGATCACATATCAGCCAGAGGGCATGGCAAGCCACAGCATAGTCATACTGCTGGTATGGATCAGATATGTTAGAGACATCGTCAAGCTTTCCTTGGTATAACCACTTGACCAACAGCTCAAAACCGGATGGATCGTCGTCTGGCAGGTCTATGCTTGATTCGGGATCTTCGTTCTCACTGGTAGGTAGAAGCTCATGTGTAAGGTATTCGGAGTGATGGCAGAGGAGATTTCGGTGCAGCGACCAGTGTTTCTTGGAGTGACCAACATAGATATCGACCAAAGGACCGGAGAGGAGCCTGGCGCGGAGGGATTTAGCATTTGCTTGAACGCGGAGGTTCTGAGTGTAGATGCGATGAGCGAGGGTCGGTCGAGAGTGAGAATGTCTTCGAGTCGAATCGGACGAGGAGCGTCGCGAAGACGACTTGGAACCTTGCTCACTGTCGGAGCCAGATTCAGCACCCAACTCCTCCGCCACCAGGGCAGTTTTGTGTATTCTATCCAAAGGATCTAAAGGAGGAGTAGGTAGAGTAGTAACGGAGCCATTTACGTACGCTGCAAACGAGCCAGCAGGCGCGTCGCCGATGTCTGAGTTTGGCATTCGAGAGCGGTGAGGTTGGGAAGGATATGCGAAGTCGCGAAAGTAGATGAGACGATGTTGCCAGGCGGCCATACGAGGAGGCGGGAGGATGGTGGTTATATACGGAAAGGATCGAGGCGTGTGCAATCACATCGCATGCGTGGGTGGACTACGTGGGTAAGGTAAGGTCATGTTAGGTTAGCAGTAGGAACCTGAGAAGTGGCGGAGAAGACAACACACAGAACACGGAATATACAGAGCAGGAATGGCCATACCAGTGAATTAGCCTAATATTATTAGTCAACATAAGCCTAGTAGAGGGTGTCTCAGTGCTGAGTCGTGGGAACACAGCATGTTACATCAATAGTCAACGTTCATTAGTTCAAATGATGAGTGAATAGAAAAACCTTGGCATTGATTGGTTTGTTGAATGTTTTGTAAATGACGTCACTCTGGCACTCTAAACCACTTTTTTGCCCACTCCAGGTCTCGGTGTTGCAACAGCTGGAGCAAGGCAGCAAGGCAGCAAGGCAGCTTCTCAGTACACGTGCCGCGGTTGGCGGCGGCACTCGTTGGGACGCGGGACTAGGTAGAGCCGCCTCAGATGCCGACTGCTCTTTCGAACCGAGGCACTTGCGGGGAAAGCTCATACTTACCAGCAATCTCAACCTCTCTCTACATTCGACGCCGCTTCTGATTCTTCACAATACTCTAACTTGCCAGGCCTACACATCGTCTTCATTGCATCCTTGACTCACTCTCCTCAACATGGCCACCGAACGCCTGAGCTCCATCATCACCCACCTGAATCCTCTCAAGAGCGGTCTCTCAGCTCTGTAAGTCTCCTTGACACCATCACCAGAGCATGCGGGTACTATGGAGGACCAGCTGGCTAATTTGACCTTTACAGCACCACCAAGAATCCCGATGATATCGTTGTAACACTTGCTATCCGTACTCCCCTCGCCAAGGGTGGTAAGGGTGGTTTCAAGGATACCGTTCTCGAAGCTATTGTCGTCAAGCTGATGAAGGAAGTGAACAAGCGCTCTAACCTTGACCCGGCTCTCGTTGAAGATATCTGCCTTGGAAACGTAAGATGTACTGCCCCGGCGCAAACATGACATTGTCTCTAACATACCTGTGATCTATAGGTCTCAGATGCTAAAGCTGCATATTATTGCCGTGCCGCTTCCCTCGCCGCCGGGTTCCCTGTCACTACCTCCGCCTCCTCATGCAATCGCTTCTGCTCCTCCGGCCTGAAGGCCATTCAGGACATCGCCAACCAGATCAGCAACGGCAGCATTGACATTGGTCTTGCGATCGGTGCGGAGTCCATGACCACAGGTGGTGATCGTCTCGAGCGACCCTTTGACCCAGAGGTCCTCACCACGCAAGATGCAAAAGACTGCATGCTGCCCATGGGAGCTACCTCTGAGAACGTCGGCCGCGACTTCAACATCTCCCGTGAGATGCAAGATCGTTACGCAACTGAGTCCTACCGTAAAGCCGAAGTTGCCCAAAAGGCCGGCTGGTTCGACGATGAGATCGCCCCGATCCAAACACAGATCAAGGACCCCAAGACCGGTGAGATGCACACTGTGACTCTCACCAAGGATGAAGGTCCCCGTTATGGCACCACTTACGAGGGTCTCTCAAAGATTCGTCCCGCTTTCAAGGAATACGGTGACAAGTCTACAGGAGGTAACAGCTCACAAGTTACTGACGGCGCCGCCGCCGTGCTGCTCATGAAGCGCTCGCGTGCCCAAGAGCTCGGCCAACCAATCTTGGCCAAATTTTGTGGTGCCACCGTTGCCGGTCTGCCACCACGCATCATGGGTATCGGCCCATCTGTCGCCATTCCTAAACTACTTAAGAAATTTAACGTAACCCTCGACGATATCGATATTGTTGAGATCAATGAGGCATTCGCAAGTATGGCGGTATACTGCCAACAAACGCTCAATATCCCAGCAGAGAAGTTAAACCCCCGTGGGGGTGCAATTGCGCTTGGCCACCCGCTCGGCTGTACAGGAGCTCGTCAGGTTGTTACTGGATTGAGCGAGGCCAGGCGGACAAAAAAGAAGGTGCTCTTGACGAGCATGTGTATTGGTACGGGACAGGGCATGGCTGGCTTGTTCGTCAACGAGCAGTTGTAGACATTCGAATGACGCCTATGAAAATACATGATTTGGCATGCACACGTTTTCTAGATTTTGTACATAGAATACTACACTTTTCTGACAAAGCGTAGCTTGCGGATATCGTGGTTGTGATGGGTTAATCAAGGGTCGCCAAATTGGTGGGAAGGCTCTAGGTCGGCGAGACAAGTGAACCATGGTATAGCAAGGTAGAGCGAACAGTTCATTCCACAGATTTTGTATACCATTCCTCGTTACGTCATACACCCTGTTATCTATATATGACAGCTTGTTCCATAGAGGTCAGATGGCTTGATAGTGAAGGGTTGCATGCACAATATGAGTTCCCGGGGACTTGGGTGGCAGAACAGTATGGTTTCTTTTAAATGGCATGTCCTTCGGGAATTATTCCGGTGTGTTAAGAGTATAGATATATTGACTATTTGAGGAACAGAGAATATATATATAAAGGGTTCCTACAACGTGGAGAGCCCACACATACGTGTCAATACCCGCACGCAAGAAGAAATGCTAATTCTGGGGTATCAACATCCGCTTCCATAACCCCCCGAAAAACCCGAAGTTGTGTCGGCTAAATTATACTTCCACAGCTCCGCACATTTTTATATCCATCTCTCCAATCCAAGACTAAGTCGATCTCATACCAAAGCTGTGGATACTCTTATCGTCCAACCATATCTCGCATGTCTCTTCGATTGTCCCCAGGCTACCTATGTGATTCATGCTGCCCACACTCATCGTGCTACGTCCCCACTCCCAGTCTCTCTCTTCGCTAGTTTGTTTAATGCTCGTGACAACACTAATCTCGCCATCCTCCTCACTGGGCCGCATATTCGCACCAGCTCATTCGGCCGTCGCACAAGCCGTGATCTTAGCCTCGGCTAGGAGTTCGACGTCGCGGCCTGGAGGCCTAGCAAGCTCGGACAGCGAGTCGTTGTAGTAATGGGGATTATGGTGGTAGTAGTGCGACTCTCGATCGTGGCGGCCGGGGAAATGGGATAGGTAGTTTGAGATGTGCGAGGGCACGGGGCTGGGGCAGGATGGTGGGCCGAAAAGATCAGGAAAGAAACGGATTGTGAGGGAGCGTAGGGAGAGTGTGGAGGAAAGGATTATGCCGAGGGAGAGTTCAAGTGTGGATGTCAAAGGGAGGGTCGTATTTGTGTTCAGGGTCGCGCGTGTGGTGGAGAGAGTGTAGTGCAGGCGGACGGCTGATATTATGATTATACTTTGTAGGTGTTAGGGAGCATTTCGACTGAAGGGCGAGATAGAGGAAAGGGAACTTACGAGAGGCCAAGCCCGAACAGGAGCATAAGTAATGCCTTTTGTCGTTTCAGTGTTCTCATCCTGAAGAAGTCTGTAATTGGCAAAATCAGGATGGTGAGGTTGAGAGCTAGGTTGACGATCGAGTTCGCGAGCCACACCTCTGATGTATTCAGACATGCACCGGCAGGAGGAACTTCTCTCCAGAAGTCGGTAATTGGGTGGCAATTGAAGATCGTGCTGAACACGGACCAGAATATAAATGTACTTGTGATTACAAGAATCAACCACGAGATGATGCGGAAAGAAGTAGTTGCGAATATTCGTAGGTATTGTAAGAGGATTGAGATCTTAACAGTTCCAACACCGAGGTTGTAGCTTATGATACCAGCCCATAGGAGCTATTGTGATCAGTCAGTCCAGCCACTGTTGTTGTGCTCCTACGAGAGTTGTACCTTCAGTATCCTTGTTCTATCAAGATTATATGTTCGATCATTCTCGAAGCTGAGTATCGAGACTGTATGAAGGGTTAGCTCTGCGTAATCGTGGGTTTAAGCATGCTTACCTTTCACAATTAGAACACACATTGAGACATTGGATCCCTGCCCTAAGTCAGCACTTCCTTTCCTTGATCATCGTTGGAGTATTGCATACCATCGCAATGGCGATGAAAGCCTCTGCAACACCGGCATCGCGGGCAACGAAGAATCGAGTATAGAGTCGCAATGAGATGAAAACAAAAGAAACAGCAGTCAAAGCAATGCTGGCGATTACCACAGTCTTGTCATCTGGATCCGACATGTTGGTTGACCCTTGTGTGTTGTGGAGAAGCGGTGAGACGCGAACTTGTGGGCGTGAAGTGGATATATCGACAGCCCTGCGAGGCCATACACTATCATTACATATATGCAGCAGCGACGACATTCATACAACTGACAAAACAGATAAGGTCTAGATTACCGGAAAGGCGGTCAACACGGCATCGGACTACACAAATAACAAGGGGAGCATTGGCCTATCTACAGAAGCATGTCCATTCGTTAAAGAAGGCACTCATTTTGCATCATGGCGACAAGCAGACGCCGAGAAGGTGTAATACTAGTCCATGATAGGCACAACACAGCGAAAGCGTATCTGTATCGAGCCATGGTTCACTTTCTCGTTGGGCTGAGTGAGGGGCCAACGAGGTTTATCTGATACCATGACTGGGTCGATTGGAAAGGAGTCCGATATCTTCAATCGATTGTCCGTAGCGCCCGTTGTTGTCAGGTACGGATGAATCGGGCACCAATCGTTCTGCGAGCGGACATGCGTTATATGGATCAACTATGCGGACATCCGGACAATTGCATGCTTGGCGTTGTCTATCGTAGTTACAAACAACCTGCCATTCGATAAGCTTTCCTTTTTCTTTTCGTCCACGGATGCGCGTAACAAAAGAAATTTTAGACCTGAGGGCCTAAAATTCTGGAACTGACCTGAACACTGGACAGGTTTGGCTTTGGAGAATGAAGGCAATGCAGAGTTGAGAGCCTGGGCGGAATAGGAGGTCTCCAGGATCATCCAAGCCAAAAGCTTGAATTCTTCGCACCAGGAGATGAAGCGTCGTTCGACATGCTAGCGGACAGCCGCTGTAGGTGATGATACACGCTTGAAGCTTTCGGATCTAGCAGTGAGAAACGATGTGTTGGAACATGCTAAGGTGGCTCCTAGGTGCTTGCGCAGATGGATGCAACTAGTACGTATAGGGAAGGGAGTATTAACTCAGAACAAGCAGTTGCCAAGATTACAAGTTGCGCGTCACAGACTCAACACCGAAATTCGGCTGAGTACAGACACTTGTAATTGCTTTAAGTTCTGAGGGATAGCTCGAGCATGAATCGGACTGGCGCCATGACGTAGATCTTGACACTAGTCGTAATCCATTGAGACGACGACTTCCATTGTCTCCTCGTCGCTCGCCAGTTAATTGTTTGCTTCATCAGATCCCGTCGAATTTAAATTTTAACCTGAGACTGTAGCAAGAAGCAAATTTGATGTTGATCGATACACCCAACTCGCGGACGTGACACCAAACAGCGCGGGCGTACAATAAGGCGTGCTTCTGCGGGGCGCAAAGGATCTCAGTCTCGTTCGCGACCAGGGAAGAAGTGCTCTGCTTCTAAAATCCCCAAATGTTCAGCCGCTCGACAATTAAATGCGCAGCGCGCTACAAGCGAGCGTTTTCTACGACGACGATTCGCTCCGCGGACTTCACTCATGCCGTTATTGGTGCTGGTGTTGTAGGACTTTCAATCGCGAGGCGACTTCAGTCAAGACAAGGGGCCTCCACGATTCTTATCGAGAGGCATGGTCATTTCGGCAACGAGACTAGCAGTCGGAACTCCGAGGTAGAGTCTTGACAGCCATGCTCGGGCATCATGCTGATTGGATCAGGTGATTCATGCGGGACTTTACTATGGCGAGGACTCCATGAAGACGAAGCTGTGTCTCAAGGGGAAGCAGATGATGTATGACCTCTGCAAGAAAAACAGTATAGCCCATAACAATTGCGGTAAATGGATCGTTGCACAAGACGACGCGCAAATGGCTGCCATCGAAAAGGTGCACGACTTCGCGCGAACTATTGGAGTTCCCACGCACTTTGTGTCGCCCGACGAGGTCAAGCGACGAGAACCAGACATTCGGGCGCAAGCTGGAGTGCTGGAAAGCACAACTACAGGAATAGTAGATAGCCATGGGCTGATGCAATTCTTACAAGGCGACTACGAGGAAAACAACGGGATTTGTGCCTTCAACGCCGCGGTCGAATCCGTAGAGCCGATCGACAAAGGAGCAGGAGGCTGGACTTTATGGACCAAGGATAGGAAGACCGGCGAGCAAAGTTCTGTTACCGTCGAGACCCTGGTCAATTCTGCAGGTCTCGGTGCGATCCATATTTCGAACATGATACTACCATCCCATAGGCAGATCAAACCATACTATGCGAAAGGGTCTTACTTCTCCTACTCGCTATCGAAACCGAGGCCGAGCATATTAGTCTATCCGGCTCCTGTGCCTGGTCATGGTGGTCTAGGCACACATCTAACTTTGGACATGTCGGGTAGAATACGATTTGGACCGGACGTAGAATGGGTAGATGATCCGACTGATCTGTCTGTGAACAGCGATAGGCTTGAAGAAGCGATTGACGATATCAAGTCCTATCTACCCAGCATAGATAGCAGTGCAATTGGGCTGGACTATGCTGGCATACGACCGAAGTTGGGTAAGCTTGGTGCCGTGACCAGCGGACAGGGTTTCCAAGACTTTTATATCAAGAAAGAGGATGGCTTTGAAGGGTTCATAAATCTTTTGGGTATCGAGAGTCCGGGGTTGACAAGTTGCTTAGCGATCGGCGAAGAGGTCAATGATATCTTGTACTGATAATCGTCGCAAGTGGATACAATATATACAGACTGCGATTTATTCCTGACGATGTGTTGTCTATTGAAGAGGTATGGGATGACTATTGACTTCTCGTTGTTCATATGCACGTGATCGCGCGACGTGTCGCAAGAAACAAGACGCGACATCTAGCGTGTCATGATTTGGACTTACTTTCTTCAGCGACACCATGGGCTGATATGGCCACCATCAAGCCCATCGAGGGCAGATCTGTCAGTATATGGTGCTGTATGCATTGACTCGCTGACAATCTTTCAGGTCCACCAGATTCAGTCCGGCCAAGTCATCGTCGACCTATGCTCGGTTGTCAAAGAGCTCATCGAAAATAGTCTCGATGCAGGGGCTACCTCCATAGACATACGATTCAAGAATCAAGGCTTGGATGCCATTGAAGTTCAAGATAATGGTGGTGGTATAGCGCCGGAAGATTTCGAATCCGTCGCTCTGAAGCATCATACTTCTAAACTTAACTCATACGATGATCTATCTGGCCTGACCACCTTTGGGTTTCGTGGCGAAGCTCTCTCATCATTGTGCGCACTCGCTGAGTTCCACGTCGTAACCGCAAGAGCGAGCGATGGCCCGAAAGGAACCAGGCTGGACTTCGAGGTCTCTGGGAAATTGAAGAACACATCGATAGTGGCGAGTACGAAAGGCACGATCGTTTCTGTGGCGAACATATTTTATAACTTGCCGGTAAGGAAGAGAGAACTGGAAAAACACATCAAGAGAGAATACGGAAAGGTTCTTGGAGTACTGCATGCGTATGCCTGCATCAGCACTGGAGTCAAGTTCTCTGTGAGCAATCAAATGCCCAAAGGGTAAGTCGACGTGAAGAGTGCATATACATTATTACTCATCAGAATGTAGCAAGAAGACTACTGTGTTCTCCACCAAGGCCAATCCGACTTCGAAGGAGAACATTGCAAATGTCTATGGTGCAAAGACCTTGCTTGCACTCATCCCTTTGGACTTGAAGCTGGAAATGCAACCAGGCCAAGGACCGACGCAGAGCGCTCGAAATTGGGGAACACAGGTAGATGATCCTTCGAGACGGGTTCAAGTCGTAGGCCATATCTCACGACCGGTCGTAGGGGAAGGCCGACAGACGCCTGATCGGCAAATGTTTTTTGTCAATTCAAGACCATGTGGCTTGCCCCAGGTCACCAAGGCTGCCAACGAGGTGTACAAGTCATATAATGTTACTCAATCTCCATTCATTTTTGCGAATTTTATCATGGATACGAACGCCTACGATGTCAATGTTTCGCCGGATAAACGAACTATCATGCTACACGACCAAACATTATTATTGGAGTCTCTGAAGGCCTCCCTTGTCGAATTATTCGAATCTCATGATCAGAGTGTTCCGCAGTCGCAATTACTGTCTGCAAGGAAGCTTCCTCCGTTCAGGCCACTTTCTGTAATACCCAGAGATTCAACGGAAAATTATGACATCGACTCTCCTGTTGAGAACATACGTGATGGCCTGGAGAGGGCAGACAGAGATGTTTCAGGCACGACTAAAGAAATCCTCCAAGAGAACTCCTCACCAGGAATTGAACAACCCATAAATGCTGCAAGTCTCATTCACAAATTCGTGGGCAGAAACTCCGAAACTCGAAATAAGATAGGGAATCCCATACCAGAACAGAATACCATTTTAAGTGAAACCGAACGGCTAACCAAATCATGGTCAGCTGGCAGAAGCCATGAAGTAGGGAGACCGCAGCAGCCTCTATCAAGCTCTGATAATTTACCTTCAACTAATGATAACGATGCGACGCCGGAAAGTGCTCCTCGTCGTGTATTGGATTTCAATGCTCGTATTGCTAGCCAGCATGCCAAGCAGATGATGGAATTACCAAAGTCCCCTTCTTCTCCGCCGTCTTCTGACGAGGAAGATATCCCGGCAATCAAGCAAAGACCTACCTTGTCCACTCCCGGACCTGTACAATCTGCTTTCGACCGCATGCGACCTAAACGCACTCCAATGGAAACAGCTACAATTACTATCGGGGGCGAAACGATAGAGACAACAGTGGGCAGTGCTCCATACAAGCGACGAAGGATACACACTCCGAAGGGACAGCCGGGCAGTCGCGATACTAGAAGTCCTCTTCTGTTCAAGAGCTTGCGCGAATTCGCCGCTCCTGGGGCCAGGTTTCCCAACTCACAGGATTATGATGACGAAGAAGTCCACAATGTCGCAAGTGACACAGAAGATGATACTGATCTTGACCACTCTCGGTTGACTGTGGCAAGCAAAGATTCCTTACTTGCTTCTACTGCTAGGCTTCACGAAGACACACAAGTTAGCGATGATGAGGTCGACCCTCAGCCTGGCAGCGAATCTGAAGTGAACGAAGCACCGAATCCAAACAACGACTCTGATGACGAATACATTGACGAAAGTGAGAAGAAGGCGAGAGAAGAAGCTAGGGTTGCCTCATTGATTGCCAAAGCAGAACAAGCCATGGCGAAACCAACACAGGATAATCTGAAGCGAGCCACGAAAGTGCTGAAAGGACCAACGAAGAAATTCTCCACACTTGGCCTCGTCCAGACGATACCGATAGACTTTTCAAACCTACAACACGTGCTGCTCCAGATTGAGACCACGCAGCAAGACCTAATGAAGCAGGCTCTCACCAGAGAGCCCAGCGGAGAAGGCCTTTTCGTCGACAGCGACGCAGAAGAGAAACTATCCCTTACAGTCTCGAAGTCCGACTTCCATCGAATGCGCATACTAGGCCAGTTCAACCTAGGCTTCATCCTTGCTATGCGTCCTGGCGGCAACACTCTCGCCGACGAGCTCTTCATCATCGACCAACACGCGTCCGATGAGAAATATAACTTTGAGCGTTTGCAACAGGCCACCATACTCACGCCGCAACGTCTCGTCCATCCGCATCCCCTATGCCTCACTGCTATTGAGGAAGAGATTATCGACAATAACACCCAAGCACTCGTCGCCAACGGATTCCAGATATCCATCGACACCTCTGGTACCTTGCCCGTTGGTCGCCGCTGCTCCCTCCTAACACTTCCCACGAGTCGTGAGGTAACCTTCACCCCGGCCGACCTCGAGGAGTTACTGGTTCTGCTGAGCGAGAGGGTCGGAAATGAGATACCCCGCCCGGCAAAGGTGCGTCGCTTGCTCGCCATGCGCGCATGCCGAAGCAGTGTAATGGTTGGCAAGACAATGACACCGAGCCAGATGGAGAGGATTGTAAGGCACATGGGCGAGCTTGAGAAACCATGGAATTGCCCGCACGGGAGGCCAACGATGAGACATTTGTACGGCATGGCAAGATGGGAAGCGTGGAAAGAAGGTGATGGCCTTGTCGGGCTGGGTAAAGAGAGGATGGAGACGAATTGGAAGGCGTTCATGGAGGGCTGAGGTGGGTGTTGAGGAGAATTTCTTATGTTTGCGAATAGCATTGGAGACAAGTTATTTGGCTGACAGCTTTAGTGTTGGATCTTGAATTTATGATACATCCCTATGTAACAACTTTCGAAGTCGTGCTCGCCCTAAGCCTATTCATGATATCCGCTACACAGGAAATACTCCTTCCCACAAGATAAGTTCTATCTACAGTCTATCATGTATCACTATTTCGTTCCTAGCTCCTCATAAACATCATACAGCCTCACCATTCAAAGGCCTCTTCATAAAGCTGAACGCTGACCCCTGACTCCGATCTCATCACCCCCCTTGTCGCCTCCTTGACGTCCCTCATCAGTCCCTGGGGCCCACACGACGCCACAATTACTCTTTGCCCAGCACTCATCTCACCAACAGCGCGCTTCACCAAAGCATCGATATCCGGTCGTCCATACCGCACCTCTTCGCCGACGGAACTCTCCACTCCTAATTCCGGCATACTCTTCTCGATATCTCCACCCACATTCTTCTCAACATCCGACGTCGGCGTCGGTACGTCTACATGTGCCGATTTCTCAAATTCGGGGCTACTGCTCCGTGTCCTTTCGACTTGGCTGGTGACATACACATGCACTCGGATCGACGGGTTGGCGCGAAGCACTGCGAGCTGCGTAGAGAACCAGGTCATGTTGTCGCTATGGCGAATTGTCCATATGAAATCCACCCTTACAGCAGGTTCCAGCGCGCTGATAACACCAAATGTGAAAGTCGCACCGCTCCCGCCAGCGAACAGAACAACCTTGTCGTAGGCACTGAAATGTGGCAATTTGCCGTATGGACCGTCGACGCCGGCGCGCAGTATAGCGCCTGGATGCGCAACGGCGTATTCGTGAAGGGCGCGCGTAAACCCGTCGTGGGCCTTGAGCACAAGGCTCGCGGGCGTCTTGCTAGAGAGCGTGAATGGGTGCGTCTCGAATGCGCGAATGGCGGGCACGTAAAGGTATACGTGCTGACCGGAGGTGGCCGTGGCCGTGGTTCCCAGCGACGCGAACGACCAGGAGGGCGTTTTCGCCAGCGTCACACGCACAGCGTCGTTTGGTAGCGGGTGGATCGTCGCGGTGTTGTTGGGGAGTGAAATCAGGAGCGTGACGGCACGGATCAGCCTATCAAGGAACCAGATAGCAGCTGCGAAGATGGCGATGTAGACGCTGTGGGTTGCGATCTTGGGTCGGTGCAGAGCATAAGTCACGATGATCACGAGGAAGAGGACGACGTGGGCGATGTAGAACAGCTCGTAGTGCAGTCTGCGCAGCGTTGTGGCGGCGAGCACCGTCAGCAGCATGGCGACGCCAGCAACGGCGCCCATTCTGTTTGCCACGTGCTCGGCGTCGAAGTCCTCGGCGAGGCTGTCGCGGAGGTGATAGTAAACGATGTATGGGACTGCGTGCATGCACAGGAGGACGGCGGTCGTATAGCCGGCGAAGTTGTGCAAGGGCCGGAGGCGCTCGTAGCTTGCGCCAGTGAGCAGGGAAAGGGGCGTGTTGCGGAGGCTGAGGAGTGTTGTGAGAGCCATATTTATGGCTGTCACCCAGCCCGCGCGTTTTGCAAACCAGATGAGGCGCTTTGAAGAGTCCGGCCAAGGGATGCGGGAGAAGCAGAGGGATATATTGATGGCGAGGTAGGCCAGGAAGAGCAGGGCATTGGGAAGGGTTTTGAAAATGGGGATAGGGGTGAGCAAGAGGCGACGAAGACGTCTGTGGTGATTAGCTGTGTGTATGGAAACCAGCATGGAGAGAACGCACTGTGATGGGTCCGTTTTAGTGTTTGATCTCCGCGAAGACTGCCGTTGAAGAAGGAAAGAGGTCCAGTGGACTATAGAGAGTAGTACAATGAGGGCGAGGACACCGACAGCGAAGTACACTGCAATATGCTCGTTGTCTTTTTGGCGCTGGGCCTTTGCTGGGGAGCTTGCGGATGCCATCTTGTGAGTAATTTTGTTATATCTGCGAATCCAGAGATAGAGCCCGTAACAGACTGTAGGTCCTAGTCCAGAGATTCTCCTTTGTACCAAAACTGAGGGAGCAAGCAGTGTAAGTAAATACACTACGTCCACGATCAGATAAGATGGGAAAAATTATATCTTATCATGCCACATTGGCGTGCACGCTGTGGGTCTACATGGTATAGGTAGTGGTGCCGTCTCGCGGCAATTCGAGAGCGGCAGGTGCATTTCAAACAGCCTAAGGAAACATCTCCTGCTAGTTTAGGTAAACAGATTGCTTGTTTGAGTAGTAGTGCTGGATACGACATAGCTAAAAATTTCAATTGACAACTGACGCAGTACTTGGGTTGATACAGTTTCGGGGCCATAAGATCAGATATCCTGCATTGAGATCCATAATATAAAGCGGCAATAGTACTCAAACGGGACTAGTCTCGACTGGGTGTGGTGGTGGATCATGGTGGCTTCTGCTTGTCACTCGTCCATAACCCCGTGTCAAGCTCACCTTGGCGGATCCTTAGGCTGGAGAGTGAAGAGTGAGTCTCAACGTGGTTAAAGGATGACGATTATAATTATCTGATCTTCGTATATAGTCAATTCGGCTATCTATATTATGACGCTGCCTTTCCCCCGACCCCCAATAGTCAATCTTCCTCGTCCCTTATTGCCGTCTTGAGCAGGGCAAGACAGATACAACGAGTCTCCAAAGGTACATAGGTACTCGTACTCCCTTTGGCTAGCACTTGGCAACCTGGCGGCACATTACCTCGGCACTTCTTTTTCTCAAACGTCCATCCATCGCTTGCCACACCACAATATCGATATGAGACTTACCTGCCATATATGAAGCCGAATGGCAGGTACATCTCTTGGTGGTCTTGGTACATGAATGACGTACAGGGTTCTGCATGCATGCTGCTCAAAGCGTGATGATGTGCTGCATGGCGGTGCTTCTTCGTATCTTTTCCATCATCTGATATTAAACAAGAGTGTGACACACACCCCTGCTCGAATCCCCGACTCCTCATCCTTCGGTGAGCGCGAAACGCATAATTAGTTGCCATCCATATTTTGCCTCCATTGATATACGCGGCCCATGTTTCGCGCACGATCGATTCTATGCTCCCTATTTTTTCGGTTGTGAGGGACGGTAAATGATTATGTATAGGAGGCGCCTCTCCTTGCCATTGCGTGATCCAAGTTTCAAGATACAGGTCATGTTCCCCAGGCTTTCCGGTACATGTAGAAGGTGAATGGTGGAACGCGAGAGGTCCTGACACAACGCTGCAATAACATTAGTAGATGTCAGCAGCATGAAGAGATGGGGTCTGTAAATGGAGAAATGTCGTGCGATTAAGGATCGAAAGCTAGGAAGAATGGCCGAATATGCACTGACCTGCTACCTGATTGAAGAAGCCATTGTCATTTCTCTGTATTTCTCTATTGCGCTTTTCAAGCTTTCAAGCTCCTGCCGCCATTATGACAACAACATCTTCTAGTCAAGACAATGTAGATTATAAAAAATACAATACCAACAATGGCCACACTCGATGCCGCCCAGATCGCTTTATTCGCATTGCGATCGTCCTCCGGGCTAGCTCGCACACGGACGCCGTCAGTCCGGGAACTAATCATTACATCCGAAAGCGACAGTATAATGTCATCTAGCATCGTTCTGTGAATGGCTGGCATCTCTGAGTGTGAGGGAGTAGAAGAATATCGTGCTTGCTGGTAATATATGAGCCTGCTCTTTGGGTATGAGAAGCGAAAGGTCCACAGAGTCGAAGCGCTCTTTTGTAAGTTCAGGCCTCGAGCACACAGTGTCCTCATTTTGACTCATCCTGCAATGGCAATGTTATGAGCGTTGTGTTGCGCCGACTGCGCCTTAAGTCTCAGACACAAAGCATTGAACGCTGGCATTGTTTGGCGACATGCTTTCGATGAATAGTTCAGCGCGCCGAATCTATATTCCGATACTCTATGAACAGGAAGACGAACTCGCTGAGGTTTGCCAGACTGTTTCAATCGGTCAAGAGCTCGTGAAATCAATGAAGAGATCTGCCGTCGTCCTTCTATAAATTCCAGAATTGTATGCTTCATCTATAGCTAAGAATGTCTCTGTCAGAGTCGTGTGCTACTCTCCCTAGACTGATGCTCTACAGGGGACGAGAACGACTCACTACCATATACAACCCATCATCGATTCATGCTCACACCAGCCGTAGCTACTGAGAGTAGATCTTCTCGTCATCATACGCAAGTTCTTCGTGAGCATGACAGCCGCTGCGTTGTTAAACGGGACTATGTTGAACCGCAAGCCATCTGTAGCGTAATTTCATTAGTAGACCCTGAGTTAGGCCAGGAGTTTGAATTCAAACTTACTGTTCTACTTCGTCTAACTTGAACTCATGTCGACTAAGAAAGCTTCAGTAAGGCATCTTTCATATATGTCAAGTATCGACACTTTTTTCTTTGTTAGACATAAAACAAGGTATGCAAGCAGTGAATGCTGTTTCGAAATCACCACCTGTAATGAAGTCCTCTCACTGACTACATACTGTCTTTGTTCAACCTCAAGTAGTCGGGAGGTCATAGTCGACGTGAAATCGATCCAGCCTCTTTATAGGGGGTCGAAACGGTTTAGAATCGTATATCGTGGCTGTGAGCTTTGGTATTACTGTCTCGCGTGTAAGATTAGGTAAGAAACGACTTTGATGGTGCCCGAGAACTAATAGGAAATAGATTCAGTGGTGGTATCTTCACATTAGAATGAAACGACATTGATGTGATAGTGTTTGCTGAGCGTAAGGCAGTTTTAGTCTGGGTAGACTCTTACGAGAGACAAACACACGCAACCTATTTGCTTCTTTAAATCGATCAAAACCAGCTTCATTGAAACCTATGTGTTCCAGAAGTGACCATGAATGTATGCCGGGCCTGATTGGGAGCTCCGGGTATGAATAGATTGGTGAAACCAGCGTGAATAGCTTGCGGTCATCACGAACGACTGTAATTGACACTGTTTAACCACGGCTCATAACGTCATACATCAGACTGGAATTTTAACGCTAAGCTACAATTTGACGTTGACATCGCTTCGGTGATTGTATTTGCCGGATCGATTACGCGCTTAGGGGTTACGGCCTGGCAACACCGCACACGTGAATCACAACAAACCCAGTTCCACGGTCCAACTTCGTTCTTCCGCACTCTCATACTTTCATGGACTTACATTAACGCTCCGAGCTTCATCGTGTCTTCTATTTTGGGCTTACTTCACTTGAATAGTCGCTCATTGTCTCTTAATCATGTCCTTCAACAATTTTGGCACAAGCTATAACCAGGAAGATCCTCTTGAAGATCCATTCACCACGAAGCCCGGCGAGTATGATCGCCGTTCAGCGCAAAACTACGAGCAAACTTTTCCCCAGACGACTTATGACGCGAATTTTGGTGCTGCCTATCCCCAGAGTCCACAGGGGTATATTCCAGCTCACGTTACGACCCGCGCTGAAGACATCCTTCCAAAGTATGAGCAGACTCAAAGTCATTTCCTCGATGAAACGTACGATGGAGACCTCTCTAAAGTCTCCTACTCGGATGGACAATGTCTTAGTCTACCCTCCAACAATACTTACGGTCAGACGTACGACGACCAATCCAGCAATTTCTTTCCAGACGTGAAACCACCCGTCGATGCGGGCAACTCGCAATTGGGGGGTATCAAAACCCCGGAACCTACGTTTGTCAACGCAATCAGATGGGAGCCACCATATCAGATCACCAGAGCTACTGTCAATCCAAACTTTGCAACTTCGTCGGCCCACCAACGTCTCCATACTGCTCTTCAACCTGATAACGATTTTGATCCGGGACTTTATTGTGACGAGCGAGGAGAGCTTGACGATGATGATCTGTTTGCTTTAGGTCAGGCGGAGGAAGATGTGAACTATTGGATGGACGTTGACACAGCACCAGTAGGCCCTTCAAATTACTCGACACCAGTGGACGATCCAGCTCCATCGACACCCACTCTAAGTCGTCAGGGTGGCTCAGATACGTCAATCACGCCAAAGCGTATGTCACAATCTAGTCGTGCTCGGCTTACGATCAAGCGCCGCAACACGTCCGAGAAGAAGAAAAGTTTCACGACCCCAGATCAGAAGAAAAAGAGAAACAAAGCCGAGTCTGCCCCAGCCGGTAGGCAGAGAATCAAATTTGAAAACGATGGAACTCCAGGAAGGTCGGGTCCAGCTGGTATCTACAAAGGCGTTTGCGACATCAATGTTCGCTTGCCGGAAATGGAAATTACAGACGAAGAGTTGATCACGTATCGTTTCCACTTCCTCTTGACCATCCATACATCTTAACTCTCAGACACTGACGCTGCCTTCTAGGTTCTTCCCCAACTTACTCGTCCGTCATAAACTCGCTGCCCGCCTCATATACCGTGGCTGGGGTCCTACTGATATTGCCGCCGTTCAAAGCACCCATCGCACTGAAGAACAGTCGTACGCATATCTATCCACAGTCACTCGCCAGCTGATGCGCGGTGGCCTTGCCGTCATCGGCTCCAACACTACCGTCGAAAGCGACGATCGGTTCCGCCTCAACACCTGGCGCGCAGCCGTGAAGGCGGGTACAGCCCCTGCACCCACTCCAGACCAGTTGACGCTCTCGACCAAGCAATTTATGACCGCTGAGACCAGCGAGCACCGCGTCTCCGTGCCCGTCGATGCCAGGCTCGCAGACTTTGGACGAAACGTCAAGCTCTGGCCTAAGATCACCTCGGACCTGACCATGCTGATCCGCTGGGCATACGAGAACCAGAAAAAGTATAAGCTCAGCCAAGTACCTGAGCTCTTGTACCATGCGCACACCTTCAATGGTGGTGCTCCCATCGACTTGCCATGCGGGCCTGACTTGTCGCCTGAGCTGTCTGAGTCTTTCGCCAGCAGCGGCTCTGACAATTCGCCTACTGCCCCCTATGGCTCTGCTACGCGTCGTCTTCGCTCTCTGCGCGTCGGCTCTACCCCCGTGGCGCGTCGTGGTGAGGCCAAGGCAAAGTCCAAGGTCAAGCTCGAGTCCAAGCTCGAGGCCAAGGTCAAGGTAAAGGCTAACCGTAGACTGCGCTCGTATAGTACCCGATCGAAGGCCGATGAGTAGTCTTGAAGAGGGACGTAGCTCAAAGAAGAGAATCGTAGGAAGAAGAGCAAGCACTGGAGGAGGAAAGTCTCGAATAGAGACAGGTCGCGCGCGAAATGAGCGAAGTTCATAAGCAACAAAGTCTCAAAAAGCATAAATCTCAACTGTATCGAGATCGTCGAACCGCACAGAAAAGTCCCAAAGGACACAGCAGCAATGGAATCGGGTATAGAAATACCACGATTCTGAATGCATTAACATATCATATTCTGAATACATGCTTGACGTTGTCGTGATTTCGCCCAGTAAGACAAGTAGCCAGTGCTGCAACATCTTACATAGGAACACCATTCCAATGCCACAAGAGGTGAGGACTTCGATTGCCACGACTACGGCGACCTCATTTCCCATGCCAAACATGCTATACCGCGTCCAAGTTCGTCAGCTTCAGAAGTTTTCCACAGGGGATGATTCTACATGTACCGCTGTTGAGACTGGCACATATGAAATCAGGCCTTCCGGGAACGCCAGATAGGCATGTCTAAGCGTAGAAAACCACGAATCTGCCACCATGGTGACGCTAATATTTCGTCTTCCACAGAGAAGAACCACGGTTTCACTCGGATGCCTTACGCTCGAGGATCTGTTCGAGTCAGCTTTAAATGGGTGCAAGTATATTACTTACACCGGCCAAAGTCTCTAGAAATGTGTTACACAATGCGACTTCGGCCACAATTACGATGGCAAATTGATTGAAGACCACTGTTATCTCAAATGGGTAGGTACCAAACTTGGCCCAAGTACAGACGAGCTCGCCACTCTTTATAACGATCCATGCGTTGGGCAGTAGTGGATCGAAGCGAGGGATATCTTGCCCAGATCTATTAGAGTTTCTGGCCGGAAATTGGTGATTTACGGAAGTGTAACATGGATCTTGTATGCTTCTGATGCGCAGCATATTGCTGGAGGATTCGTCAACCATGCAATTGTGGGCCTTGGATCGCGATCAACGCCTGCCTTGGCCTTGCTACTGATCAACTTATTAATATCGACCCACAAATTCGGATACGAATTCAAGCATTTAGTCATCGACAGCGAGCCCAAGATGTCACTGCAGCGAGGTCCCCCATGCGACACCAGCGGCGGCATATATAGACAAACAGGATCCTTGTCGCGTGAGAACCTGATTGAGGTAGCGTTATCTAGGTATGCAGCCAAGCTTACTAACACTTCATGATACTACCTGTTCATCGGATTCGCCAAATTCGAGACCTATAAGCGGTAATACAATCTAGCACAGCAATGGAAACGGCACTTTGTGATCTGATAACGATATGATTGAGGTCTACATCTGGCTCGCTTGCATGTATTCCCCTAACGAGCTCTGTGGCTTGCTGGGTGTACCGTCCCTTAATTTTCGCCGGCCGATCAGCTGATTGATGTGTCAGTCTTTCAGCGGCATTTGGTCTATACATAAGCTGAAGGCTATCGATGCAGTCCGTTACGGACTGGTCTTAAGCATCGCCATAGGCCAAGCATTCCAAAGATAAATCTTCTTGACCGATCATACAAGTACTTTTGCAGTCGCTTGCCTGGGGTGTGGTTACATCCGTGTGCCTGCATTCCTCATTTATGACGCCATGGGGATGCCGTATATAGAAAATGTGCTATAATGCGGATAGCGACCATGTACATCACCCCTGTGTATGGCAATCGGGAAGGGGCCGTCCCAATTATGCAAGTGCGGGAGAACTGAGGTAGGAACCTGCATTTCTTTTGGAGTTTGAGAAAAGGAAACTGGCTGTAATGTAAGTCGATTGTGCGCCGTCGTATCAGGCTTTGTCCTGTGTCACAACCCAAAAAAACCTATTAAGCGCCTGAACTCCGATGCTCGCTTGAAAAAAAGTACGGTCTTGCCTTAAGACCATTTTGACTGATGCAGTACCGTTGCGCGAAAGATCCAAGGGTGATCTCGAGTTGTGTAGCGGTCGTTCGGGCAGAAGTGGTTGGTATAATCAGAAGGGTAGGGTCGACGAGATCATAATATTCCAGAGTCTTTGAGTGCATTTTGTAGGATGGTCTCTTTCACCGCAGCGAACACCAATCGAATATTCGATGTGTCGGTGGCTTGTGTCAGACTAGATTGCATGAGCATATGAGTACCTCGAAAGCAACAAAATTGACATACTGAGGATATAGATTGAGATGAGCACGGTTGACTTGGTTGAATCTCCACAGGAGATACTTGGCCGCTCGGTTGACATCGTTGCCACCGGAGTAATCAGGGAAATATGTACCAAGTGGCGATCTCGCGAGTTTAGCTTTAAACAAATCCACCTTGTTCAGAAACAAGATAATACTCGTGCGCATGAACCACCTCGAATTGACCACAGAATCAAAGAGTACCAGACTCTCCATCATGCGATTCTAGTGATCGTCAGTGTAAAAATAGGTCTAAGGCGCTGTTCAACTCACTTGGCTGCTCTCCTCTAGGAGAACTTGATCATACTCACTCAAGGCAACGCAGAAGATGATGGACGTTACGTTCTCGAAACAATGTATCCACTTCTTCCTCTCACTACGCTGACCACCTACATCGAACATACTGGCATAGTCGTCAGAGGGGACCTTATGCGAGTGCACTACTAGGAACACTTACTGTATGCTCAATTGACCCATGGTGAAGCGAGTCTCGTAAATCCCAGTAGTTTTCGTACGTGCGCGAAGCACGTCGGCTTCCACCGGTATATAGTCATTAGATGCTATTCGGTTGACCTCTTCGAAGAAGCTGCATACTGTATCAGCATATATGGTAAATGACCGGTGCATTGACTAACTAAGGCGCAGAATCCATGATATAGAATTCACTCGAGTGTTCCATAACCTTTGGAATACACGGATCTCGCCATAATGAACTGACGGCTTGGCCAACTTTGAAATCGAGCGGTTTCTCGGGGTCAGGGTCCACCGTGTAGTCCATCAAGTATTCGCAGAGTTCGCCATTGCCAGGGTTCTCAGGGTCAATATCAAATTGCCGCATGGCTCCGATGAGTGACTTCGCACAGTCGATTACGTTCTTAAATATCGTTAGACGATACAACGCCAGCTCTTCCATGGTGTACCCATTTTGATGAATGATCTTCATCTGTTTGACGATTGTAGACTTCCCGCTCTCACCAGATCCTACCGTCATATAGTTAGTGAGACCGTCGGTTTCGCCCAGAAATCCAGTGTGCTCTCACCAAGAAGTAATATCTTGCATTCCCGCCGAAGCCGCCGCGAATCTTCTTCTAGCTTCCGGTCAATTGCTTGACTTCGCTTTCTCTGCTCGGCATCGTCGTTATGTGTGCTCATACACATCCCCATGGTGTAGTAATGTTGAATGGACTCGCGTCAAGTCCAGTCGCACAATTCTGTGCGAGCGGGAGTGGCCAATAATCGCCGCTTGCGCTGTCAAGCGGCTGACCACGAGAGAAACCGGCTGAACGCTCTCGCGACTGAAACACGGCGAGCAGGAGTTACACAGTGGTATATGAAGTTGTACCACGGACTGTCCGTATGTTGTTGTGTATGGTATTGGGGTCCTGAAAGATCGAGGGTTGTTAACGCTTCGCTCAAGCGTCCGACCCGGTGGCGCCCGCCAGATCTGTAAAGCCGGTACTGGAGGAGAGCCTCCACCACTAACAAGTATAAACCTGCTGAAGGAGATAGGTTCGAGTGTGACGATCGTGGTTGAGGGATGCGTAAAGCTACGATGGTGGTCGTAATGAGCAGTCGTGTGGTCGTGGTGACTGTGGATTCACGCAATAGTCTGTGCGCTTGATCACAGAGCTCAAACCGGCATCGATCGCTGGTCGGGGCAATGATTAAGAGTGGACGGAGTTTGTCGAGAGGGGGAAGAGGCTGAGCACAAAGCGCTTGCGAAGGCGGATTTCGGGATGGAGAGATGGCTATGGAGATGCAGGTGTGAGGTGTGAAGCAGCAGTGTTCAGGCGTAGGTTGGCGAGTTAGAAGGGTGCGCTGAGGCAGGCGTTCTTCCCCACACCGGAGACCTACCTGAGACCTACCTACCAGTACAGTCCAGCAATGGATTGGCTGGGCCTCGCACCACTCGAAACTCACGAGCTGACAAGTCTGCCACGCCCAGGTGTAGAACAATGAAAGAAAAAAAACAGCAGATGATGCAAATCCGCAGAAATATATGATGACCAAATTTGCACATCCTTCTCAGCAACGGACTACTGCTGTATCTACATGAATTCGCTCACTATACATCTCCATTATGGATGTAGATGAAAAGAAGGTCGCGCCGTGCAAAAGTGTGCACTGAAAGATGCAGTATGGATTCGTTATCGCTGGCATCATGTGCACCTGTAAGCCACTCACTCCGTTATCACTGTTATATGGGTGGCACTGGCCGTAGCTGTGTTTAACATGACCAGGAAGCGGTTAGCTGGCTATACTTTAGGTTAGGGAGGTAGAGTCTGAACACAAATTAGGTGGACTTTCAACTTCCGTTAATACTCATACTTATGCATCGGATATCTTCAGATGTATCGGAGATGAGGAATGGAAAGGCTGTTCAACGTCACCTCCACGTTGTCTCACGACAAGGTCTAGGGACCTTTGATCGCGCGAGGCTGTCATGGCGCTTAGTACGACGCTTTGGAAAGTGAGGAATAGTTAGTTACATGGTGACCCTGATGAATCACCCAACAGATTTGTGTATCCTTGCGATATTATAGATATCCAGTTTTGGGATAAACGCGTTGACGAGTCAACGGAATATGGTAGTGGCATACCTGAATCTCAGCGAGTGCTGGTTGTGTCCATATTGAGAGTGAGGTACGAGGTGGCGTTCCATTGCCGCATCGTGCAACCCGATAGGGCGTGCTGCTTGTATAGCACACACAATGATGAACAAAACGATCGAATGCGGACTTCTAGGGGTGGTGGAAGGTTGGCTACATATGGTAATGAGGCAAATGTAAATGTGTATGCAATGTATCATGTACGCATGGAACATGCGGGGCATGTGATCCGTAGAGTGAAACTAGATTGCAGCGCACAATACAGCACAGTTCAGCACGGCACAGCACAACACAGCACAGCACAACACAGCACAGCACACGGGACGAGGCGTGGGCGTGGGCAAAATGATTGATATGCGCGAAAGAGCGGAAAGACGTGTGAGACGAGGTGATTTGTTCCATTTGTTCCTTGTCCATGGGGGCTGATAACGATCATGGCTGCCATGTGCCATGTGCCATGTGTTCATCAAACAAAGCCATTCGTTCCTTGACTCTCGATGGAGCAACAGGAGAGCAAGAAGCAAAGGACAGGCCTCAAGCTGGCGCTCAACACTGGTCTGTGGCGTCGAGTTATACTGTGTACTCGCTCGCTGCTGCCCATGATCCATCCATCTTTATATTACTAATTACCTAATGCATGGTATGCGTACCTGATTGTGCTTGATTAATTACCTAAGCTTCCTTAACGCGGTGCCCAGGGCGACTCTCCGTCAACACGTTCCAAATAACAGATGATGAGGTAATCACAACCCTCCCCGGTCATTTCTTTCTGGCCCACCACGCCGCTAATGAATTCCTGCTGCAGCTGTTCCTCCATCTGATCGCGATCTCGAGCTGTTCCTGGCTCCTGACGTCTTCATCATACCTGGCTGCCCGGTTATCAGCAAAGGTTTGCCCTTTTCTCATTGGCATTGGAGCCTTCTTCCAACAGCTTGCTCGTTACGCGCCTCGTTCGGCAGCAGAATAAGGATACTTGTCCAATCTAGCTCAAGTCGGCTGCTTACTAGGTAGATAGATGATTAGTTGCGCAGTCTCTGTTGTCGTCTACTACACCTTACAGTCTATTGTTGCTTAGACCGCCACAACTTGGTCTGGCTCTGGCTTTCTTCCTCCACTCTGTTCGCCGTCCACAACCCTCCTCTCCTCGCCGCTTGCTCGCGCCAAACTTCTTTCCAAGCCCTGCACACTGTCATTTGTTTCTACTCTGTTCTCATCATCTTCATCGCTTGTCCTCCTCGTCCTCAATCAAACCTCCCGAGCGGTGCGCGCGATCCCTTTCCCCTCCATCGGGTCATCTCGTGTGTCCCCGTACCACAACCATTGCCCCTCGTTCCAGCTCCCGACACCGCCACATTCACAGGACCTCTCCAGCTTCTGCACCCACCTCGAATCGTCCTCTGTAGACGCTGATAATATCCATTATCTTTCATCATGGCCGAATTTGTACGCGCGCAGATCTTCGGCACCACCTTCGAGATCACCAGTCGGTTCGTTTTTCGCGCCCAGATGCCGTCATCGATTGTGGCGCTGACATCCGCTCACCTAGGTACACCGATCTGCAGCCCGTTGGTATGGGAGCTTTCGGTTTGGTTTGGTGCGTGTTGACTCCACGCATAGCGGACATGGCTGATAGTTCTGGTTCAGCTCTGCCAAAGACCAGCTTACCGGCCAAGCCGTCGCTGTTAAGAAGATTATGAAGCCTTTTAGTACTCCTGTGCTCTCCAAACGTACATACCGCGAGTTGAAACTCCTCAAACATCTTCGACATGAGAATGTACTCTGAATCTCTGTCAAAACTACATTGGACACATCTTAATACGTTCGCAGGTCATTAGCTTGAGCGACATCTTCATATCGCCGTTAGAGGACATGTAAGTTACGGAACCTTACAGTAGATGGACTCTCTAACCTTTCTTTGCACAGCTATTTTGTCACGGAGTTGCTCGGAACCGACCTCCACCGTCTCCTTACCTCAAGACCCCTCGAAAAGCAATTCATCCAATACTTCCTATATCAAATATTGGTGCGTAGAATGGAATGTGCCTTTGAATTTTGCTGATAAGTCACAGCGCGGCCTTAAATATGTCCACTCTGCCGGCGTTGTCCATAGAGATCTGAAACCCAGCAACATTCTCGTTAATGAGAATTGTGATTTAAAAATATGCGACTTCGGACTGGCACGTATTCAAGATCCCCAGATGACCGGTTACGTCTCTACTCGCTACTACCGAGCGCCCGAGATTATGTTGACCTGGCAGAAATACGACGTCGAAGTTGACATGTGGAGTGCTGGTTGTATCTTTGCAGAAATGCTCGAGGGCAAACCCCTATTTCCGGGCAAGGACCATGTCAATCAGTTCTCTATCATCACCGAGCTTCTAGGAACCCCACCAGAGGATGTAATCAAGACGATATGCAGCGAGAATGTAAGCTCGACCGAAAGCGTCATATTTATGTATACTAATTCCGCTAATCCTTCTTCAGACCCTTCGATTTGTCCAGTCTCTTCCAAAGAGAGAACGTCAGCCACTAATTAACAAATTCAAAAATGCTGACCCTGCCGGTATGTCCGAGAGTGTAGACATGTGTGACTGTCTGACTAGATTTCAGCGATCGAGCTACTGGAGCAGATGCTTGTGTTCGATCCGAGGAAGCGCATAACGGCTGGCCAGGCCCTTGCTCACCCGTATCTACAACCATACCACGATCCGACCGATGAGCCAATCGCCGAAGAGAAGTTCGACTGGTCCTTCAACGACGCCGACCTCCCCGTCGATACGTGGAAAATCATGATGTACGAGCTGTTGCAAGAGTAACCGGGAGCCACACTAACTTCTCGTTCGATATAGGTACTCGGAGATTCTAGACTACCACAATGTAGATCAGGGTGTGGAAGGCGAAAACAGCCAACCACAGCAGCAACAGCAGCAGTAACACGCAGCTCATTAGGCGTTGAATTTGGAGATGACGGGGTAATGATGGAAATATGTATTCCCACATTTCTGCACGTTTCCTGGCGCCGGATACGGAGCGCATTAATGCACCTTCGGTATCAGGATCGATAAGCACTACCGATGCGCCGCAGTGACATGAAGCTATCAGAAAGAAGCGCCGAGGCGTCTTTCGGGGAACGAACCAAACCTCTTGCATTGTTCCTTTGCTCCCCTTGAGCACTTGTGCTGTTTGTTCTTCGAGCTTAGCTTAGCACGTCCCAGTGCAAATGAATGAAATAACGATCAAAACAACGAGTTCAAAGTGCAAGAGTCTGTACCAAACTCATGCATTCCATTGCATGCAGTCATGCGTCACGCGCGAAGCCGCTGTGCATCATGGCTTGCCCCGAATCGTGCATGACCTCATTCGTACATTTCCGTTATAAAAATCCAGTCGATGAGGCGTGCATAGATATGTGGCAGAAAGCGTTAGAAGCGTGCAATGGATTCGACAAGTAAAAGACTTGACTACGGAGCTAATATTGAGATCAATTAGATCGATCTATCCATAGATCCATGCCCCGCACTAAGCCCGGCTGGGTAGGGACTCGATCGACTGACCTCCACTTAGCCATGGTGGGAACTTAGAAGAAACACTCGACAACTTCCCCTATACGATACGCGCTATACGAATCCCTGGATCACACACTTCTCCAACCGTTCACAGCGTCTTCTTAATCTGGGCACTGCAGACCTTCCGCTTGTCGCTACCACCGTTCGCCTTGCTCAGCGACAACTTGACGAGACCGAATCGGAATGGACTCTCGACTGTGATTGCGGACGAATTGTCGTGCAACCTCGTGGATTTTCGAAGTGTGTAGGCGGAGGCACGAACAGGATATCCTACACGTATATGAACGCCATGGCGGGTATGGAGCCGTTCGATCCCATCGTCTGCGTTGTGGGTTTCCACCATGCACGGTGAGTGCATGTCTGTTCCAGCGCTACCCCTTCCACTATGCACCATCATGAAGCAAGCTCATATGCTAACAAGTCTTCCAGTGGCCCTGAAGTTGAATCCTGGTACGGCGTTCCCCCGTCCAGTGACCCTGCCCATGAAAACGAATGGCCCCTCCTCCCTTTCATGGCGCTCTCGGACGGTGCGCATGCGTCCACAGAAGACTTTTCCTACTTTACACTTCGTCGCGAGGCTACGGATGTTTTCAAAGCTACGAGTTTATTTGGTATCAGTTGTACGAGACAATTGGACAGCACGTTGTTGATAGACCGACCAGCCGATGTGACGAGGAGTACGGTGCAGAAAGCTGTCGTTGTCATAGGCGGGAGGGAGAGCGTGGCTGCGTTCGGGCAGGTCAAAGAGAAGTTGAGTGTAGTTACGAAGGCTTGGTTTGACCAGAGGGACTTTACAGATGTGGATATATTACAGGTATGCTAGAAACAGCTGGTCCCGAGAAAACATTATTGGCATTCATTGAAGCAAAGACACTGATCAGATACTAGAGATTTCAAGAGAGTCTTGCAAAGACGTTCCGTGATCAAGCCGAGGAGAAAGATCACTACTTTGGTAGGATGACTCGTACAATCTGTTGTAATCGAATGCTGATCTTTTAAGGTCTCTCTCTTCGGGAATTCATACACAAGTTCAAGTATCAGACTCTCGTTCTTTTCAAATGTGCTTTACTACAACCAAAAGTATATTAATGTTTCCCAGTCTATACCTCGCGCTAATTCCTGTAGATGCTGTTCTTCGGTTCGCATTGCGAGGAAGTTTGCATGGTGCAATTTGCATTGATTTCCTTGATACCCCGGCTGATTCGCCATCTGCAAGACTGCGCCGACCCAACGTTTAATTCATACGAAGACGACTTCGTTCGACCGACCTCTCTCAAGACTAGCGACCGCGCCTCTCTTCTCGCGTATATGGGTCTGCCGCTTCAGATTTTTGGAAAAGGGGCTCTCTTTGGCCCCTACACGCCCCTCCAGCAACTCGACATGCTCGCCGATTACGGGACCAAATCATATATCGTCGGCTCGACAAACTCACTTCTGCTTCAACAGAAAGATCGCTATTCTGATATCCTCATCAATTTAGACGAAAATACCATAAATATAATGTCTGCGAGCCTCCGCCAGGCCCTTGTCCTATCCGTGCCCGACCGTCGTTGGATCGACTTCCTCACCCAAACCGTCAACGACACTTGGGATCCCGCAAACCCCACCCGCCCGAAAACCCTCGGCTACGCCGGCTCTGAAGAGTTCATTCGCTTGCAGTTCGAAGAATACCTTCTTGCCATGCTGTCGGCCGCAAAACTCCATTCCTACCTCGCCACCCACGGTCCCACAAATACAATAGTCAACGCGGATATCGACGGCGATCCCTCTAGCGAATTCGGCTCCGACTTCTTCACCGCCTGGAAGCGCACGGAGAACTATCGGCTCTTCGACCGCTTCACAGACTCGCATCTTTTCGATATCGTCGAACCTAAACACCCGTGCTCCGGCGGCCTCAGTATCGATGATGTTCAGCGCCGTCTCGCAGCACAAGTTGCCGATTTGCACCTCGATGAACGCTTCGGTGCCGGTCGAGAATTCGCCAGTAAGCAGCTCGCGGCAGGACAGAAGAAAGTTAGCACTGCGTTCAACAGCATATGGGCAGAGATGGAGGCCGTACGCGAGGCACAGCGGCGGAGGGCTGAGGAGGTCAAGGCAGAGCGCGACGCGGCGATTGCACGCGGTGAGAGACCACCCGAGACCGCAGGCGGCGTACGGAGACCAGATTTCGCGCAGGCACAGGCAAGTGTGCAGGCAGCAGGAACGAGGGCGGGGGCTTATTTGAGTAGTTGGGGCGCGTGGGCGAGCGAAAAGAGAAAGACAGGGTGGGGCGCGAGGACAGCGAGTGCGGGCGTTCCTCGTGGGGTGACGGAAATAGTGGAGAAGAGAAGTAGCAGTGTGCCGCAGGCAGCGGTCGCAGTCGATGTTAAGATGAAGCCTGTCGAGGAGGTGAAGACGCCGGCGACTGTTGGGCCCGGAACTGAAGGTATAGAGGAGAGCATGGAAGGTGGTGAGAATGAAGGATTGAAGTCGGTGGTGAGTGCACCGCCTCAACTAGAACAGGCGTAGCTGTAAAGCCTCAAAGGGAGAAGGAAGGCCGACTCGGGGGTTCTAAGTTGAAGATGCATAGCGATCTGAGAGGGATCTAGAGCCATCTGGACATGTAATGTGCCCTCTACGTATACTTTGGCAAGTCACGAGTGTTTTTGATACCCGCAACATCTCTTTTTTAATAGTAATCTTAGTACTAGTACGCACAACTAATTCCCCCACCATATGATCCTTACTTCGCTCCCCATCTCTCTCCCCTTCGCCTCCCCTCGCTCCCCTACGTCTCACCCCTCCACTCCCCTTCACTTCCTTCATCATCTTCCCATGCAGGATATTCCACCGCGCCCATACCCTCTCTCGCCTCCTCTCTCGCCCTCCTCTGCGGCAATATCCGCGGCTCAGACGGCCCAACCAACAATCCTCCTTCTGGCACATCCTCGGGTTCAGAATCATCCCAAGCCAGCGGCGTGCCCTCGATGGCACGCGCCTTGGCAGCAGCCTTTTGAGAAGCAGTCGTGCGAGCGGAGTGGGGTACAGGCTTCGGAACCTTGGGGTCTGGGCGGGGTACTTTGGCTGCGGGGAGCGAGGGCGGAGGCGTGCGGAAGCGTTTCGGTATGTAGACGTTAGGATGCGGGTTTTCGGTGTCGTTGGGGTTGGGGTTGGTGTCGCCGTGCGAGCGGGCGCGGGCAGGGGCGTGGGTTTTGATGCGCTTCATGCCGCCGTGCGTGCTCCATAAAGGGGTGTATGTGGTGGTGTCGCGCCAGGATGTGAGGTCAGAGATGGTGGGCCGGGAGTTGGATTGCTGAGGTGCTGGGTTGGAGGATGGCGTTGCGAGAAAGGGTGGTGGGGAGAGCTGGAGCATGTCCCAGAGGCGCAGCTCTTCGGCGCGAGAGCGCTGGGCGTCGATGTATTCTGCGCGAAGTTCAGAGGCGGTGGTGTGAGGGTCTGTGTCGGAAACCGACATGTCGTCGTCGTCGTCGTTGGAGGAGGACGAAGAGACTGTGTCGGATGGCTCATTGGGTTCTGCTGCTTCGGTTGCCAGGGTTCCAGAAGCAGTCGAGGCTTCGGTGAAATGAGACAGGCCAAGTTGGTACTCCACGTATGCCTGGGTCAACACACTCCGACCAGAGTCAGCTGTATTCTTTCTCGTGTTAGATGGCGGTCGTTCATATACGTCGAGATCTAGTCTTCGGGGCAGGGTCGCCCAGTAATCCTTCGAGTTGTGCTTCATCCCCAGCACGTCTATTGCAGCCTGCACGTCCCATTCGCGAACTCGAGCTTGCGGGTTCCTTGAAGGGCGATAATTCTCAGAGCGGATGCGGGAGGATGCTTGGAAGATAGTTGCTTGGACCAAACGTCGTGTGATACTGATGGCTAGCTGGTGGAAGTCTTGGAAAGTGGTGTAGTAGATGGACGGGGACTCTCCGGGGTCACAGATGTCTTCCCAATGTTCGGCTTTGGAGTTCATGAAGACGCGCTCGGAGAGAGAGATCCAGTTCGGGAGGTTCAATAGATCTGCAGCTGGGACGGATGCGAGTGCATGGGAGGACATGGCTTCATTACTAAGCCCTTGATCAGAACTTGGGTCATCTGGCTGTTCACCGTCGGTCTGTGATCCAGCAGCGTGCTCCTCCATGCCTGCTGCTCTCGCGTCTTCGATTTGCTCGGCCGTCTCCGGGGTGAGAAGCCAGTAAGCTCCATGCTTCTTCTTCTCCGCTTCAGCATCGAACTTGTCTTGCCGCCAAGATAAAGCTTCACCTGCCATGTCCAAGCTCCTACAACACTCTTCGCTGAGTTCTACCGCGGCATCCACGTCGCCAAATTCAGACAAATACAATTGCTGATCATTGAGTACGTGCTCCTTTAGTCCATCCTGGAGCAGAAGGATGTATTCGCGGACCTGTATCTCAGACTTTGTTCCTATTGCGGCAGTAATCTTAGGTAACGCGTCTATCCCAAATCTGGCGAGTGCGCAGAACATCACATTCTTCTCTCTGGCAGTCCATATCGACGAACCAATCTGTGAATTGAGACATTGGTATTGGGGATCCTGAGCTGGGTTCTTGTTGCAAGCACCCCTTACTTCTTCGTTGTAAAGCAGGCGATACTCATCGATGTAGTGCCCAGCCAACCTGTGATGTCTCCTCCGATGATGGGGCGTGGTATCTCTAGTCTTACGCTTGCGGCTCGCAGAAGACGATGAAATCACTCTCGAAGAAGATTTGGTATGTGATTTCTGGGCTCCAGATTTCGCGTCCTTGCGTTCGGACTCAGAATTCTCTACTTTGGATCTTTCTGGCTCAGAATTCCCTGCCTTGAACTCCTCTGGCTCAGCAATCTCCACTTCAGACTCATCTACTTCAGAGTCGGATGTCGTTTCGTCAAAGACATTCTTTACAGGTGCACGCTGTCGAATTGGAGTAGTACGGAAATATGAATCTTCGGAATCACTTTCTCCTTCGTCGTTGGAAATGGGGTCTTGCGACGCCATGTGGTCTACGATCTAGATCCATAAACATTTGAAGCTTCGGACTCGAGCTGTCCAAGTGGTTGCCTGTGGAGTCCTAGAAAATTGGCTACAAAAGAATTGAAAGTTTGGCTGGGAAACGTGACCGCGCGTCAAATCGTGTGAAAGTGGGAGTGCTTGGCATCACTTGGCGCGCCTTCTCGGTGACGTTTGCCCGTGCCTACGATGCGCCCTCCTGGCTGCTCAACACCGTCTCCACATGTACAGATTGTTCTGCGCAGAGGCTCGACGGTCATTGATATATAAGAAGAATGTCCAGACCCTTACCCAAAGAGCATTTACTGCCCGTGTCTCGAAAATCACCTGCCATGAAGACAAAAAGGCACTCTCGCCTCAAACCCCAACAGCCATCAAACTTCGCAGCTATCAAGAAGAATGTATACAGGCAGTATTATCATACTTGAAAGATGGACACAGGCGGCTCGGAATATCTCTGGCTACCGGAAGCGGAAAGACAGTACGCATGCTATCTTCCGTTGCTATCTTGTTCTTACTGACTGCCATAGGTCATTTTCACACAATTGATCGATCGCATCCAGCCCCCGAACAAGCGAGCGACACGTACGCTAGTTCTTGCTCACCGGCGTGAACTTGTAGAACAGGCTGCGCGTCACTGCCAGAATGCTTACCCACACAAGTCAGTCGAGATCGAGATGGGGAATATACATGCTAGTGGTATGGCAGATATAACCGTAGCCTCGGTCCAAAGCATAAGGTCTAGCGATCGAACCTGCAAGTTCGACCCTTCACGATATAAGCTGGTGTTAGTGGACGAGGCACACCATATCGTTGCATCACAATACCTCGACGTGCTGGATCATTTCAATCTGAAAGACTCATCAAGCTCTGAGCATGGAACCGCACTAGTGGGAGTGTCGGCAACCTTTTCACGCCTTGACGGGAGACAGCTCGGTCAAGTGATTGATCAAATCGTTTTCCACAAGTATGTCGCTTTTACACGCTCAACAATTACTGCTCACACAATTCAGGGACTACATTGATATGATCGGCGAAAAATGGCTGTCAGATGTTATATTTACAACAGTTGAATCCCATGCTGACATTCGAAAGGTGGGTACTATGCCCACCGGCGATTTCCAGGCTGGTGCTCTTTCCAAGGTCGTGAACACCGACGAGATCAATGAGATCACTGTACGAGCATGGATGGCTAAGGCAGGTAGTCGCAAGTCGACACTTGTCTTCTGCGTAGATCTTAATCACGTCACTCAGCTTACGGCGACGTTTCGAAAGCATGGTTACGACGCACAATTTGTAACGGGAGATACTCCAAAGAAAACTCGCAGTGCTCGCCTAGACGCATTTCGTAATGGGGAGTTCCCAGTGTTGCTCAACTGCGGTGTCTTCACGGAAGGCACTGACATACCCAATATTGATTGTGTGCTGCTTGCTCGACCAACGAAGTCACGTAATCTCCTAGTTCAGATGATAGGACGGGGCATGCGACTCCATGCAAACAAGGAGAACTGTCACATCATTGACATGGTAGCCTCTCTGAATACTGGGATCGTGTCTACGCCAACCCTCTTTGGACTTGATCCAGCTTCTGTTGTTGAGAATGCCAGTGTTGGCGAGATGAAGACCCTTCGCGAGCGGAAAGAGCAAGAGTTGGACCGTGAGAAACAGGCTGCCGACCTTGCGCGGAAAGATTTACCTACTGCCACTCCTCGTGCAAACACCTCCATCAGTTTCACTGACTACGACTCCGTTGCCGATCTACTTGAGGACACCGCAGAGGAAAGGCTGATTCGGCGATTGAGTCAAAATGCGTGGGTTGGCGTGGGTGATGACCGGTATGTCTTGACGACCCAGAAAGGTGATTACTTAACCATTGAGCCAAGTGACAGCGGCTTTCATGTTAAGTATACCCAAAAGCTGCCCTTCTCCGCGAAGTCTAAAGTTCCCTTTGCGAAGCCTCGTCAAGTTGCGGACTCGGAGACATTCGAGCATGCCGTACATGCTGCCGACACGTTTGCAACCGAAGTCTTCCAGTTCATTTTCATATCGAAACATCAGAGTTGGCGTAGGACTCCAGCATCAAGTGGACAGCTTGAGTTTCTCAACAAATTCAGAGCCGAGGACGATAAACTTAAGGCACAAGATATCACTAAAGGTCGTGCGGGAGATATGATCACGAAGATTAAGCATGGTGCTCGGGGCCGATTCAATCGGATGGAGGCGAAGAAAAAGGCTATGACAAAACAACAAGCAAAAGATGAAGTGGCTGCGAATATGGCGATGCGTGAGGTCGTCTCTGTTGGTCCACTTATGCATTCCATGCCAGATACGAGCACACCAATCGCTAATGCAAACGAACGTAATTCGTCGGTAACATCACCGAGGGCAAAGTCCCAGCAAAAGAATGGTAGTCGAACCCTCGTGGAGGCAATGACGGCTCATCGATGACCCGAACAAGTTGATGATATACACTATATGGCCTACAATGTTGCGTGACGAGGCGGGCAGGTGATACCTGCTTTTGGTGCCATGTCTCAAGAGTATGATAGTGTATTCCCCTCCTGTATGCACCGAGATCATGAGTCGGGACCTACTTCGCGATCAGCGATACTCAGCGCGTCTCCGAGCCCCCAACGTCAATGGACATACACAAATACTGGAGCAACATGCGACCTGACTCGGCCCTACTCCTGGAATGGCAATTACTGCCATACGACGAGGATGCTCTGGTCATCTTGCCCACTATCTCCGACATCGGAACGGAACAGATCGGAATAATCCGCAAATCCTGGGAACTATGCGACAATGATAGCTAAACCTTGTCGTATCACGTGTATTTGACGGAACCCAAGTCTGATCTTTCGGCACGGATTCCCGCTCAATTAAGTAAGTGCTTGCGAACGCTTCTCAAATTCTGAAGCCTCTGAAGTACTGGGTCCAGCGGTTTTTACACAGGCGAAATCTTCACAGCAAATCCATGTGACATAGTCGCCTTTGTTCTAACCCAAACTCGTTTCCCCTTCCGAGAATCATGTTTTGGCTGAGCAGACCTCTTCTGAAGTATAGTCATACATCTGCTAGTCAAGAATCTTCGCCAGGCACATTACTGCCTCGATCTCGTGTCACAACGTTTTGGGCGTAGTGCAACATGATTTGCGAATGAAATCGAGCGTAGGCTATGACTTGACACCATATACTCGCATGCTGCCGAGAACGAGTTTCTACATATGTATAACTCAAGAAGATCAATCTGTAAGACCGAGAGGCCAAACACTCCTCCAGACTCGCACCTAGGCATCTCAAGCATTACAAAAGCTCGCTACCTTGCGAGCATGTAGTCACCAACGTTGTATACCGACCACTTTTTGTTGCGAGTTTCGCTCTATTTTTGGAAATGTATCTTCGGACCTACGATTACATTGCACTGACTTCACCCGGACGTCGATTGGTAGCCGGATAAAGTACTGTGAACATTACCTTTGAGCGTAGTCAGCGAGGCCATGGCTCGCATTGGAAATGTAGACTTGGACGAGGATAATAGATTTTTCAAAGGATTCGCGTTGTGGCTTTGAAAGCGTTGACAGTAAGCACGGTTCAGGTGAACTAAGGACTTTGACTGACGTTCAGGAGCATTTTGTATCATACAGACTTACTGCTTCCCACTTTCACGCCTCTCTAACATCCTCAATATAGTCTCTTATATTCTGCTCGAAATTACTGTCTTGTTTCATTCCCAATTTGATCGCCAACGTGTTGTCATAGTTATCCGCCCAACTCATCAATATCCGCTTCGTCTCTGGCTCCTCCTCTTCACGCAACAACGCTACTGCTTCCTTCCCACCGACCCTCTCCAGCGCATCAATCATGTCTTGCACACTCACCTGGAACCCCGGCACATTAACACTCCTAAAGTGCCTCGGCAGCGCATCTCCCGGCACGCCCAGCATATGCACCAGATTCCATACCAGTGTGCGCGGCGAGCACAGCCAATGTTTCCAACTGCGGTCTTTGATCGGAATGACACATTCCTTGCCCGCCAGCGGCTCGCGCACCATGCCACTCAGAAACGAAGATGCAGCCGCCGTCGGCTTGCCCGGTCGCACACTAATTGTCGGGAAGCGGAGGGAGAATCCATTGATAAACCCGCGCCGCGTGTACTCGTTGATTAGGAACTCGCCCATCATTTTTTCAACGCCGTAACTAGACTCGGGCGTTGGTAGCACACTCTCAGTCAGGACAGCAGGCAGCGGATGCCCGTACACGGCCCCGGACGAGGCGTATATAACGCGCACGCCCGGGCACGTGTGTCGTAGAGTATCAATGAGGGCTCGTGTAGCATCGACGTTGACGCGCATGCCAAGGTCGAAGTTGGCTTCGGAGCCTGAGGACATGATGCCATGGAAGACGTATACGGCATCTAGATCGGCAGTAACCACACTGGACGATGCGTCGAAGAGATCTGCTTTGATGCATTTTGCGTTCTGGGGATGTTTGGCACTGCGCGGGATAGGGGGCTCGATGATGTCAGTAAGTATTAGGGTGTGCAATGGGTCGGCGAGAAGTTGTTCGGCGAGAATCTGGCCGATGAAGCCTGCGGCACCGGTGATGAGGATTCTCATGGTTGAAATTGTTGAGGGGATATGGTCTTGAATCTCAATCGGCGTACGTGATTAGACTCGAAAGGCTATCAATCTGTGGTTCACATTCATTCGTAAGACAATCCTGATTGGTTCAAACAGTGAGAAGCACTTATTATAGTGATATTTTTCCCTGGCTTTATAAGAAATCATGAAAGCATCGAAAGCAGGTCTCAACGGATTATAAAGTCAGTCCATAGATGTTACCGGCGCAAACCCCGCTCAGGCCCGGCGGCCAAAATGCCGACGTCGCCTTTTCGGCGACTGCCAGCCCCAACTCTACGCTTATATCCAGAATCTCTCGTCCTTGTGTGACGGCATACTGATTTTCTACTTACGTAGAACACACAATAGAACTTGAAGACAGAGAATGCATGATCAAGTTTCAATTCATAGTTTTTCGTCAGGTCGGCTGGTCATAATAAAAAGTCAATGGTTGTGTTAGTCAGTTCGATGACAACAAAAACTCCAAAACAGAATGCCACCTATCAGAATCGAACTGATGATCTCCTCATCTCCCTAGCTATACTAGTGAGGCGCTATACCACTTAGCCAAGGCGGCTGTGGTGATGTGCTTGTTACCCAAAAACGCTTTATAATTTATCAAGCTTGATCCATCAGATCGCGTCTTTCGTAGCGTGCCCTTATGCGGTCAGCACTGCAGTTTACTCGGCCCTCACTCTGAAAATGTCTATGCAGCACACCGAGAGACAAGGACAGGCTGACTTCGTAAGTCTTACATCCATGTCTCGTACCATATCAGATTCTACTCATCTGTGCCGATGTCATGAGCTTTGCGCACGCAAGTTTGAACATCAATGCTCATGTAAGCAGTGGTAGATATTGCCCTCCCCAGTGACAAGCAATCTAATTGGACAATCAAACACCACTCCATGTCAGATCAGCAGTTTGTATGCTATTTCAATTTCAGACTACAGATGATAGTGGATGTGAACTGCAGTATCCATCTCGAAACTTAAATGACGGCATCACTTACGCATCCAATGCTGTTTTGAACACCTTCCGCAGTTACCCGACATAACGCGGGACGCCGCCGACGCTACAGTCTTTCCTGAAAGCTCAAGTCGGATCTCCGTACACCTTGAACGAAGAAGCATACAATCGACAGCTACAACAACATGAAGTTCTCTAGATTAGTACCTCTGCTTGTTCCGATCATCCAAGGATGTCTCCTCTCATCGCTCGTGGCAGCGGTGCAAGATTCTGATGACTGCCCTACCCAAGCGCATAACAACGCTACAACACGTTATCTCAATCTTACTGCCATCAACGCTGTGGATGGAAAATCTGTACTTGAATGCTGGCAGCTTGGGCCCTTTGCGACATCGTCTGTTTCGGGGACCACGGGCTCACTTGCTCTCTTCTTGGGCGACACATCGAATGCAACGTATTCAGTCCTACCTCCCAGGTATAATGGAGGGGTCCATACTGCACCTGCCGTTCAGTGAGCAGAGCCACAAATCTAGAATTGGTGTATGCTGATCATATACTAGATATGTCTTTTTCGCGTCCGGCCTGGCTCACGTAACACTTCCAGAGAGTTCAGATGATGCATGGATTCAGGGGGGCAAGTACGGGCTAGTCATAGCAGCCGATACTTCTGATATCTCTGAGAAGGGTCATATCACGACGTATCCTAGCGACGACGATACTATTGGTCTCCAAGTGCCCCTCAAGGATGGAAAAAGGCCCAAGTACTCACTATTGCATGCAGGGGCGTGCAGATGGGAGGACGTGGTAGGTTCTTAGCCCCGAGATCCACAGCAGCTCTGGTAGTCGACAAGCGGATGATGAAAGAGTCTCCTCCACATCAAGCTTTCAGATTTTGTTCTTCAAGATGTTCTGATTGATCGAAATTGCCGTATGGTATGATTGTTTCTTTTGCATCAGCTTCAGATCAATCAAACACACTATGTTCGCCACAATGGTGTTCCTACTGCTCGACCAGTGAGTAGTGTCTATTTTACCTTGATATCCACTCAATGAACGGACAAGCGGAACCCCACACCACAGGCGATGTGTCATCTGCGTCTCATATAGCGCAACGTAGTTATACAGTGGCGTCTGGGGCGAGCAAACGGCGTAGGCGGCGTGTTGTGAGTTGCGGGGTCGCTCGGCTCCAATTCACTCGCCAATCTCCACGGGTCTCCTGTAGAAGACTAGGCCCACATCCGAGCGCTAGTTTGCCGATTGACAAGATGCACTATTGGCCAAACAATGCCATGTTGGCGTCCCTGAGATGGGTTTTGCCTACCTAGGTTCGACGCTGATCTTCCATGGGGTAGTTTCTGGATGCACTTTCCTTCAAACTTGAGCGATCGGCGTGACCTGGTGGAGGCGTTGCTCACAGCGCGGCAATTACTTGCATTGTCGTGTGTATAAAACTATGGTTCCCGTGTAACCTTCGATCCCTCTCTAGGTTGGACACATTCTACACCTTACAAGCCCTTTATCTCCATTGCATCCATTCTCACAAAATGACAGTTAACGGGACCAACGGGCACACCAATGGTACGAACGGTCATGCGGCCTCACTACCATCCCTCGACCAGTTTCTTTCCAAGGACTATGACTTTGTCATCATTGGAGGTGGTGCTGCTGGCCTCTGTGTTGCCGCTCGGTTGACAGAAGACCCCAACGTGTCTGTTGCTGTACTCGAGGCAGGAAAGAACAAACTCAACGACATGATCGTTGATACACCGGCCATGCATTTGCAGGCTTTGGGTGACCCCGACTATGACTGGATGCTCTTTTCAGAGCCACAGGTGCGAAGAACTTCCGATGGCGCACTACCCTGAACACCAAATACTGATATTACATGCAGGGAAACTTCAAAGACAGAGTCCTGCACTATCCTCGTGGTAAGGCTCTCGGTGGATCGACAGCGATTAACTATATGATGTAAGAGCCAAATTTTTATTCTTGATAACCTAGCATGACCTTCGGCAGTTGTATACAACATTTGTGCCACGAGCGATTAAGTAACACATTCAATATAGGTATGCACGCGGATCAGACGCAGACTTCGACGACTGGGCAGAGCTTGCGGGGGATCCAGAATGGAACTCTAATGGCCTTAAGAAGTATTTCCGCAAGCACCAAACTCTTGAGCCTTTCGATGACTCTATCACGGAGCGAGGGACTATGCCTTTCGTAGGAGAAAATCACGGTTTGGAAGGTCCAGTACGCACTGGCTTTAACAATTTCAGGCTACCAATCGAAGACGATATCATTAAGGCGGCCGATGAGGCTACAGGCTTGACGAAGAAACCTATGGACCCATGGAGTGGTGACCACATCGGCTTCTACAACACCCTTGGTATGGTCGCCAGAAACGGGCCACACAAAGGGAAGAGATCATATGCGGCCCGAGGCTTCTTTGAACCTAATCAGAATCGTCCTAACCTTGCCGTCCTTTGTGAGGCGTTCGTTGAAAAGATCGAACTCAACGGCAAAAAGGCTGTCGGTGCTACCTTCACCCACAATGGACAGCAGCACACTGTCAAGTCAAAGAGGGAAGTGATTGTCGCCGGAGATGCTCTACTCACTCCACAGATTCTTGAACTGTCGGGTATTGGAGACCCTGAGATCCTTCGCGCAGCAGGTGTCGAAGTCAAGATCGAGAACAAGGGAGTGGGTGCAAACTTCCAAGACCATGTTCTTACGGTCGGAGCTTACGAGCTAACTCCGGGCAACATCTCACTCGACGCAATCATCGATCCTCAAATGATGGAGCAAGCCCAGAAGATGCTCAAAGAGCAAAATTCGGGTCCTCTCACGTCCATCTGCAGCACGCAAGGCTTCCTCCCGGTGAGGTGGTTCATGACCGACGCTGAATTGACCGAAACAGTCGAAAGCATCCGAAAGACGGCGAACGGCTCAACGCCGTTCCAGAAGAAGCAACTCGAGCAAATCATCCGACAATTGGAAAGCGATACCTCCGCTAATCTCCAACTTGTTGCGGTGCCGACAGCTTGTAATACGGAAGATGGATGGGCCAACCAGAAGTCTATCTTCCCCACTCCAACTGATCCCAAGAAACCACACAATATAAGTCTCGCGGCGTGCTGTCAATATCCCGTATCTCGAGGCACCGTGCACATCAAGAGCTCCGGTATGTGTCATTAATCGCGTTCTTGTCGCATGTGACTGACAAAGAGTAGATCCAAAGGAAGCCCCAGCCATCGACCCAGCATTCATCAAACACCCTGCTGACGTCGCCGTCCTGGCCGCATCACAGAAAATGATGAACAAAATGCATCAATCCAAACACCTCTCTTCCAAGATCGCACGCCGTGTTTTCCCACCAGAAAACATGGACATGACTGACACTGCGCAAGCTAAGGCTGCCGTCAAGGAATTCGTACTTTCGGAGTACCACCCCTGCGGCAGTGTTGCCATGGGCGATGCCCTAGATTCTCACTTGCGAGTGAAGGGAGCAGAGGGCCTACGCGTCATTGATGCCTCTGCGTTCCCGAACAATGTTTCGGGTAATATCTGTTCTGCAGTCTACGCGCTTGCAGAGAAGGGTGCGGATATCGTCAAGGCGGATAACGGAATCAAGGTTTAATACTGGTGGAAGCGGAGACTTGGTCTACGAGTGATGCAGCGATTACTGTCCTACTGAAAGGCTCGGACGAGCCTTCAACTGTAACGTACCGATGTGCTTGAGCCTTAACAGTCGTTACATGTTTTGATATCATACATGATGCTCCTATTGGAGTCAACCTCGAGTCCTTCCTCAACATATAAGGCCAACAGTGTGATAGGCTACGTGCAGCTCTACTTTCATCTCTTAGTCGTCCTGCCATCGACACCGGCGGAGAGAAGAATCGAGTTCTTTGGCAATTTGCAGATAGCTTCAAGAGTGATTCTTTTTGATGTGCATCGTATCCTGGCGGCCGATAGTACTCTGTCTGATTGTCTGGATTAATGATGATGACCAGGCACCCCCCCTTACGTGCATTTCCTATGGGCTCAGCCGCACCACCGGGCTCTTTCAATCGTGGTGCATGCCCACAGTCACCCAATTTATCCACGATAAGTGGAACTCGTGTGACGGCGGAATTTCGATTTCAAAAAGCTGTTGGTAATCGATTCCTGTACCTCGACTAGAAAAGAATGTTGCCCGCCCGGATGGATGGTTCCCGGAATCTGAAAGAAGCAGGAGACACTCCCTAGAAATGCGCCAGGGAGCAAGGTATTTGCCGGCTGAGGGACGGTCGAGTCGTCTCGGAGCTCATTCCGAACACCTCAAGCGCTTGTCGGTATCGCATAAGATTCGCTGTGCTGACATCACACTTGGCGATGCTAAGTAACGAGCGGGGACGATGCTGATAGAGGAAAGTAGCTCAATTTCTTTCACTTTCCACAAAATCCTTTGATCATATGCGCGTCTTCCCAAGGCTAGACCATTGGAATGTGAACTGCGCCCTCTGATATGATAAATGGACATATCCCCTATAGCAAATCTTCTGCCCAAATCATAGCAATCTTGAAGTCGAGAAGCCAACTTTGAATGCTGGTCGAGATCTCCCGTGCAGCCGCTGACTCGAATTATAGATGCATATCCGAAGGTGAAGAAGGAGCTAAGCTCGGCATAATGTTTGAGCGTACAAGCCCATATGTCTCGCATATATTAGGTGTGACTTGGCAAAATGAATCCGCAACGTAGACTCACCCGGTCGGGTGGAACAAGGCTTGTGTCTTCTCAAGACCACAGCCTGGGCCTTGATCGCACATTGTTAGGAATACACACTATCGTGTGACACTTCCTGTACCTTAGTGCCATTCAACCAGAGTCCTGGAGTCTATAACATGAGATGATCGTGGCATGACCAAAGGTGTGGAGTTGCAGGCAGCAGCAGAAGACAGAAATCACTCGAAGCTTGGATGATATGACTGTTTCTTCAAGGCCACTGACAGTCCAGGTCTAGCCTTGGAACCTGGCAATCTTCTGCAGAGCATCGTCGATGAGTTCTGTGCATATCTATGCCACACATTGGATATCGTTGCATACAGGCCGATTTGTCCCCAAGATAGGATCCTAGTGAATTTCCGAGCCCCGCCGCTCAGTACGTAACAAGCACTTGGGCATCAACATTAAAGGCCCACGGAACCGTCAAACGGCGTACCCGCGACATTCCATTCCTTTACCCCGCGCCCCAATCGCTCAGATCAGAGCATATTGCGCCCACGTCGACCACAGCACGATGAGAAACCTCACGATGAGTGTATCGATAGGGACGAGCGATGCTAAAGCAGAAGTCCAGGCTAGAAGTGAGACTAGCAAGGGAAACGGAGGAGGCAGCACTGAAGTGATCTCAAAGAATGGCTTTTGCAATGAGAATTCCTCGACCCTGACCTGTGGTAGCGCATTGGGTTAGTATCTCGGACTCTACTCCGAATGATTACTTGGCTCATTAGTAACACCACAGACTACATGTCATTTGATAAGAGTCCCGAGACTACTGGACTCAGCTCGTCACGACAGCCAATGCGATCTGTGCTGAGTCAGGACAAGAAAGTGATACATCAACCGGTCAAAGATTATCCCGATATATCTGTCAGGATGACAGGCAAGGCGCCTTTTGACGCAGAGTCGAATTGGCAACGCCCAATGATCAATGAGCTGGCAGCTGGCGAGGAGAAGCTTTTTGGAGGGTCAAAGTCAAGCATCTCGAGAGTGGAAGGATCATATCAGGATGAGAGAAAGGGGTAGACAGTGATGATCTGTCGTGTTGAAAGTATATTTGTTCCCAAGAACTATCCTTCGTCAACCTCACGGTTTGCCTTTTGGACTAGCTTAGTGCTCTCTTCAAGAGCGTCAGTACCAACTTTCCAACTGCGAAGCACTACTCCTTTTTGACCAAGAATGTCCTGCGCTCGGGCCCATCGTTGTCTCCACATCTGTTCCCGTTTGTTGACCTGAGGATAGTCATGTCGATATTGACTGTTTGAATCAGCTTGCCCAGAAGAGGTACTGTATGACTGCGCAGTCATTTTGGAACTATTATTCCAGGACGGATTATTATATGGCATGGAGCCGTCACCACGACCTGAGTTGTCTCGCGTCCCTTGGTCCTGGGCTCCGTACCAATACGACGAAGCGGACGGCAGATTATTGTATACAGACACTATCTTTTGCTTGGCACTGGATGTATAGGACTGTTGTTGATCGGAAAGTGATAATGGCTTTGGTGGTGCAATAGGTCTGCTTTGGTTCCAAAGCTGAGCTCGTTGCTGTGCACGGGAGTCCTCGATTGATGGCGTAGTAGATACCAAGGTCGAAGTGCGACGCGGTTTCGGGGGTGGAGGTGGATGCTTCTTCTCATTGGTTCGACTATGGCCTTCAGCGGTGCTGTTATCATTGTCGATGCCTGGACTGCGAAGTGAGACAGGTTTTCTAGGCGGTATTGGGGCTTGGGAACGGGGTGACATTGAGCTTGCAACCTCGATCGATGGATTACACCCCGGAGAGCGGTCTATTGGGTACCTCTGTGGTGTCGGGCGATCGAATCCTTTAGGCTCTAGGGGTACCTCGTCGTCAGAGATATCAATCAATTTCTCTTGATCACCGTGCCTTCTGGCAGAAGTGGACTCCATGGGTTTGCGAGGAGGCAGCTTTGGCTTCTGTTCGGAGCGATCTATCTGACTTCTCCGCTGCTCTTCAATCTCCATGTCGCGCAACGATGCGGCTATTGCAGCCTTATAATCTGGGTCATCATCGTCGCTCTGCCCGCGGGCAGCAGCACTCATTTGGCTGTTTCCCGATTGGCCCCGTGCTGAACCGACTCTATCGCCGGTAAGAGGCCCCATTGACGAGTTGAAAAACCCACTACCACTGGAAGTTGTTACGTCTCGTATGAAGACGGCGAGAACTCGTCCAGGGTTTTCGAGAACAAAGTCCGTATACACCTCTAAATCGGCCTCACCGCTATCACCAACCAAAAGAAACTTTCTTTCGGGAAAGTCCCGAGCGATCTTATCCAGCGTCCCTTTCTTGCGCTCTGCTACAGGCTCAAAGATGCCTTGAAGCATGCCACTGTACTGCTTTAGATGAAAAGACCCAGGAGGGAGTCCGGCAAGGGTGAAGAATTTTGATACCACAGGGAAAAGTTGCCAAGGTGAATTCGAGACATAATGGAACTGAACGCCCATGTCAGCTAATCGGCCATACCAATCGCGTACACCATCGATGGTAAGGTCGTCAAGTTCTCGAATAAAAGCATTTCGAAAAATCTCTCGGGCTCCACTGCCAATGGCAGAATGCTTCAGGGTGTCATCCACATCACTGATCAGACTGACACCCTTCGGCCGAGTCACATTGACTTTCTCTGTGGCAGAAAGCTTTTCTGAAGCCAAAACACGTACATGTGTCGGCACGAAGTCCAGCGCAGCGCGCACGCTGAAGTGACCCGCGGCGTTCGTTGTCACGGTCCGTTGCCTCGAAATGTCTTCATTATAGAAGAATACGCTGATCGCCGTGTTCGCCATTGGGCTCGCCATAAAGGGTTTGAGCCGAGTCATGAGATGTGTGTTGGCTTGGCGTAGCTCTTGTGGGGTCATATTTGCAGGCTGATTCCACGAAGCTCGCTTCTGGATTGGAGTCATGTCTTTCGAGCCATTGCTTCTCATGGATGACACAGATGATTCGTGTCGCAAATCATGAATTCGTGCGTGCATAGTAGAATCAGGAGATGTGGTTCTGCTCCGGCTGCCGAGAATAGTATTACTAGCCTGACCATTTCGAGAACTTTCGCTATACTGGCCCTTAGAGGCAGTTTCAACTTCAGCTTCTCCCTTTCTCATAATATCTTCGGCTTCTTTAGCAACATACGCCTCCTCTTGTTGTGATGTCCTAGCTTGTAGTCGATCTTGATAGGGCAAAGGGCTGGAACTCCGACTGGCTGAGGGCGTTGCTTCTTGTGATGGTGGGGCCGGGATTCCAACCAGCTGGCGAGCTAGTCCAATGAATATGCGCTGCTTCCGTGACATCATGCCCTTAAACGGAGTGTATATCCAACCCCTGACATCTACGTCCACCACAGCATGGTCATCCTCGTACTTCTGCCACTCTAGGCGCCAAAATTCCTCGTCTCCAGGCCCCGAATCTTCCAAGTTTCCGCTGGTTGCCGGAGCATGTCTCCTATCTGGATCAGGCTTAGACTTGACATGTTTTGTCGCGTAACTAGGAAATAGTATCATTTCCTCCTCACCGGTTCGCACCACTGTAGCATCAGGAAAGGCACCAGGGCTATTATCTTCCACATCTTGAAACTGTGTATCTCTTCTCCAACCCTCTGTGTAGCTCTGCTGGTACGACTGCCTTAGCTCATTCGCTGCTTTGAAATACCCGGCCAATTTCTTCCTTCTGGTACCAGGTTCACGCCCCTCCGAGCGCAAGCTGCTGAAATCGGTATTTCCCACACCTTCCCTCCATGAGCCGGTCGACGATTCGGATCTACTCATCTTGACTCCATCTTTGTTTCGTCCTATTCCTGGCAAGTCTTTGCGCTGTTTCACTCGCCGCACCAAGTCTAAAATGCGGCTGGGTCTACGCCTTCGGTTCAGGCTTTGCCTATGTACTATATAACGATAAATCTGGGCTTGTGCGCGGTGGCGAAGAGATGGGAGCGTTTCGGACCGGAACTTCCAAAGGCTCTCGCGGGCGCGCTGGTGGGTATTGGGGAAGAGGTAGCGGAAGAGTGATTTTTTGCCGTGAAGGTGGCCTCGATTTCGATACGGGGGTAGAGGAGCCACTTTGAAAGCGACATTCGTCGGTATATGAAGGTGTAGGTTTAACAATCTGTGGACATGCCAGGTTGCTGAGCAGCTTAGTACAGGGGAAGGGAACCAACGTCATCATCACTGGGACCGACGCACAGACCTTCAAGCTTACTCGTTCTAGAGCAATTATAGAAGACTCCACGTAGGGTTTCACGTTTCGCCTTATCCTCATGACCTTTTCCCTCTAGAGCGGGACGTTTCCACACATAGTCATCATACATATATAGATCATGATTGCAAAGATCTTTATAAGGTTAAAATTACCTTCCAAAGACTGTCTGAGACGCTTTTTCGCCATGCATCCATAATATCGTACCATACCTGTCCTCGCAACTCCTCTCTTTCCATTTCATCAAGATGACGCGCGGATCTTACACCATCAGCTTTGAGTCAAGCACAAATGCTTTAACAAACTCACGGGTGAAGCTTATCATGCTGCCAGAATCTTCCGTGGCCCCTCTCACCAAGAGCGACACCACTGACTAGAGACCTCGCACCTTCTTCCGTGGATCGTGCGAATAAGAAGGTAAATATCATGTAAGCTACCCAGAAGAGTGCTCCAGTGTACGAACGGGCTAGGCCTGACTTGCAGAGTCCTAGAAGTTTGTCAACATAGTCAATACCGCCAATTCACGCATATCAGACCTGGGCAAGTGCCAAGCACTACAACATCTGGGTTGCCATTTTCGTCGTTGACATGGAGGGCCAATTGAGAAATGGCTAGTTGAATGAACAGCTTCGACAAACTGTATTGTCGAGCTGCATTATAGCCGTCCGCAACGTTGAAGGATTCCAGGATGTTCGGTGCCGTCTCATGATCGGCTGGTATTCTGTGCATTACATGCGTCCCCGAGGAAGTGACTTGTAGCACAGCTCTTCGAACGGCAGATCCGGAAGTCTTTAATTTTGGCAAGAGAAGGAGACCAAGAAGCGCTGTTGATAGAACGTTGACCTGTAATGTCTCTTCCCAACCATAGGAGCTGCATTTGAAAGTCTTGTTCCGTATGCCTGCATTCAGAAGCGCAGCATCTATACGCTTTGGATAGTTGGTGGCCCGATCTGCGAAGGCTTGGATACTGGTATAGGAGTTCATGTCTAGTGACCACACTTCGACCAACCCATTTCTTCCCACCCGTTGTTCAATTTTGTGCTTTGCAGCGATTCCGCTATCGATATTACGCACTCCAATGATAACCTTCGAGGCACCCAAAGAGGCAAACTTGATAGCGGCTTCAAATCCCAGTCCAGTGTTCGCTCCCGTTATCAAGATCGTCTGCCCGTCGAATGATGTTGTGGGATCCACTGGTGGCATCCATTTTTGACGGAGCAGTCTATAAAGCCCTGACATCTGAAATATCGAAAGACAGGGGGAAATGTTAGGTTCTCTCCACCATATATGGACCCAAACAGAACTGTGGGACTTGTAGAAACACAGGGATTAACCCTACGGTCTCGAATGTGGTCGCCTGAGGATATTCTTCAACTCATGAAATGACCCGTACTCTGTCTGTTGTAGACAAGAGTAATGTCATGCTATCTAAGACACGTAGCTTATGATGCCGATGCCGAACAGGATCACGTTGGAGGTACAGTGCCTTAGCTGTAGAAACCCACCTAGTGGTGTAAATTATTAATATGATATCCAAAGATGGCGACAATGTTGTTGTGCCTTGAAGATATTGTCCGTGATGTGCTCTCCGCAAACGCTTATCCTGGCCTTATACCTGAAGTTAGGCTCGCTCTGTTTGGTCCGAATCTGCCACCGAAAGCTGTTGAGGTGCCCTGTTAATTATCAAACTTATGAAAGAAGGTCGATGAACTTCAGTGACTCTAGACCGCGAGTAAGTGCTGCGATGTTGTACCTCACAACAAATTATAGGGTGTTGTGTCGGGGCCTGGGAGGATCAACAGAAGTTCCATTTGTTGATTGTACCTACATCAATTGGTGTTATTGGCGGGACCGCGCTAGTTCACAGGAAAGCGCACTACTGAAAGTAATTAGAACCGACATTGAACCGTTTGGTCTGGACGATTCACTTCCCGCTTGCGCAATTCTTGTGGACATATTTCCGCCTATATTTCACAGAACATGGGCTGGCACTTGAAGCTTTCTACATGACAGACAATCACCATGGAGAACTTATCGCTCAACGATCCGCCACCAGGCAGCTTCGATCAAGCACCGCAACAACCTCCGGTCCCGCTACTCCCCCCGCAGATGTTCACAACCGCTGCGCAACTACTTGACTTGACCGATAGTGAGTCCGAGTCACACCAAGCCGTCATATGGGCTTGCTTATATCAGAAGGCTAATACGAAACTCATCAGAGAAATTGATGGTAGCTCTTCGAGATGGAAAGAAGCTCATCGGAGTTCTGAGAAGCTGGGATCAGTTTGGTGCGTTCGCGCGCTGCTCCCCAACAATGCATAGCTAACACGATCCAGGCAACCTTGTTCTTCAAGGTACAGTTGAGCGCATGTATGTGCAAAACCTCTTCGCCGATGTCCCCCGTGGCGTATTCCTGATCCGAGGCGAGAATGTCCTACTCTTAGGTGAAATTGTAGTGTTACATAACGGCAAACGTTCAAGGAAAGTCGAGCTTACAGTAATTACAGGACCTCGACCGGGAAGATGACATTCCAAAAGGCTTCCAAGAAGCTCCCGCCGATCACGTCTTCCAGCTTTTGAAGAAAGAGAAAGAGGCGAAGAAAGAGAAGGACAAAACTCGTCATGCCAGGCTCCGCGCCCTTGGTTTCGAAGGCGAACAAGGTGTCGAGGGGCTTTGAACGTCTGTGAACATAGGTTCAAGACAGATTCGAGGAGCGCCTTAGCTGTGAGCCAGCTTGAATTTGGTCGAAGAAGGCAGAATATTGTGAAATGCTTCCGACCAGGAGGACAGCGAGACTACAAACAGGCACAAGTCATGCTCTCATGGTATACATGAAGCTTCGCGCTCCATTGGGAAAAAAGAATGAAAGCTGACAGACCTATGACTTGCAAAACCTATGTTTCCATGTTCGAGTGAAGTGCTCGCCAGTGTCCTGTATCACCGCCAGCCCTGAGCTCTTACGGCTGGGATTCGACACTGGATATTGCGACCTCCAAGAAAGACCAGTACATCTAAGAGGTGCTCTCCGGCATTGAACACGTTACACGCGGTGTGTCAGCTCGATGGCAATGTATGCTGTGCGCATTGATGATCGCGTCATATAACGAACCATACCCAAAATATTTTATGAGATCGATTAAGCTATATAATGTAAGACTTTGTTGATATATGTGTCAATTACTTCGGGCGAAACATGGTCGGCGTTGTACTGGTCTAACAACACGGCACGTTACATATGAAAAGTTTGACCGAGGCATGCTTTGTAAGACGTACGTATGCGTCTTATGCACACAAGTACCTCTGTATAACACCATATTGTTTTTATATCGAGACTATCAGACAATTATTGGAGTCAATTGCTATACCGTCCAACGGAGGCAGATGAAAAGGCCAGTAGTAAACGCCTGTTGCCCTGAATATGCGAACCGGAACTCCAAGATCCGAATATCAGGATTGTTTCAGATGTTCGAACATGATGATGCAGAATTACCTCAAAGCTGATCTTGCGGCAGCCTTTGAGCGTCTCAAGGGTGCTCCGGTTTCTTCTTCGGCTTCGGAGATATCCTCGTCGTCACTATCTTCCTCACTTTCAACTTCTGACATGTCATCACCTGAGTCTTGCTCTGTTTCCTCAGCCTCGTCGTCCACAAGGCCTTCGGATTCCTCCATGTCCTCGTCCTCATTGTCGAGGCCGTCGTGGGCCAGGGGCATATCGATACCATCATCACCAGAGTCATCACTGAAATTCTCAACTTGTTGCTTTGCCACGTCTGTGGCATCAAGAGCACCATCCGATTCAGAGTCGCTCTCTTGGCCCTCCACATATATTACAGCTTTATCATCCTCCCCTCCAATATCCGCGGAGCGTTGCATGCTTCTTCGCAACTCTACTTGGGCGCTGAGCATGTCCAGCTTTCCCTTTAATGCCAGGAGAGGTTGCAGGCCGTTTGCGCGCTCTCTGATGACTCGGTATAGGCCCTGCAGCTTTTGCATAACGTCTGGCTGCCCAGCAAGATACCCACCATGGGATACGAGTGACCACTGTACCCAGACCATCAAGTTTCCAGCTCTTCCTGGCTTTTTGTGTATCCTTTCCGCTAATCTAGATAGAAGACTGGATACCAAGGGGGATTCTAAGCGCTGAATCGTGGATCTGACGCTATCGAGATCGTTTATCTGGAAACAGGTCTCAAGCAGAACTTTGTCGTTTGTTTTCAGTGCTTGAGTCAAAACTGTACCAAGAGAGTTTCCAGACGGTAGTGCGACTGCGCGGCTGCTGCTATTTGGGGCAGAAAGTGTTCTTGATTCGGGGTCTTGAATGGCCAGCGCATTGTCCACATCGATCAGTTCTCCAAAGGTAGGTCCTGTATCTTCCTCCTCGTCGGCTTCGGCATCATCCTTCTTTGTGGCCGTAGCATCCACAACGTTGGACCTCTGCAATGACTTATCTTGAGTGCTTGGTACTCTCCGTAATGGCCGAGTTATGTCGACTTCGTCAGCCTCATCCGCAGAGATTTCCTCTTCACTATCGACATTCTCTCCATTCGTCCGATTAATTGTGGCATCCTCCATATCCACATCATCTTCTTGTCCGTTGATGACTATCGCCTGCTCTTCATTGAATTTGTGCAATCTGGTATTGCCCTTGGAACCATTCGAAACTTGTGAGGCTCTTTTCTTCTGCACGTCTCCCTTCTGAGGGATGAGGGCATGAAGGTTGGCTGTTGAAGACTTTTCTGACGGCGTGATCTTCTGCTTCTTAGCGGGATGGGGATTCCTTGATGGCTTGGGCGTAGCTGCTGCTTGGCGACTTTGCGACATGATGGCTGGCATGGCTGTTCAAATCATGGATAGCGACACGGCAGATTAAAAATAATGTGAAAGCGGGCAAGCGGGCGGAGACGCCGGGAAGCAGCGAGCGATGAAACTACGAGCGCACAAGAGGCTGACGGGTTGAAAATGAGGATGGCGATGCTGGCGTGGAAAAACGAGGTTCGTGATGACGGAATTTTTCTTCGCCATGAACCGATGAGAATAATTTTCGTTAGGCGTTGCTTGCCGCAAGGATGTTGGATGTGGAGGCAAGCGGCGACACAACGCTAGACCTAAAGTACATTAGCAGGCCCCTTTTGAATACATGCTAGGCGGTACCACGACGGCTATTGGACAGAGCCAGCGGCGGCCCAGGTGAGCTGGAGCAATGCGCGAGATTGAAAAAGCAGAGATCGCGCCCCTCACGCGTTGGAAAGCCAAAGATCTGGTCCCCTTTCCTCGCTGCTAAACTCCAACCCGCTGCGCGCTGCGACATCCGAAGCCAACCTCCGGACTTTCTTCTTCCCTTGCGCGCCTTCCAGCTCCGCTTCCAGCAGCCAGCAAAGCCAGCAGTACTGCTACTAAAAACGCTTGACCCCGACCCCGCCCTCGCGCCTTTCTCCGAACGCAGTCCAGCCTAATTATAATATTTAATACGTCCGCTTCACTCACAACAATCATCTTTGGTGATTGTTGGGCTGCCATCATTGCGAATCGACCTCACGTGAGCTAATCCGCTCCTCCTTCTACCCCGGTCCGTCCTGTGCAAACAGACCACACACACGCCAGGGTCACTTTTGCTAGTGCAACTCTTACGTTTCAGTCTTGTTTACCTCCATCGTAGGCCGCCTATACACGTCCCACTGGAGAGCCCGTCCTGCCATCATCCACCATTCAACATTCCTTTTGCAGCCCCAGCGTCTTTCTTTCTCCTCTCTGTCTCTCTGTCTCTCTCTCCGTCTCTGTTCCTTTCATCTCCTCCTTCTATCATTGAACGACACGACCACCCTCCAAACACTCAACCAAGCTCCGGTTTCTCCCGCCCGGTGGTACGCGCATAGGTGCAGTTCCGAATCTACGCAGAAAGGAACGACGACAGCTAGGTGTGTTGTTTGCGCGCCCGGTATTTTATTTTATATTCCAGCACAGCCTATCGCGACATTTCGGCCAATCAAGACGCTGTTGTTAACAAGACCCTGCGTCAAAAACGGGCTACTGCACTGCGCGGCACCTGTTTTGGACACTTGACTCATCGTTACGATCAAAAAGTGGAGGCGCAGAGACGTCACGTGTCCTTTGCCGTCGAGCCAGTCGGTTTCATCAGCTCGCAAGACATAAAGGCGTCGGCCGCCAGCTCTCCGATCAGCTCCCCTCCTCCAGCTGAGCTTGTAGCTACCGCCACCCCCACCATTTCCTCGCATCCGCACCTCCATTTATTACCGAAGTTTACGCAGACCTACTTCGAAATTCTGTCGCGCATCACCTCTTTCGCCTCTACAACAATCGCACCATCCCTTCTTCATCTTCATCTTTCGACCGGCGCGTCGCAATCCACGCGCGCTTCAGAAAATTAACCGTCGCCGTCTGCACGTAAGACCGAGTCTAACTGCGATCGCCGTCCTAACTCAGTCGCGCCTACCGCGTGGTGTCTACCGCGGCAAGACGCCTAGTCACCCTCTCACCTTTACATGGCAGTGATGGCATCATCATTCATGGACAAACCGTCCATCGAATCAAGACCTGTCGTCACATCAGCTGGCATTATAACAGTCACTGTAGACACCAATGGGTAAGATACCACAGCAACTTTTCTTACATAGGCGCGAATTGCTTCGCGTAGTCGCGTCAAATTGTACTGACTGGCGCAACTCCAGGGCAACACCTGATCCATCCTCACTCGAAAACGGCAACTCTACTCCAGAGCAGACGGTCACTTTGGCGGACGAACAGCCGTCGCTTGTTGCGAAGTCAGACAACGATAATGCCTCCGATCTAGACATGACAATTGCGCCTGCCGACGAAGTCACTAACGGTATTGCGCCAGTCGCGCCCTTCCTACCTGACCCAACTCCGAATTCAGATCCTATCACCGGAATACCTCCCTTAGTCGACGCACCGACGTCTGCTATTCGCGCCGACTCTTCTGAAGAGTTACCACAGCTCTCACTCGGAGCTAACCCCGATATCATGGACACGACAGGCGACACTACAACTTCGGTTCAAGAATCCCAAATTGTTCTCACTCCTGAGACAGACACGAAAGTACATAATGCGACACGAAAAGAAGACCCTGCCCCGCAGATCGATGCCTTGGCTCCAATCGAACCCACTACAACAAACAATGCATCAATAGCTGACGTAGATGAAAAAATGGCTGACTCGACTGGAGATATTCCACCTACTACGGATGAGGCTATGTCAGACGCTCCATCGCAGTCGAAAGTACGAGCACGTGAAGATGACGACGTCGAACAACGATCTCCAAAGCGCGTGAGAACTGCAGATGCAGAGTCAATTGATGCAGACCCGCCGGCGTCGGGCATGTCCAAGGTCGAGCCGACAATAGTGTCTGAGCAGATACCTCCAATTGCCCAAGAGAGTACCACAGCTGAAACACCTAGTACCGACACAGCGCCAGCAACAACCCAGGTAATAGCGAACACGCAATACACCCCGATATTGGCTCAGTTCGACTCGGAGCCGCTGCTACCACGGCAAAAAGCAGGTTTGCTCCGCGTCTTACAGAACGCGAAAAAGGCAAAAGCTGCGCTTGCTTTTAAGGAACCCGTGGACCCGGTCGCGCTTGGCATCCCCACCTATCCCAGTATCGTGTCACACCCAATGGATCTGAAGACCATGGAGACTAAGCTCAAGAACGACAAATATGGCACAGTGGACGAATTCATCTCTGATATGTGCCAGATGGTCAAGAACTCATTTCTTTTCAATGGATCATCGCATCCCGTATCGACTGCAGGCACCGTTCTAGAAGCATTCATGGCAAGAGCTATAAAGTCCAATGCCACTCGGGGCAGTGTGCAGGTCCCACAGCCTGCCAAGCCAGCTCCCTCGGCTCCTACCAAGAAGGAGACGCGTCGTCGATCTACCACTAAATCAGAGAAACCCGTCATTCCACATCCGGCTCCTGTTGCGGCATCACCTACCACATATGCTCCTATTGACGGTGTTCCCATCATTCGAAGAGACTCTACCACGAATGATGGCCGACCTAAGCGAGAGATACAGCGCCCGAAGCCAAGAGATTTGCCATATAGCGTCAAGCCCAAAAAGAAGAAATTCCAGATCGAACTGAGATTCTGCGAACACGTGATGAATGAGGTGAAAAAGCAGAAATACGCGAGAATCTCCTGGCCATTCGCGAATCCTGTAGATCCTGTGGCACTCAATATCCCGACTTATCACAAGGTTATCAAGAAACCTATGGACATGAGCACCATAGACAAGAAGCTCAAGCAAGGCGATTATCAGACGTCAAAAGATTTTAAAGCCGACTTCGATCTGATGTTCGCCAATTGCTTCAAGTTCAACCCCGACAATGATGAAATCAACAAGATGGGCAAAGAGTTTCAGGCTATAGTGAACGAATTATGGGCTGGAAAAGAAACATGGATTGCGAACCATCAGCCACCTTCAGACCCAGTTTCATCTGCGGAGGAGTCTGACGATGATGAAGCAAGTGATGACGAACAAGACACACGTCAGAGAGATTTGCTAGACATACAACGACAAATCGCAATGCTGAATAGCCAAGCACAACAAATTATTGAGAGTGCAACTAAGCAGGCGTCACCGAAGGCGCATGGGAAGAAGAATGGCAAAACTGGTAAGAGCAGTAAGCAAAAGAAGAACAGCGGTGGAACGGCATCATCGAAGCCTGGCAAGTCCAAGAAAGCCAAGAACGTGACGCCTTTGACGTTCCAACAAAAACAAGAGATTTCGGAGTCGATCAGTGAACTGAGTGAAGCCGACATGGGAAAAGCAATGCAAATAATCCGCAACGGTTGTCCAAACCTAAGCGTAAGTTTTTGGCCCCTTCACTCGTCACCACATTGTTTGTTAACACTGCTTAGAATGGCAACGATGAAGAGCTCGAGATAGATATGGAGATGATTCCCGAGGACGTCCTGCGTCAGCTGTACAAGTTCGTCCGTAACAAACGACCATCGATGCAGAAGAACGATGAGATCTCGGACGACGAGTTTGAGCCCCCAAAGTCTGCAGCTCCCAAGACGACCAAGAGCAAGAAGAACAAGCCAATGAACAAGAAGGAACAGGAAGACAGCATTGAGGCTATAAAACGTCAACTCGAGACGTTCAAGCAGGGTGGTTCAGGATCTGAAGAGCCAGTATCTCCAGCGAACCAGGACGACTCAAGCAGCGACGATGATGCGGCTTCAGAGAGTGAAGAGGAGTAGATTCCCCCTTTCTGCCTTATACAGTAGTATGCCTAGCTTTTTCCATGCACTGCAAAATTTGGAGGCTTCTTCGGCTGCACTGTCATGTACCAACATAACGATCCTCATCATTCTTGTGAATAGATTTATCGACGACAGCATCGGAATCGTCGGATAGCGAACGAGACGTAGCTCTTTCATACTCCGACTCAATTGTTCTCTCCTTCTGCCATGTTTCCTCAGCGATACATACCTTGGGTGGTGGTATCGGGCATGCGATTCGGTCTTAAAGGTCGCTAACAAGCATGCGAGCAGGCTGTCTTTGCATGGCGAGGTTGGTGTGAGGGATAGCACGAATGCCTGAGTTGTATATTAGCGAGTAACAATGCAGAAATAACATGGACTTGTTGACTGCGTTTCAGAATGCGCGATTGTTTTGATAGTGGATATTTTGACGCCTAGAACGTGATTTAGCTCTCATAAGCAATGGATGAATATGAGTGGGAGCTTTCGAGTGAAGTTTTTCTCTTTCACTGTGAGTTGGCATAAGGTAAGGCTAATATACAATGATAATAATAGCTAGGTGGTCAGTCCAAGCTAGCGAAGAAGCATTTGGTTGCTGTTCTCCGACTAGCGCGTTCTGGCTGAGCTTTCTGGGAATCTGATCCGATCGCGACCTGACCCAGTCGAAAACACTAACGTATTCGGCCTCAAAGCAATCGCGCTCTGCTCTACGCAACTGCACCACTACCTTACTCGACGCTATCGCATCACATCTAGCAACACATTCTGCTCGTACATACTTCTGTGCCGGTCTCGGATTCGCCGCAATGGCGCCTATGCCTATCAGCGAAGTGAAAGGCAACCCACGCGAAAATCGTACCGCCGCGCATTCACACATCAAAGGCCTAGGCTTGAGGCCTGATGGCCGGGCTGAAGGAAGCACATCGGGCTTCGTAGGCCAAACTGCAGCTCGGGAGGTAAGTACTATGTTCCAGTTTTCCCTTCGCTTCAAGGCTAAAGAAACGCGCCTTTCTAGGCTTGTGGTGTCGTAGTGGACTTGATACGTGCGAAGAAAATGTCAGGAAGAGCTGTGTTGTTGGCGGGTGGACCGGGAACAGGGAAGACTGCACTCGCAATGGCAGTGTCGCAAGAGCTGGGAACAAAGGTGCCCTTCTGTCCAATCGTTGGAAGCGAGATATACTCCACAGAAGTCAAGAAGACGGAGGCACTGATGGAGAACTTCAGAAGAGCTATCGGTATGTGTATCTCTCTTTCTCACTATCATTGTCGAATGATGCGAAGGAGCAGAGGCCACAAAGTGCGAAGACTAACAATCAGAAAGGACTTCGCGTTCGCGAAACCAAGGAGGTCTATGAAGGCGAAGTGACGGAGCTGACACCCGAAGAAGCTGAGAATCCTCTGGGTGGCTATGGACGTACTATCTCGCACCTGCTCATCACCTTGAAGGCCGCGAAAGGAACGAAGAAGCTTCGGCTGGATCCTTCCATATACGAGGCAATCCAAAAGGAGCGCGTTCGCATTGGCGATGTTATCTACATAGAAGCAAACACCGGGGCTGTTAAACGAGTGGGCAGATCAGATGCTTATTCGACAGAATTCGACCTCGAGGCTGAAGAGTATGTCCCGATACCAAAAGGCGACGTGCATAAGAAAAAAGAGATTGTACAGGATGTTACATTGCATGACCTGGACATTGCCAATGCTCGACCACAGGGAGGCCAAGACATTATGAGCATGATGGGACAGCTGATGAAGCCAAAGAAGACCGAGATAACGGAGAAGCTGAGGCTTGAGATCAACAAAGTTGTGAACAAGTACATCGACCAAGGGGTTGCAGAGCTAGTCCCAGGTGTTTTGTTCATTGACGAGGTAAGTAGCTTTCTCTGTATTGGTTGGATCTGTCTTTTGACCCGAGTACAGGTACACATGCTGGATTTGGAGTCTTTCACTTATCTCAATCGTGCTCTGGAATCGCCCATCTCACCCATCGTGATTCTTGCGAGTAATAGGTCTTCTGCTCCTATTCGATACTCCTCGACTTCTCTTTCGAACGGCGAAGCTTCTCTCCCTGCCTCACCTCATGGTCTACCCCCTGACCTTCTTGCTCGACTCCTCATCATTCCCACTCACCCGTACAATTCTCAAGAAATTGATCAAATCGTACGCATTCGAGCACGCACGGAAAACCTCACGCTCAGTGAGGACGCATTCGCAAAGGTTGGTGAGCTTGGTGTCAGTGTCAGCCTACGGTACGCCCTGCAATTACTCTCTCCCGCCAATGTCCTGGCCAAAGTTTCCGGCCGTGAAGCTGGCAAAGTCGAAAGAGTTGACGTTGAGGAGGCTGAGGGACTTTTCTGGGACGCAGGAAGAAGTGCAAGTGCATTGACTACTGGTAAGGGTTGGATTGTATAAATACTTCTTATATCTGGTGTTTGGTGTACTCGCATGTAAAACAGGATCACAGTCTATTGGGCTGGGCGATCTGGCACATCTGGCACAAAACAATCGCTATCCAACCTGGAATATCAAGATTGCCAATCATGATATGTAGGATAAGCCATTAACTCCCTATACTTATTGGGTATCGTCGATGCTACGGCGTGCGCCCGTTCTCGTGAAGCTTTAGCCTTAGATGGACTATATAGGAATACTATGCCGATTTGAAGAACTGCGGGTATATGTCTCGCAACTCCTCAAGATCATTGATTTGATACTGTGAGGCTCTGGTCGTGGGTTCTGGCTCCGTCGAATCGATCAGGTGCGCAGCAGTCCAGCCAAGCTCCTTTGCCGCTTTACAATTGATGAAAGAGTCATCTATCAGGTCAGGCTAACAGCTCGAGTGAACTAGAAATAGAGCGAAGACTTACCAACAAAGAAGCAGTTCCCAGTATCCTTGACGCCTGCTTCCCTCATCGCCTTCTCGTACATCTCTCTGGCTGGCTTACAAACAAACTTCTCGGCGCCGTAGTCGCAGAACGTAATGCCCTCGAACATATCGTCAACCTCGAGTAGTTCGACAACTCGCTTCCCGTGACTTATGTACGCATTCGTCAGTAACCATGGCTTGACTTTGGTCGTATCCAAGTCTTGGAGCATTTTTCGGAGCTTCGGGTTTGGTCTGATCACACCCTCGAGGGGCAGTGCATCATCAACTTTGGTGTTGTAATCAAGAGGGTCGACCTTGTGGTGGCGGACAAGTCCTTCGATGGCAAGACCGTATTCTTTATAGTATCGCATGTGTAGTTGGTTGGCATCTGCTTGAGACAGCGAGAGGTGCGTTTCGAAGTATGCGTCAATGAGATCTGACATTAGCCTGTGAACTTGGGTTGACTTTGGATATAGCTATATGTTGTCAGACGGCATCAATACAGGAGGGAGCTGACAGATCGGAGATTGACCGGGGCGATAGAACATACACAATTGTCTATATCAAAGAATAGAACTGGTCTATGAGCTAGGCTGGCCATAATTGGAATGCTCTATATTTGAGAGGTCAACTCTGAATTCTTAGAAATCAGGTATGTCAGAATTTAATGAGTCTTGTTTCCAAATTTCATTTACCAAATCCCATAGAGATGAATCACTAACTTTCATACAAAGAAAGTCACGGTCGCCCAATGATGCAGGTTCCCGCGGCCAACGCGCAGCTAGCTGTTTTCGGGTTGCGCGTTCGGCAAGGTGCTCCCGGCCTCCTCAATTTCAATCTCATTATCGCAAACTTCAACACCTGCGTCTCCTTCACTTCATAACCACAGTGTTCGTTCATTCCGACCTTGCTCTTCGTTGACTGTCTCGGAGTCATGCTGTGCCCATCTCAAAGCTGTCAGCATAATATCACACAGTAGAGAAGTGCGCATCACACCACAGTCCAGTGTGGCAGAGCCAGAGACGCTCCAGACTCAAAGCCAGGAAATGGCTTCGACAGACTCGCCGTTGATTAACGGCCACTCGATGCCTTCACCTGGTCTGCAGCAATACGCTGACTTCTACGAAAAGCTTTCTATATTACAACAGGAGGTCTATACAGGCAGACACTCGCGCATCAGGTTACCTGAATCTGTAGTTGCGCGATTGATGCAACACACAGTGCAGAATGTGCCATCAACGTCTGTTCCAGTAGCTAATGGAGACACTAACGTGTCGATCTATACAACGCGCTCACCCACATCTCAAGACCCAGCTGCAATCTTGTTCCCGCCCTACTCCACGGAGAAGGCATTAGTACCGCCTCCTATCCCTTCGGCGAAACGTCAACTGTCGGAACTTGATCCAATTTTCTTGACAAAGTCTGATGATCTGGTGAGAGCAGAAACACAATTAAGACGCCAAAGAATAGAACGATCGCTCAAAGACCTATATGATGCGAAGAAAGGATTGCCACGCGACAAAGACTTTCCTTATGATTCTGAGATACGTTTTGACGTTGACGAAATCTTGGCCAAAGCTCTTGCACTGGTCGAGCCCGTGTCAGGCTTCGATGATCCAGAACCCAGTGATTCGTTCGATGAGGATTCTTACTACTCAAGTAAAGCAAATAGCTGGTCTACAGACGAACAGGCCGCTAGTGGTTGGAAGGATGATCATACCATACAGTCAATTGCTACTAAAGGCAAAGCCGGACTGATCGTTGAAGAGACTCAGCGAGGTATGCCTGATACTCAGGCTGAAGACATTGATCCGGATGACGACGATGAATACGAGCCAACAGCTGACCTGGAGATGATAGAGCCTGAGTATGAACCAGAACTATCTGGTGCTCATCACAGTGAAGATGATGATTACTCACCTCCACCAGCAGACTTGAACTCATCACGCGCTCCAAATGGTCATGTCCCAAGCATACCTGTAAATACGTCTGTGAGTATCATCAACTCAGTGTATGAGGTCAATCTAACCAATTGCAAACAGGCCCGCAATGCAAGGCGCAGCCGAACACCAGAGCCAGTACCTGTGTTCAGGAATCAGATCACATCTCCTATCGCCCCGCAGCCTTCTCGTATCTCCCCCCTGGCCACGGCAAAACAACCGCGCGGGACTCGGAACCGCAATAACCAACATGGGCAACAGAATAAGAGTCGACCTGGCTCACCGGCTGGTCATGAAAATGGAGGCCCGAGCCGGCAGAACAAACAGGGAAACGGTAATTTTAAGTCGCCTCGTAACACAGGTCAACAGAGCCCCAATGTACCCAAGAACGGCATCCAAAATCCCCGAAAACGAAGGAGAGAGGAACAAGCAGAGAAACAGGCAGAGAAGCGACGGAATTCTGGAAAGAGAGTCGCGCGCTCGCCTCCAGTCCTTGAGCCAGTCATTAAAGAAGAACCCGTCTCACCACCACCAATCGCCAGGCTCTCGGATCCGCAGCCGTTGCGGCGACGACTGCATGAATATCCCAGCGACCTCGAGATCATTCAACCAAGGGAGTTGGTACGACCTGTTTATTACCGGGATGTTGAATCGAGACAAGCTCAGCGTGCCTATGAAGTCGACGAACCCACTACACCAATTCAGACTGTCGCTAGAGTGCCTTCGACTTCCAGTCACAGACGAATCTTGGAAAGGGACGATCAAGACCTGAGGCGAGTCGCTAGTCTACAGTATGCTCGCCGGCAATCCCCTCCTGCAGATGGAAGATCTTCACGAGCAGTCTCACACGCATTCGTAGAGCCATCCCTACAGCCAGTGTACCGTACGGCTTCCACGCGCCCAACCCCTTCACAGTATATCCGCGACCGATCCAGGTCGCCAATATATGTTGAGGATGCTTACGCAGGAGCTATGCGCCCACCTCCTGCACCAGCTCCAAGACCTTTCATCGTGGATGAGTACGGCAATAAATACTACGCTGCACTACCGGAACGTTCACGCGTAGTAGAACGCAGCTCTACTAGGGAACCAATGCTACGCGCGTCAGTAAGACCTGTGGATACATATGATGACGAAGAGGTTGTGCGAATGCCTCCACCGGTACGTAGGTACATTGAGCACGCTGAACCTGAAAGGCAATACCGTGTCCGCGAATTTTCGACGGCTCGTGATGACCCGAGTCGCCAACCTATTGCTATGTATGAAGACATGCCGCCTCCGCCACAGGCTTATGTAAGTCGTGCATACAGCATGCGCCCTGAAGTAGTTCATCGTGAGCCCGGCGTGGAGTATGTGACGAGGCACCAGTCAATCGCCCCAGGTAGAGATTTTCCAGGACGAGGAGCATCTGTGGCACAAGGATATAGAGAGGTCAGTGTGATGAGGGAATCTAGACATCACGAAGAAGGTGTACGGCACATTACGTATCAAGCGCCTACCTCTCAGCGAAGATACGTGGATGAGGGTGAGGAAGACCTGTATGGGGAGCCTTCGAGAAGAGTGGTTTACCGCTAACAATTGGTCGAGAATTGTACTATGTTTGTATATTTATTTTTAGCTAGCTGTGCCAACAGCCGCGGAGTCCGCTCTTTATATATTGTCCGACAAGTCGGGATATAGCAGTCCATTTGACGTTACCAAACATGCAGCCAATTGTGTGAAAGCAAGGCATTTAGAACAACAAGGTATGTTGAGTGGCGTTTGCCCGCGATTCCGGTACCGGCACTCAGGATACTCGGCAAAGGTCGAGGTTTTGCATCCTTGCAACAGTCATCATCCCAACACGATAGAGCACGTGTATAAGTGTCTTAGTTCAATAGGCATACGTCACCCGGTGATTTCTTCTTCCTTTGCTGGTTCACGAGATAAGAGCGCCGTTCCAAGGGCATGATTGACACTACCTTGCTTTTTGTCTCCGCCGCCACGCTCATCTACAGCAGTGCAGCTGGAAAGAGGGGTTGAAATAAATCTAGAATTATGATCCATGGACGCGAGCGTCTGCAGCACGCAGGAGAGAGCGGATCATTGCTATACAGGGAAATCGTCTCAAGGGCAGAGTATTGGATGAGCAAGGAGAGAGAGGCTTGCGTGTTGCCTGTTGCAGCTGGTGTGAACGCGCGTGAAACTAGCGATGGTGGATGATACCATTGATAGGGCAGCTGGAGTTCATTATCGGTGGTGTTGGCCGCTGTGGAGGAGGCCATGAGGCCATCAGCCATGGAACAGTTTACTTTCGGTGATTATGTTAGCTGATACCTCATGCTTCTTGCTGTCACGGCGTTTCACCATAGGCACAGCCGCGGATTGTTTGGCTGTGTTTTTCACGCCTTTCCGCAAAAGTCACGGCTTGCCCAGCATTGTGGAGCTTGCGTCGTCACGACTTTTGGGCTGATGCTGCTGGGCTGACAAAGAAGACCTATGTGGTGACGGGGTTGCTGTCTATCTGTTGATCGCCATATCATTTGAGTGTAGCATGGGCTCATAGCAGTCTGTGTCTGCCTTATGATTAAAGAAAAAGAACTGGTAATTACATGCTATGAACTCAAGCCTTTGAATAAAATGGGTCACGATACGAGGTGGCCTCCCACAGTAACACCATCTTACTTAACCCCCGTCTTATCAAGCCATAAGCCATAATTAAGCGATCAGCCACAAGCACAGAAATCTGACCGGCATCCGGGTCCCATTTGTCTAGCCTGAGGCATCATACATCGTGCATCGCTTATCGCTACCCAAGCTCTACCCACTTCTACCAACCCTCAAGCAAAGCCGGTGGTGAAATGTACATTTCGTGGTACACTATTCTAGATAATGGATTCTGGATACCCCGCATTATCATGATAGTCATCTAGAATATCGCGTTTGACGTGCAAGACCTCCACTCGAACGTCCGACCCGACCGCGACCGTCCACGACGCCAACGCGAACACGGCGACAATGCCCGGTGATTTGATAAGACAGCTGCGGCTTGGCCCCACTGCAGGCACAAGAACAGGAAAACTGTTGTTACTGTTACCTACATACAGGTGGGTGTGCAGCTGGAAGACGGCGCCAATGAAAGTGCATCCATTCCCTCCCGACGCGCACAAACAAAGCCAGAGCCAGTGGCTGATCAAGTTGAAAGCCGCCAGAGCAGAGAGTTCGAACTTCCTTTGTGACTAGCGAAGAACAGCCCGAGTAGTAGTGAGGATTAATATAGCTAGAGAGGAAAGCAAAGAGAGCACAGAGCACGGGAGCGTAGAACAGGCCAACCTTGCACTGCATCCATGTGCGCTGGCTGGCGTCTGGCCTTGACTCCTTGTCTGAGAGTAGGTAGTATGTTGTCTTAACTCTTAGGCCATCTCCGGCCCATAATAATCCCTAAGAATTATCCATCTGTATCTGTAAGGAGTGAGGAGTAAGGAGTAAGGGGTGCGGTGTGTGGTGTAATAGTCGTTTGTTGTTTTGTCCCATCGCTGCCCGCGATTCGTCGTTCGTCCAGGCCTCACACAGCTCCAGGCCTCCAGGCTCTCTACAAGCTCTACAAGCCACTAAAAAGCCCCCGCCGCTTGCTTCCTATTCGTTGTTCGGTCCCGGCTTTGCTGACTATCCAGGATTGACCTCACTCTCAGGTCTTCTTCGTTCCAAACCGTTCTCTCCCACGCCCTCACGCCCTCACCTGCTACGGATCACTGCAGCCTCGCCTGCATCCTTTTTCGCACCTCCACGACCCTCTGCCACCACCTTCTCTTCCTTCCTTCGTCTCGTCCTCTTGTTGTTACCTTCACTTCTGCCCTTCTGTCTTCCAGATCGGGCTCCTCTTTGACCAGCCATGCACAAGATTCACAATATCACAGGCAGTGCCAGGCACGGCTGGGATCGTATGCCCACTATGGGCTTTGGCAGCATGATGTCTCGATCCCAGGGCGATCTCACATCAACCAACCCCCGAAAGACACCGAACGCTCCTCCTGTCTCTCCTGCTGTCTCGCCTGGCACTCCCGTCACTTTGTCCTTCAACGTTCCCTTCAATTCGAATCTCGCCGGACCGGAACCGGACGACATAATATATTCAAGTCCTGGTGCTTTTAGGCGCTGGACGCATCCCGAGGGCACGCCAGAGGATACCCCGAATCATAGGCTGCCTGTGCATATCGAGAATATCGACGCGTTGAGGTCGTTGTGCAAAGAGATTGCCGATAGCAGTGACGGCCGGATTCAAGCTACTGTGCTATCTTCTGAGCCGAAACCCCTGCCTGGTTTTCAGCGCGGGCCGCTCAGGACGTCAATTACCAATGTCTGCATCTCTGCTGAGGTTGAACTCGCCCAGAGTATTCGTGGACGGATCATGACTCAAACTCCAATCTCGCTGGTAAGTCCTGTCCTCGAGCCATGAATGCTATCCCAGTGGTCGATACAAGGCATCTAATCACATGCGTAGCAATGCTCAACTATCGATATTGACTTTGACATGATCATGGATTATGAGACAAACGATCTAAAGGACAGCATACGCAGCCATGTTGACGGAGTCGCCAATGCCCTAAAGGCGGATATTTTCTTATTGCATCCTAAGCAATTAGACGAAGCAGCAAGTTTCAACGGCAGCATCATTGATACGAAGCTAGACAACCGTTTGAGATGCCACATCTACGGCGACTATGAAACGGCTGAACATGCGAAAACTCGGATACTTATCTTGCTTGATCAAATCGTAAGTCTAAATCCTTCCAAGAGTATCGTTGCCAGTAACTCACAGATTATCAGCTTCACCGCTCCGTGGACATGATGAGACTTGAGCTTTCCATGCACCCTCTGATCTCAGGCCGCGCCAAGAAGAATATCAAACTAATTGAGTCAGCAACTAACACTGCCATCTACTTCCCTCCCCCGTTCCCGCACGTTTATGGCTACACACCCATTGATTCGCAGCGTCGACCAAATGACCAGATTATCATCACGAGTGAAGACAGCACCGCAATTCTCAAAGCCAAGAAAATGCTCCATGATCTCACCGTCCAGCAGAAAGTATATTCCAAGGGCGTTCTTGTTACCCCGTCCAAGCTTGACAGCCTGATTCTTGAACGCATGGATAAGATTAAGAAGATCATGGAGACCAACGGCTCCTGCGTAATTCTCCCACCACTTGGTGACCATCGCAATCACCCTGGTGCAACCCTGCGCGTCCAAGGAACTGATGTACTCAACGTTGAGCGTACTGTTCGCGATGTCATGGCACTTGCTGGGCAATTCTACAGCGCTACCTGGTTCATTACTCAACCCGATCCGAACCAGAGGCCCCCAACACCTAGCGATGTTCGAGCTATGCTTTCTGACATTTGCATCAACTCGGGCGCGGAGATCTGCTTCGAAAAGGTCAACTTCCATATCTTCGGCTCAGATGATGCTGTCAAGGCAGCAATGATGGTAATTAGCAACATCCCGTTCGTGAGAAAATCCCAATACAGCATGTCTGTCAAGCTCGAGCTTGCAAACGAGCATAAAGAGTTTGTCAGTGGCAAGAAAAATGGTAAAATCAACAAGATCATGAGCCACAGTTCGGTACAGATCGTCTTCGATGGCTGGAATGAATACAATTTCTACATTGTTGTTCGAGGGTCGCTCTACGAAGCTACTAAGAGTGGTCTCGAGCTTGTGGAGCAAGAAATGCCTGCCGCAATATCCTTCCACGTCCCCGACCAGTACCACAAGCGTATCATCGGCATCGGTGGTCAACATATCCAACGTATCATGAAAAAGTATTCAGTGTTTGTCAAGTTCTCAAATGCTATGGATCGAGGTGGTCTTGGTAAAGAAGACGATGATATCAAGGTCGATAATGTCATCTGCCGAACTCCAGCTCGCAACGCTCAAAATCTCGATTTGGTCAAACAAGAGATCATGGATATGGTTGAAAAGTCCGATGCTGAATTTGTTTCCGAGCATGTCGTTGTCAACCGTCTTTATCATCGAGAGCTTATTGCTCGTATGCGCGAGATTGAGGAGCTCGAGAAGAAATGGAATTGCAAGATCACATTCCCAAGCACTGAGCAAGCTAGCGACATGATCACTATCTCAGGACCTGAATATCAGGTGCCTCAAGCTGTGGACGAATTCTTGGGTATGGTCCCTGAAAGCCATGACATTGCCTTTGCAGCAAACCAGGATCTGAAGTCGTTCCTACGCTCAGACGAGTTCGAGAAAGACGTAAAGAATATGCTCAAGGATCAGTACGTTGTCGAGGTTCAGCTAGGTCCACGCCGCGATGGCTCCAGCAGCGACGAGAAAGATCAAGAGACCTTGACTCTGTGCTACACCCGCAACAACGCCGGAGGGCTGAAAGATGCTATCGACTTTTTGATCACCAAGCTCGTGACTCACGGTTTGGATGCAGAGACTATAAAGGGAGCCATTCCTCGACCAAAGTCTGATTCATTCGAGCAATCTCTTCCATTCTTCGAATCCAAGCTTCTCCAGAAGACGAATTCGAGTCTGGATCTTACGGCGACAGACTCCCCGACCCGTGTGAACTTCGCTGACGACGTTGGCGAACGCTCTGGATTTCTTGACAAGCTACGTAAACCTGGTAGCATTGGGTCGTTCTCTTCCATGCTTGAGCGTCGCAAAAATGGATCCAATTCGCCAGGATCTCTCTTCAAACACGCTTCCAGCAATGCTTCCAAAGCATCACTCATTAGTATTGAATCCCAGGGAAGTGGCTACCGCAATCCTTGGAACGATAGTGGTATAAACCTCCCTGACGAGGATCCCGCTCATCCATCGCACGCATGGGCGACTCCAACTTCAGTGCGTTATGAATCTAAATTTCCTTTTGGCGCCAGTACATCTGGCGAACTTACGCCCCGATACGACCCACGGGCTTCCGTCGATAGCGGACGACCCAGTACTTCTCATTCTGCATCAGGATACCCGGGCCCCATTGGGCCTCCTCGTTAAAGAATTTTTTTTTTTTACATATATTACCTATGATACCTCATCGCGTTTGCGCATGAAAAGAATACCCATTTGGCTTTCTGGCTGTCTATTGAAAACGAATACCCCGTTTGCGAAACGAATTTGCAAAAAGTTTTGTTGCTGTTTCCTGTTTTTTGTCGATATTATCTGAGAGGCGTAGAGAACGATCACGGTCATCACGGGTTGTGGTTGTGTTTGCCTTTGGACTATGCGGGAGTGTTGATCTGAGTCTTTTTGCGCCGATATATCCCACTGTGGTTCTTGTTTCGTTTTGGTGTGATCATGTCACCATGCTTCAATGGATGGCTTTGGCTGTCTATATTCAAGTCGGAAGGATGAAGGAGGCGTAGCCACTGGAGCGGTACCTGATGTTTCTACCTAATGTGCGACAATGCTTCGGCACTCGGGCGCCGTCTGGTGATTCATTTGACATTGTTACTTTCGGCGTCTTTGCTTTTCGTCCTCTCTGGCTGTGCCTTCAGATTGATATATACATGGGTTATAGCCTCATCTTGAGGCTACAATGCCGAAGTGGAGAAAGAAGACGTCAGATGTTTGCAGTATGTACACGAAGTATAGATCAACTACGCAATTGCCCACGTCAAATTTCGATATTCTTATTATGACCGTGCTTATAAAATTTCTTTGGTTGGATTGCATCTGAGACCCATTAATAGGGATACTCTGCACGTCCCTCCTCTGACGTCGGCAACTAGAGCTCCCTAGCAGCAACACACCCAAGTGTCTGAGTTCGTCCAACTACCCCATTGTTCGAGTCCACGATTTCACACGTCCCAAGTATCAACATTCGCCTCCAGGAATGTCGACCTCCAGATCTGCTCTCCGCTTTCTGCCTCGCGCAGCTTCAGCTGCTGCTCGCCGCCCATGCATCGTCCACCCAAATGCTCTGCCGCAACAAGCACCGCCAGCTCGACGCGTGAGCAGGGTTACGGTTTCTCTATCCAAGCAAGTCGATAAGCCGAGATGGTACTCGAGCTCTAGTGGAAGTAGCAAGGTTTATGACTACGAGGCTGTGCAAGAATTGATCAAAAGTCCGAGTGTGGATCGTGTGCTCATTGGTATGCACTCCCCGCCCACAATCCTCCTTCTTCTCGACTATGCCTAGAGATGCTTTGGATCAATGAACTCCAGTACCAAGGCGCTAATGTATACAGATGTCCGCGAGCCTGCCGAATACGACGACGGTTTCATCCCCACCGCAATAAATATCCCAGTCAAGTCCGCGCCCGACGCGATCTTCATGGACCCTGAGGAATTTGAGGATAAGTTTGGGTTCCAGAAACCGAGTCCAGCGCATGAGTTGGTGTTCTATTGCAAGGCTGGTGTGCGAAGTAGTTCGGCGGCACAGCTGGCGAGGCAGAGTGGGTATGAGAAGGTGGGGGAGTATAGAGGAAGCTGGATGGACTGGGTGCAAAGGGGTGGGCAGACGAGTAAGCCATAGGATTCACCCAAGGAGACGATCTGAGGCGTATGGAATGGAGTTGCTTTGAGACTGGTACGAGGATTGTTCTAAAAATCTGGAATGGGCCCCCAGGAACGTTACTCAAGGCTGTAATAACCCTATGCATTGAATGATTTTGTAGCTTTCTTCTGCTCTTGCGCGCTGCTCCAATGAACACTAGCATCGATCTGTTCGTCTAGGTCGTCTTCCAACTTCTGCTGATAATCTGCCCACAGGTCCTTTACACTCTTGCCCACAACATCTTGCCAGAACTCCTTCTCCTCATACCTCCTGCCCTTCAACCTCTCATTCACCCTCATCACTGTCCCGCGCCCAAATCTCTGTTCCAAATAATCCAGAAAATACCCTGTATGCTGATACCCGGCATCCCATCGTCCTCCCGCCTCCTTCTTCCAATGCGGCGGTGCCAGCCCTGCCTGCAGCCGTACCCAATCCGCGATACCCTCGATCAATCCTCCTGGTGCAGTACCAAGACCATTATGTTGATAGCAATGCACCATTTCATGCACAATCACGCCGGTAAGCTCCTCCGCAAGACGCGACAAAGATACCTGCTCTATGTACCGCGTGTTGAAGTGGATTTCCTTGTGCGCGTCGTCGATCTGGAGGCCAGTTGTGTATGCTACGCCGTCCATTGGACGGATTATGAGGGTTATGCTGCGGGTGGGCGGAACTGATGTGGAATGTGGCGAGTAGAGGTGTCTGAGTACGGTTGCGACGGCATCTTCGAGGACGTGGGAGACGGGGAGGGAGGAGAGGAAGAGGACGGTGCCTTTCTGGGAGAGGTCGTTTAGATGGATGCGGAGGACTGGGTTGGGCTTGGGGTGCGGTGTTGGTCGCGGACTTGAGGAGGAGGATGATGCACTTGGAGAAGACACGATGTTGGACGGAGCCATGGTTTGGGTTTGGAAGTATGTGGGTATCTGGTGGGGCGGCATTGGTGTGTATATGGTGCTGCAAGATTGAGGAGGATGTGGAGAGATGTCGAGAGACGGAAGAGTGAAGACGAATTACAGAGGACGGATAAGTTGCAGATGAAGAAAGCAGGATTTCAAAGGTCTTTAGATTTCCAAGCACGTCGAGAGAAGCGTGTGTAGTGAATAAGGCATGAAAGTAATATCCCTCTGAAGCTCTTCGGCTCAGCAGATGTTAGGATAGATGCGGGACGAGTCATGGTCACGTATCGGGCCTAGCACAGGGACTCTAGCGTGGCCGGAGCGTGTTGATGTTTACGTTAGGCTATATCTGCACCCTGACGTCCCTCTTTCCGCCCGAAGCTTGTCGACACTCGAACCATCCCATCCACTACAACGCACGCAAATTGTTCCGCGCGTGATGGACGAACTGGCGCAAACGGTGCTTATGCACCTCAAGCGCTCCAGCACACCTGTCGATGCCAAACTCACCAAATTCAACGAACTCAAAAGCAACATCAAGCATCAGCGGGTGCCTGAAGCTGCCCAACCGATTATTTTCGACTGCATAAAGTTCGCCATTGGGAGTCAGACGTCCTCGTCCCTTATCTCGTCGGGATTCTCCGCGCTAGGTCATCTCATAAAACGACTCACTCTGCAAAATCAGGACAGCGCCATCTCTTCGAATGCGGGAAGACTCTTTCCGGCTCTTTTGGATCGCCTGGGCGACGCAAGAGAAAGCCACAGGAATGCTGCTAGCCAGACGATACAGGAGCTCGAGCCGTATTGTGCGATTGATGTCGAAAGACTGATACGCGATACTGCACTTGTCGGGACGAATGCTCGCGCGAAAGAGGCCGGTATGCAGTGGGTGGTTAAGATGAGCCAGAACGGATTGGCTTTCAAGACTTATGTCCCCAAGTTGGTAGCAAATCTTGAAGACCCAGACGGTGGCGTAAGAGACGTGGCTAAAACGTCCATAGTAGAGCTTTTCCGGTAGGTGCGCTCATAGGCTGGAGAGGATGGATGATGTACTAACAGCACCTTGAAGGGATGCTCCTGATCATGCAAAGTCGGATTTGAAGAAACAGATGTCAAAGTTCGCGGTACGATCATCAATTGTCTCCGGAATAGTAGCTCAGCTGGGCATGGGCGGCCAGGCCGAGCCTGCGGAACTACATGCCTCCACAGCTTCGGTGGCAACCCATTCCTCACATTCTTCTTCTATATACAGCCATTTACAGCCCGATACTGGAATCGCGGAGACTCTAATGTCGGCCTCGGTGACGTCAGAGGCACCATCAACCTCATCTGATTATCAAATGGAGCCAGCATACGCCCACACACAAAGAGAGCTGGAAGATATGTTTCGCTCAATGGCTCCGTGCTTCGAGGGGAAAGAGTCCGAAGGCAACTGGATGCAAAGAGACAAGAACGTCATGCAAATTCGGAGGCTGAACAAGGGCAATTCTCCATCAGACTACCTGCCTACTTTCCTCGCTGGGGTGAAGAGCTTGCTAGACGGTATATTGAAAGTGGCCAACTCACTAAGAACTACGATGTCCACAAATGGTTGTCAATGTATCCAGGAGTTGGCGAAAACCCTTGGTCCGGCAATGGACAACATGGTTGAGATACTTCTTCAATCCTTTATCAAGATGACCGCTGCCACCAAGAAGATCGCTGCCAACAACGCTAACACTACCGTCGATGTCCTGTTCCAAAATGTGTCATACAATAACAGAAATTTGCAGCATGTCTGGCAGGCCTGTCAAGACAAGAACGTACAACCGAGGAACTTTGCTTCCGGCTGGTTGAAGACTATCATTAAGAAGCATGCACCGCACAGGTCAGTCTTTGAACACGCTGGTGGACTTGAAACTGTCGAGAATTGTCTGAAAAAGGGGCTTCAAGATCCAACGCCAGCTGTTCGGGAAGGAATGAGAGCAACATACTGGATCTTCGCGCCTGTCTGGCCAAGCAAAGCGGTGGCGTAAGTACTGTGCTTTTCACTTATCTGACGTGTGGCTAATAATCCGCCAGTCTCAAAGACGGGCTTGAGAAGAAATACAAGGACGCGCTCGAGAAAGACCCCCGGAATCCCAATGCACCAGCAAGCGCTAATCAGAGCGCGAGTTTCTCGAAGTCTGTTGGTCCATCAGGGTCAAGGCCAAATATAAGGGACGCTATAGCTCAGCAAAGAAAAGCAGCAGCACAAAAACTTAATGCTCCAGATCGCCCGAATTCTGCAATGTCTACATTCTCTCCCGCCAAGGTTTCAAGTAAAGGTCCAGATCGGACGCCCTCCTCCCTTTCCAATTCACGCACGGCACGAACAACCTCGACGAATTCCTCATCCAGTACCAATACTCGTCCTGCAAATCGTTCACAGACCACAGCTACTGCGACACCTGGTGCAAGCGGAGCATCTGGTCTTATGTCTGCTCCCATGAGACGGCCACGTCCACCTCCACGACCTGCCACAGCAGATCCTTACGCCAGCCGCAGAATCAAAGACACTGACACACCGAACCTAAGTCCGACCGCAACACCCATCAGGGATACGACTACGAAGAAATCTGCAAATACAAAAAGCGCGATCCGACCGCGAACTCCGGCTAACACGAACCGTCCAAGTCCAACTACAAGCCCGAGTAAAGTGAAAGCGAAAGTTGATTCAGGCCTGAGACGCAAAGTTCCTAATACTGAGAGCCCTCAACGCCACCACGGCAGCAGCCAAAACGCTAGCCCCTCAAAGGTCGACGAGGAGATGACTCTGGTACTACCTCATGGCAAGATGCCCGCTTCGGTGGCTCGCAAGCGCATGGAAAAGCCCATGTCGATGGACACAGGTTTGATGCGGGCCGAGGAAGAGGAGCTCACTATAGTAAAGTCAGATATGATGAGTCATGGGTCGAGACTGGGTACACCAGGGACTATGGCCTCACCGAGAGGTCCATACGCGCAGCTGAACTTCGGTAGTCCTGCATCTTCGTCTCGCACCCCGAGGCGCAGGTCACCCGAAAGAAATACCGAGAAAGAGCAAGAAGAAGTGAAGGTGTACGAAGATCCGTTCATTGGACATGAGGATGCACCTATGACGGAAGACGAGAAGCCGGTCCTTGAGGAACTCCAACTCAACGAGGCAAATATCGAGCGAAGTCTCGACAATGCGACTGCAATGGAAGATCTGAGTAACGGTCACGTTAGCAACCCGAAACCGATCTTGACGGAGCAAGATCGCGCCGAGGTCATGCGATCGCGCCGTCTTCTCGTCAGCGGTATTGAACGAATTCATAACCGCAATCTTGATGCACATGGCTTTCGGAGACTTCAGGAGCTTGTCAAGTCAAATCTTGACATCTGGGGCGAAAGCAAGTTTTCAGAGCTCATGCTTGGCCTCCTTGATTTTTTGGAAACGCCAGTTGAGAATCTGAAAAGTGAACCATTGAAAGCACAAAATCTTAAGACTCAGGCTCTCGCCGCAGCGAGAGCAATGCTCACTTTGCACAAAGCAGAAGCCCGACCTTACCATCCAAGAGCGCTCAAATCCGTGCTCAGGGCACGCATGGCCTTTGAGGCAACCGCTCATATTACTGCCGAACTCCAGCGAACAGCTGACGATATAGTCCGGGCCAGTCTATCGCCAGAGCTTCTCGACTCCGTCCTTGACTTTGCCGATTCGACGGCCGAAGCGTCCAAATCACCAGAAAATGAGGTGCCTGGAGGTCTTAGTCCGCCCCTCGCTCCGTCAGAGTTTCCATCTCGCGCGCTGACTGCTGCTCTTTCAACGATCAGTCAGATTCTCATTCTCTCTGCACAACCAGCACCGCGACCAAAATCGCCGGTCAAGTCTGCGTCTCGTTCACCCTCGAAACCTGCACCTCGCCTCACACTATCCTACACACAAACGCAGCGACTCGGGCATACTGCAGTTCGATTCCTCGCTGATGCAGAGCCGGATGTGCGCAAAGCAAATCTGGAATTTTGTGTTGCACTACATGAATGGTTCTTGAATGGCGCTGGCGTTGGAGGACTCAGTGGTGCAAGCGAGAAGGAGCGCGAAGAGGCATTCTGGAAGATCCTAGGCTTGCACAAGGACGGGGATGGCAAGGAGAAGAATGGGGTTAGAGACCAAAGCCTGAACCTGATCACGTACTATCTGGCGAGGAGGAGTAGGACGTGACCTAACGTGGAACTGTGGAAGATTGATTTGAGAACTAGCATAGCGATGCGAGCGAGCGAGCGAATATTGTGGACTGCACGTTCTCTTTGTAAGAAGATGTTTGATGAGCGGCTGATGATTTGAGAGATGTCTGAACAATTGTAGCGCTGTCTCCATTCATGTATACAACTCTTCACAGAATATGCCTGACGGTATTGCTGATCGTGATGGCGCGTGGTGAAGGGCGTTCTCGAATGTATTATATTCTAGGATCTGTAAAACGGATCTGATCTGATCGTTGATTCAACTTTACTTTAATAACGCCGAGCTCATTAAACCAAAAAATTGTCTTGGCCAATGCTCTCGCTTATATAATCGCGTGCTCCTTCCAAAACCTACGTCACGACGATAGCGGAAACATGGCATACACAAAGCATCAAGTGAAGACGTCACACCCTAGCAGCGGAGTCCGACCTGTCACAACAGGTACGTCTGTGAATTGATCAAGTTGAGTGCATCTCGAAATCACCGCATCCGTCCTTACAGGTCACATGCTCTTTGAAAGCACGCGACCCACCCGAGCAACCATACGAACTGCATAACCGGTATTGTGGCTAGTATCTTCGCTACTCGACCAAGGGTGAATGTGGTCTTGGGAGCCCGGGTAAACTTCTACTCTATCTCGGATATTGACAGGACTATACTACCCGATAGATTATTTCGAGATTGGCTCGGACGTCGGGACACGACTATATACCTCACCTGATAGGATGCATATGTGCAAGCAAGCAAGTCATTGTCTTCCCAGTCACTCACCGTATGACGTGTTCTCTTAATTGAAAGATGCATTCTACTCACGCAACCTCTGGGCAGAGATTCACGCTGTGAGGTTACAACGATTGCTGTTTGAGTAGCACGTACCTGTACGTGTCTGCATCCGGAAGTGCTTGTCACTGCGTGAATTGTTTGCTGCTCTTCGCCATCATTCTTGCTTGTACCACTGACCTGAACATGATGGACACTTTGTCAATTCAGGCTTTTTAGCCTACCTGATTGGTATCGAGATAGGGGCTGATCGACCACAGAGTGTGTGTATCACTGGAATAGCCCCATATCAGGATACGATCGGCGACGTGCAGGCTTTCCATCCACCACCGCGCGTATACACACACACACATGGGGATCAAACAATACAACAATTCCACAAAGTTGAATAATCAGCTCTCGTTAGGGATCCAATATCTAGATGGATAGATGTGAGCTGATCCACAGGGACTGTTCCTGGCGACGCTGGCTCGTCTAAGAACGACACCAGAACCTGAGCAAGGGAAGAGGGCGCCCCCTATTCTCAAAACTCTATATAAATTGTTGATGTGCTGTTCTATAGCGAACATTTGGGTCCTGGAAGCCCGTACGACCTCTATGGTCTCATTCTCATCGAGTCTGCGGGTACAACAGGGATTGCGTGTCGGACCATCCAACCGTCAAATGTGTGTGCATTGTCAGGCATTAAGTACACATTGGTAAACACCCCTGATTCACAGACTTCGTGATACCGCAATGTTGCAGGACTCGATAGTGCTGTAAACACAATGTCGAAGGCTTCCATTATTTAGTACGTTGTGTTGGCAGAGCACTTTGAACGGTCCGCTACGTGGGTTGAACGTGATTCGACCGTGCGGGCGCGAGCACAAGCGTTAGTCAGCTAGGCGAGTGAATCTTATGCGCCTACTCCCACTTCTCTTCATCAACAAATTCTGCCGTCCTCTCGCAGCGCGTCCGAGAGCCACCACATCATCAGCGATCAATAGAGTCGGGTTGTAATAGCACTAGCACGGCAGCTAACATATCATTTCTTTTTTGATATCATAATATCAGGTATCCCTTGAGGTCTGCATCCGGACCGACTGGCGAGAAAGTTCGCGTGTTCACTGGTTCTTTGAGGCTGCGGCCAATTTTTTAAGGCCAAAGCAAACTATGCCGGGACCAGCCCCTTTGACATCTGGTTTCGTCGCAATAAACAAATGTTCGCCCGCCCAGACCCCTCCGGCGGTGTCACCGCCAGTTCTCCACCAGGCACATGACGCTCAGAAAACAGGTTATGTGAAGCAGGCAAATCATGTAAATCATGTACATCATGGACAGCCTCATCAAGTACCGCAGACGAATACGCAGCCATCACCACAATTTATTCCCAATCAGATGCCACCGCCTCCGCCTCAACAACCTCAACAAGCACATCAACAACAACAACAACATCAACATCATCAACAACAACTTCAGCAACAGCAGCAGCAGCAAGCACAACTTCAGCAACAAGCACAACAACAACAACATCATCATCATCAGCAACAACAGCAGCAATACAGTCCTCAACTACAATACGACATGGCTTACCATCGGCACGCAATCCGGCCAGACCATATGGAGATTGACGACGGAAATGATAGTGATGCTACCGTCAGTGAGCGGGAAGACGGACACGTCGACTACGAGCCACACTATCAAACCGTCAACCTAGGACCCTACCGCGAGTCGATTCCATGGATCTTCAGCCCGCCGAGGCATGTACCATATGCAACGTCAGTGGAGGTCGTCACCCTGTTAACGGACACGCCACTTCGGATCAAGCCCCTGTACGCCCACGACGATCTCCAGTCGGAGCAAGCGTTTATGGAACGACTGTTCAACATAGGCAACATCATCGGAAAGGGTGGGCACGCGCCAATCTTCTCATCCAGCACGGGCGAGTACAGGTTCTTCGCGGAGCGAGACCGCGAAGTGGCCGCGGCGTACGGGTTCGCGAACGAGGAGCAGATGTTCAAGTATCTCGACGACATCAAGGGCACCGGCGAGATCCCCGACCCGGCAGAGAAGCGGTTCCAGTGTCCGTGGCACGAAATCGACGTCATCTTCGAGCCGCGCAAACGCGGCAACGTCGAGCCCTCGAAAAGGAGACCAAAGGCCGTCGTCGTCAAGCCCGACCGGGACATGGCGACAGACCGGGAAGAGCCCACGTCTTCACCCAACAACGAGCCCGGCGAAGACACCGTCATGACCAACGGCGACACCACAGACTATACATCCATCTCGCTCCCATCCATCCCCTCGTTTCCCATGAGTGATGCTGCTGCTGCTGCCGCCGCCGCCGCCGCCGCCATGAACCCACCCAAGAAGAAATACCAAGTGCCCAAACGCATCCCCGTCGACGCCATCTCGCACCCAATCTGCATGGAAGACCTGATCCACGCCGTGACCCGGCACCCCTTACTCCTGCCCTCCAACCCGGTCACGGTCGACTTCATCATCGCGCACGCGCCGCACCTGCTGCAGAACGTCAGCCTGCTCTACATTCTCGCGCACGGCGAGCTCGAGAACGAGGGCCTGAGCGAGCGGCTCGGCAAGCTGGGCCTGGACGTGGCGCCGAATGTGCTGGCGCACCGCAAGAAGAAGGCGCTCATGGACATGGGCGGCGTGTACGGCGATCGCAAGCCGCAGTACGAGGCGTACAAGAAGACGCTGAAGCGCAAGCCGGGGTGGCGCAAGGGCACGTCGGGGCTGGGGCTGGGGTGTTGAGGTGTTGAGGGAGTCCTGTGGCGAGTGGAAAAGTGCGCGTGCGTGAAGGGGAGGCGCATAGGGATGAGAGGATAGAGGATAGATGAGAGAGAGAAGCTTACTCCAACTTTGTGTGTGATTCTGGGATAGATTGCGAAGCGAAAAAGAAAAAAGTTTGAAACAAGTCGAGTCGAGTCAGTCTGTTATGACATGCATACATGTATACATGCATACATGTATACGACAGATAGGTCCTGGAACCTCCTGAGCGGTTCCTTTGCTTGCTAGGCGTTTCTGAGCGGGCGTTGCTTTTTGATTTGTGGGTCATCATGCTCCTCCTTCTGTCTGCTGTATGGACTTTGGTACTATGCCATATCACACCTGGCTGGCATGGACGCAGAGAGGGAAACACATATACCGTAATTAGACAGGAAGAAAGGAAGAAGGGAAGAACGGGAGAACGAAAGAGAGAAAGGAAGATAGGCAGAAAGACAATGCATGGCAGAGTAATCAATCAAGGAATCAATCAACCAATCAATCAAGGAATCAAGGAATGAATGTCAGAATGGATGAGACGAGCCAAGGCGCGTATGTGCAAAGAGTGTTGAGACGCAGTAGCTGCAATTGCTATATGCTATACTGCCACATACTACATGCGAAATACCATATACACCAACCCACCCATCCGTCAAAGTAGTGCCCACGAAAGACGTTGTCATGTGACGTGACGTGTCTGTTGGTAGGTCGTGCTTGGTTTTATGTATTCAGTGAATAAAGGCAGTACAACGAAGCATAGCCATGTAGTGCGTGTTGAACATTGGTTATCACTCGTCACTCATCACTCGTCACTCATCACTCGTCATTCATCACTCATCACTCATCACTCATCACTCATCACTCATCACTCATCACTCATCATCAATCATCATTATCATTATGATGGAACCAAGGACAGCAAATACGGCAGCACAATAAGCGCAACAGCAACAGCAACAGCAACAGCAGTGTTACATACATACATACATACATACATACATACATACACACATACATACATACACACATACATACATACATACATACATACATACACACACACACAATATCTAACCTCTCAATGCACCCAAGCATACTCACATGTCTACATCCATCTCACTCCCATGCGTGTCCAGCATGTGTGGCAGGCTATACGGACAGCACGGCATAGGACAGCATAGGACAGGATAGGACAGACATGTCGACGGAAGAGAGGAGTGTGTTTCAAGACTGGTGGGACGTAGCCTAGTACCTAGTAGTTCCCCCCGAGTGACGTAGTAAGAGGTAGGTAGGTAGTAGGTAGGTAGTAGGTAGATAGTAGACAAGTACAGCACAAGGAAAGAGTGATAAGATTGGAGGGTACTTTTAGGGGTGACTATGGGTGACTTCTCTATCTGCACGTTGGGGCGTGTTGTCATGGAAGGAGCTATTTGCAAGTCGCTGGAATGTGAATGTGCAGGAGCGTTCGGAGGTCTTGGATGACGTGTCTAGCAGGGCGTCCAGTTGAGTGCGTCAGGCGTATGGGGGCAGAACTGTTCTTCGAGCTGGCGAGCTCAGTATAATCTATGCAGCGTTCGGATATTGGTCTGTGAACCCTATACTTCTGCAAGTTCATGTCAATGACAGTTCTAGGTTTCAAGAAAAATCACGTGAAAAAGATGCAGTGTGTTGAATGGCTGTGATTGGCGCAATAGATCCGTCATGCTGCCGTAGCCGATGAATATTATTTTGACCATATATTCAGGTCTTTTTCTATCAGCGACTGCTTCAGCGCTGGCGCCAGTCTCGTAATTAGACAGAGATGCGCTCTATAGAGTGTGTTGTGTGTTACTTGCTTGTCAAATGGACCGCGCCGAGAGTATATCGGGTCGAGACGTGAACTTCAAATGACTTTGAGATAAACAATGGCAGAAAAGGCAAGCTCTTTGGTATCATGAGCAGCATGCAAGACATAATAAAAAAAAAGGGGGAGGGGGATATGCAGTAAAACAGGCATGCCACCATACTACAGTGCTTCCATCTCTCTCACTGTCGATGCATTGTACAGCGATTCAGAGCAGCGAGCAGCTCGGGCCTTCCCGCCAACGCCTGCGCTGCTTGAGAATAGGACATCCACTGTCGCGATCGCTTGTGCTGTTCCGGCCACTGCGTCTCTTGCTTCTCGACAATGGCCTCGAAGAAATAGTAGGCTGCTTTTGGAGCCTGTGCAGACAGCTGGTCGAGTCGACGTTGCTCTTCAATTAAACCAAGATCGTAGGTGACTTTGCAGATGATGCCAGCTTCTTCCCAGGCTTCACGTTGGGCAGCCTGTTGCGCCGTCGCTTCATCCGTCTCCCAACCACCTTTGGGGAGTACCCAGCCTCCACGACGGGTGGATTGTATCAGAAGCACGTAGTTTTTGTCCGAGGAGAGCGGCACGATGCCAGCCACGAGACGTTCTCCCTTGGAGCCATAGCCTAAATGCCAAGAGAAGAATTAGCCGGGCAGGCGTGTGTGTGTGATTGAGAGGCAGACTCACGTTGATTGCTCCGACCGACACGCGACTGCATAGAAAGAGTCTGCGCCATGGCGGGCAGAGAGAAAGAGTGTGTGTGTATGTGTGCGCGTGTGTGAGATGGGAGTGGTGCGTGTGTCGTGGTGGTGAGGTGTTCGGGTCGGGCAAGTTCAACGCTGAAGCGACAAGGCCAGCAGCGAGTTGGAAACAAAAGAGTGTAGGTGAACTTGTGAAATCAGGATCGGGTGAAGAGAACGGCCAGGTTAAGAGGAGTTTGCAAGGAGTGTAACGAAGGCGAGGAGGCGATCGTTACGGGGGAGGAGGAGGAGGAATGGCGGAAAGACGGAAACGGGACGGAGAGGAGACAAGGAGCAGTCAGTGGTAATGGGAGCAGAGGAGGAGTGGTCGGAGGAGTCAGAAGAGCCGTCAGTCCCGTGGAGGACGGGGCTGAGGGGATTGGGAAGACCTTGAGAAGATGGTAAGAGAAGGCATCGTGGGTGGAGTTTTATGAGGAGTAGGAGTAGGAGTAGTAGTAGTAGTGGTGGTAGTAGTAGGCGGACGTTTGAATCAGGGTGTGGAGGGAAGAGGCAGTGTGTGTGTGGGAAGAAAAAAAAAGAGTCAGACTAGCGAGCGGTCACTGCGGCGGTGGGTGGTGTAGGGGCGCGTGGTCGGCCAGCTGCTACCTGCTACCTGCTACCTGCTACCTGCTACCTGCCAAATGCCAGCCAGGCACCCACCTGATTATTACCCCCACCACCTAATTACTGTACAGTAAGTAGTAGCTGTGGCAGTTCTGGCGGGCAAGGCGCCCCCTCCATCCCTTTCTCTCCCCATAAACCTAGTTCAGCAGCCCAGCAGCCCCTGCCCCGCCCTTAAAAACCCCCCCCCCCCGGGACGCGCGTGTTGTCCCTCGCTCTCGGCTGCCTCGCCCGCCTGTTTGGTCCCCCTTGTTTTGCTGGATTTGCTGGGTTTGCTGGTCTCGCTGGCTTTCTGATTTCCTGACTACGTACGGTGCAGGTCCCACTGCAGGTGCTGCTGAGCTGGTAAAAGGTCAAGTTTTACTGTAGCGTACTGTAGCTAGGTAAGGAGTTACAGTAAGGTGACGGGGGGCCGATGCCAAGACCGCACCTATCCATCCATCATCATCATCCTCCTCCATCCTCGCCATGTGCACGATGCAATTGATGCAGAATACGGGGGAGATGGTCGGTCAACAGTCAGCACTTTTGCCAATCCCATTTCCACTCTCTTGCATTGGCTGATCACTCAAGCAGCATCAGCCGAGTCGGCCGTTTGAAAGGTTATACCCAGAAGGCAAATAGATGCACATGTGCCCTGCCTAATTACCATTTGCACCATTCATTCCCCCCACCTCTACTACTACTTTAGGCTATCGCTCTCAGTAGTGTCTCTCTCTGTGTACTTGTAGTAATTATAGATGCAAAGCTTCTGTATCCATGTCGTGGGGTGTGGCGCTAGACATATACCGCCATACGCTCTAGCATGCTTAACATGTACTTACTATGAAGCTATCGTTGGATGCCGTCACCCACTACGTACATATATAGCACGCTGTATATACTTCTACTAATTACTAGCGACTCCAGCAGTCCCTCGTTTTCCCGAACAATGACGTGCCTGTTGAGTGTGTGTGTGTGTGTTTGTCTGGACTCTGAAGGATAATTTCTTTAATCCCTGGTTCGAGAAAACCTTCTCTCCGCATTCTCGAAGCTGGACGAGCCAGCCTAGACGAGGAACGAGGGTCCCAAAAGTCGGTTCCTAAATACGCATAATTCACTTCAGGAATCGCCCCCCTCGCTTCATTCATCATCCTCGAACCCCCCGGTCTCGCGTTCTACTGCACTGCGCTCATCCATCATTGACAGCTCATCATCTAATACGTGCCATCATGTGCATTGTCCTTCTGACAATCATCCGACCGAGCTTGTGATATTGTTTGACAACGCCGCAACCTACTACTCATTCTCGTCTCTCCTTCCTACTAGCTGCTGGCTGCCATTCCCGAGCTCAGACCCGCTTCGAACACGCCGCTCTTCTTCTTCCTCCTCCTCCTCCTCCTCCTTACAACCCCCCCGCTATTCGACTATTCCGACTGCTAATACATACTTTGTCGCTCCAATTCGTCTTGCTCACACACACACAAACACACCCACGCTTACCCTTTTATACTCTCGCCATGCAAGCCCCGGTCCCTTCTCCCGAGTCGCCTTCCATCTTAACACCCGCAGGTCTGTTCTTCTCCACTCACAAGCCTAGCCTTCGCCTCGTGCCCTTCCACCGCCCCTCTCGTTCGTCCCTGCCGTCTGTCCCTGGCCGGAAACGGCGACCCTCTCTTACCGCTCATCGCTTCCTCTTACTGACGACAAGCCTTTCCCTGTGCCACACAGGCTATCATACTTCTTCATGTGGCTACTGCAAACATGATTCCACCAAACAAAGATCTCCAGACTCCAGTACGTCTCTCACTCACTCACCGCTCCTCACTACCACATCCTCCAATTGCCGTTTCTTACCGTCATACTCTCTAGGCGCATCATACTACGTTTTTACGAAACAATTGAATGTAGACCATTACCAGGAACTTGTTGATAGAGGTTGGAGGCGGTCCGTGTCCATCTCTTCCACTAATTCAATATCTATCCTACCCATGCTGATTCGTCGTCCTCTGACCTACCTAGATCAGGCACACTGCTCTACAAACAAGACGTCTGCCGATCGTGCTGTCCTTACTACACCATTAGGTCCGATGAAATGCCTCACTATTACTACTACTACTCTACATTCACTAATCGCCACAAAGGCTGCCTGTCAGCGAATTCGCTCCGTCGAAGGATCAAAGACAAGCTCTGAACAAGTGGAATAAATTCGTACTAGGAGATGACTACATCAAAGAATCTGCTAGATTACGTCCGAGATCCAGAGAGTATGTGCAGCTATTCTGGTCTTCATCCACTGCCACTGATTATATCCTTGATAGACAGAAAGCGCGCGAACGAAGTAGCTTCGATCTAGCCCATGCACTTCGCGAAAGCGAATATGCCAACCTGAGCCTCCCACCTGAGCCAGCTCATCGCTTCGAAGTCACTCTTGAGCCTGCCGACTTCACTGAAGAAAAATATCAAGCCTTCGAGAACTACCAGCGCAATGTCCATCGTGAGCAACCCAGCGAGATATCTCGCGACGGTTTCAGGCGTTTTCTTTGCGACTCGCCTCTGCAGCAAGTGGTCCGCAACATCGCTGGCAAAGAGCAAAAGCTAGGCTCCTACCACCAGTGCTACCGCCTCGACGGTCAATTGATTGCCATTGGTGTTCTCGACCTTCTGCCACACGGTGTTAGCAGTGTGTATTTCCTCTATCACGAATCTGTCTCCCAATGGTACTTTGGCAAGTTAAGTGCTCTTCGTGAGGCCATGTTCACCATGGAGGGCCACTACCAGTTCTACTATATGGGCTTCTACATTCACTCATGCGTCAAAATGCGTTACAAGGGCACCTATAAACCACAGTATGTCCTAGATCCAGAGTCACTTGACTGGAATCCACTTGAAGGCCGGATGAGGGCGCTGCTTGACACGAAAAAGTACGTCTCCTTGTCGAGGGAAGACATTGAGAAGTCTGCAGATGCTGCCGCCCGCGCTAAACTATCATCTCTCCCACATCAGACGGCACATGAGAGCGCAAAGGAAGCTGCTGCCGCGGCTGACGAGGGTGCTTCTTTGTTTTCCATAAGCATGCCAGGAGTAATGTCAGTGGAGGAACTTGAAGACCAGGTGGATTTGAAGACAATCAAGGTTTCAGTGGGGAACCGTGTATTGAAGTGGGGCGTAAGTACACTTCAAATCTGGATCCATTTACCTCTGCGAAGTGTTCTTGATGACTGACTAGAGAATAGGATGTGATGAAGTTTAATCCCGGATCTGTGACGGATTCCCGGACCATCAAAGGAACCATTGCCGAGTTGGCAGCCTCCGTGGGGCCAGTCGTGTCCCAAGGCATGATTGTTAAGATTCGCTGAAGGCCTTGTATGGATCCGCTCATAGCTATGTAGTCGTGGTCTGCGAGATCATGTGTAGGCGCTCGAGCTGTAAGAGCATCAACATAAGTGCACGCACACCTGACACAAAGCCTCCAACACTGCGTGACCAATTCCAAGCATAGGCTGTCCACCTTTTCAGTTCGTACTAGCGGCATATCCTCATCTCTGACACGTTCTCTGTGACCGGAACTATGGATAACGGCCCTCTTCAGATCAACGGCAGATGGATGAACGACTTTCCACGGCAATATGCATGTGAGCACCTCCGACAGACCAAAAGATGCGATTCTGGTATCTGCTTCGCCAATTACGAAGGCTTTGGACCACGTCGATGTTCCAATACGCACTGTCGCGGGCATAGAAGCAAAGATGACCCTCAATGTTTGGGTGGGCCACCCGTGATGCGTTGTTGCGATATACTGGCCGTGAAGGAGCGTCGGCAAAGAGCAAGGATGAAAGCAGAGCTACGTGCCCTAGAGCAAGACAGTGTACCAGGCGACTATCGAGATTGGGGGCCAAGCACTGGTGGTCAGTTCCACGTACCGCGGAGCTTTCACCAAGACAACTCTCGGACTACCCCAGAGCCTAGTAATACGGAGAATGAAGCGGAGATACTACGTAGAGTCATGGAACTCAGCATCCAGGAAGGCTTGCAACAGCCCAAGCCTCCTGTACTCGACAAAGATCTGGCAGACGCCATCCTCGCAAGCCAACAAGAGCCACAGAGCACACCTAAGCCCAGTGACACCTTTGACGATGATCTAGAAGAAGCCATACGCGCTAGTCAACAAGAGCCGCATAGAGTACCCCCGGCAATCACTGCCTTTGATGAAGATTTACAGGCTGCAATTCGTGCCAGTCAGCAAGAGCCCTCGTCAGCACCTAGCAGTAGCCATACTTTTGATAATGACTTGGCAGAGGCAATCCGAGCGAGCCGGCAAGAGCCACAGAGAGCTTCCCAGGTGAGAGACAATTTCGACCGTGAATTTGAGGAGGCCATCAGACGTAGCCAGAATGGCACCCAGTGGGCAGCACCATCTCGTCCTGTGCCCGCCGCCGTTATTGCCACTCCTACAGTCCGTTCCCCAACACACACTCTCATATCGCCCCCAATCCTGCATTCTCGTCCATCAATGCCCATGCCTGCACCTGCACCTGCACCTGCACTCACACTACAGCCTCCTCCTCTCATCCATGCCGACACTGCTCCCGCCATAGTCTGGTCTGGGGAGCGAGATCCAGATGCTCAGAAGCGAGAACGAGTATCAATCGACCAGCGGACGGTGTCACCAGTGCACCATGCAGACTGGCAGAAGTGGAGCGCCACAGAGGGCAAGAAATGGGATGCGAAGCTGGCACATCAAGACTCGAATGCCGCTACTGGGGAGGCACCGCCATACACGCCTTGGGCCCAGAACGGAGAGAAAACGGCAGAGTTTGACGCGGCTACTGATGAAGTCTCACGTTGGGAGGATGGTTTCGACGCACAAGCATAGTCGGATGGCCACTGTGACATGACGACTATGAGCTCCTAGGGCAGATGCGTATCTCTTTGACTGATAGACAATGCACAAATGTTGGTTCTCGATATGTCGTGTGCACCGGTGCGAGTGTGTTATGAATGTCGAGTTCTCGTTGATTCGCTGTCGTGCGCTAGACAACAAGCATGAAGGCATCTCTGCCATGGCTTGAAGACAGACAGTGGACGTTCAAAGCGATTGATTCATGTTTCAGTATTATACAGCCGGTTTGGTTGCATGTGCGTTGCTATCATTTGCTCCTTCACGTGATGGTAGGGGAAATTGACGTTCATGATCCTCGGCGGGAAGTGCCGCTTGTTAACCAAAAAGTCGTAAGCTTCCCCAGACGTTGAACTTCAACCGCACACTTCTCCCTCAACAATCAACAATGACGTCCAAACAGCTGTCCCTAGCTGTAAGGCCTCGAGGTATGTTGACTATATGATACTAGAGGCATCAACTGCTCACAATTGTCCAGGCAAGCCCATTCGAGGCCTTCCGGAAGAAACGAACATCTCAGCATCCGACACCGCTGAGCAGCTCTACAAGAAGATTGCTGCGGAATCCAAGTTCTCCATCCACCGATTGAGAATCACCAAAGGTAGCGATGGCGCCGCCATCCCGAATTCGAAGGATGTAACTGTACACGACACCGGCTTGAGAGACCAGAGCACCATCAACGTCAAGGATCTAGGTAGGACACTCAACCCCCTCTACACCAAATTCTCAGTCTAACAGGTCCTTCCCACAGGTCCTCAAATCGGCTGGCAAACCTGCTACCTTATTGAATATGCCGGCCCAATGCTCATCCACCCCCTCATCTACTTCCTCCGCCCCTACATATACCGCAACGCGACCGAGCCTGCCTCGCATCAGCAGTTCATGGCCATGATACTCGTCACCCTCCACTTCCTCAAGCGCGAGCTCGAGACCCTGTTTGTCCACCGCTTCTCGCTCGCCACAATGCCCTTCTTCAACGTCTACAAGAACTCAGGCCACTACTGGCTTATTGCAGGCCTCAACATCGCCTACTGGACCTACGCACCTACCGCGCTCGCTGCCACGCATCCGGACCCGCGCATCATGTATGCGGGCATCGTGCTGTTCGTCATTGGCGAGTTTGAGAATTTCCGCGCACACATGACGCTACGGAACTTGCGCAAGCCGGGTAGTACGGAGCGCGGGATTCCACAGGGTTATGGCTTCAAGCTTGTGACGTGCCCGAACTACATGTGGGAGACGGTTGCGTGGATTGGGATCATGCTGTGCACGATGAGTGCGAGCACGGCGGTGTTTATGGTGCCGGCGGTGGGACAAATGGCGGCGTGGGCGAAGAAGCGTGAGTATCGCTACAGAAAGGAGTTCCCGGACAAGTACAAGAAGAAGCGGTTTGCCATTCTTCCGGGGATATACTGAGATGGAGGAGCTGCATGGAGGCGAGCAGGAGAGACGGGGCGGGCGGTCACGATATCTGTCGGAGCGGGACCGTCGGGACACCATGGACCATGGTATGGGGGGCAGTCTTTGCACTGCGGCGACTCATACTGGCAATAACTGTATACGGGGTATACGGGTCTCGTCGGCAGGATTACGAGGCGGTGCTGCCTAACACAACGACCATGAATCGTGACAAGCGCGAGACTCGGCGTGGATCTATCTATCTATATATATACAATATACTCTATGGCGAATAAATACCCATACATCCAGCATACCAAGACATTACATCACCAAGGCTGCAACCCAATAATTCAGCCTCGCCCTCAGCTAGTCACTCCACTACTATCGATCAATCAATCGGATTGCCCTGACAAGCAAAGCTGCGGTGATGGTGGTGGTGGTGGTGGTGTGTGACGACGCAGCGACTTCTTCCGCGCGCACCTTTGCTTGCTTGTACTACAATCTGGCTGAAGGCCGAAGAAAGGGGAGTTGGGGGTGTGTATGTATGTATGTATTGTAGGTGGTGGGTTGGTTGGTAGGTGGGTAAGTAGGTAAGTAGGTGAAGCGAGAGTGTGTCTAAGTGGCCGGCACACGCACGCACGCAGGCAGCGGTGAGCCCGCTTGGGTTGATTACCGGGCTGCTCCCTCCCTTTCCCTCCCTCCCTCTTCCCGGTCCCCCCTTCCCGGTTCCCTCTTCCCCGGTTCCCCGTTCGCGTAAGCGGGGCTGTACTACTTATATACACGTAGTGCCTACATACTTACATACATACCTACCTGATTACCTGCAGTACCTACCTGCTGTACCAGACCAGACCAGACCAGAGCAGACCAGCTGTACTCGAGGGGTGACTACTGGGCGGAGGAGACAGACAGATATGTTTTCCGACGCTGCGGTTCAGACAGGATGGCCATTGGAGGTCCGTCCGGGAAAGCGTAATATAAACTACACGTCTATACTATGTAGCATATCATATACTTCATCGTCTTCGTTCCTTTTTTATAATCATTCTTTGCTCGAGGTAATTACTTACTTGTAGTACTCGTCGAATGGATGCATATATATCATCATCGCTTTTTCCATGTCTATGATGAGCGTGGTCTGAGGCTGGGTACAGGTTCTACGCGGAACTTCTGGTCGGTATTCTAGACATGCCTAGATGAATGCCTACTCACTCTTCTGGCCTCCCCCTTCACATGCGCAATGACTGTGACTGACTGACTGACTGCTGAGACGGGCACGGGCACGGTTGTAGGCTCCAGCAGCGGTGACAAGACAGCAAGCATCGTGTGCCCCTCTGCCATGACTGCTGCCTGCCTGCCTTGACGGAGAAGCCTGTTGAGCGGCCTCTATTCGTGTGTCCTCGTAGGTCCTGTTGGTGGGTGCAGGCAGGCAGGCAGGTACAGTCAGCCGTCGTGTGTTGGGTATTGGTATGAGATCACCATGAGTGTATTGCTTAGACGAGGCGTCCGAGCTGCTTGCAGGCATCCCATGGGGGAGGGCTGAGGGGCTCCTGGACTCCTGGTCAGCAGCAGCAGCATGGCCCGGTTGTACGGTCGAGATTCACCGTGGGCTCGTTCGTACGTGCAGGCAGGCATGCATGCATGCATGCAATCCGGATTGACAGGAACTGTTCGACACAGATAGGGCCGAGACGAGCGGCTTTCTGAGGGAGGTTGTCCTGATATGTGTGTGTGTGTGTGGGTGTGGGTGCTGTCAGCTATCAACTCATCTCCAAGACACCTAGAACCACTTGTGATGTGCCGAGAGTGTTTTGGAATAGTCGTTGCGTGCTGAGGCTTGCATGATGATGCAGCTTTATAGATCTTGTTCGTATGTTATTGTATCATGTTTATTGATCGTGCTCTGATTGGCTGGGCTTCTAATCCCAGTGTTCAGGGCAGCTGCATGCAGGGATTGCCGGGCACCGGTACCTCGGTGAGTGGACGAGGGAGGGACGTCAACTTCCAGGGCCTCCGGATGGATGAATACAACAAACTGCAGTAATTCTTTCGTTCTTCGCAACGTCATTTGGCATTGCATTGTTCCCGCCGCGTGGTAACGTGATCGGAACCTGCGATTCCTGCGGGAATCCTTTGCTGCATCATGTGCAAAAACGTCGTCGCTGGGGTTGTTGATGGGCGCCCGCGTCTGATTGGTGTTTCTCCGTTTATTTCAGACGGTTCGGTGGTGCTGACTGAACGACCTTTTCCAGAGCTGGGTCTGGCGCTCAGCCGCAGCCATTTATGTAGGGCTTGGCCGGGGTTTGGATGCAGACATACGAAAGAAGTATGAACCTGTTCGGTGTAGGGTGAATGTAGCAGCCAGCCAGCCAGCAGCCACGCGTGGCATGGCATGGGGGGCTCGGTGAAGATGATGTGAGGCCGGTAGGTAGTATAAGACAACTCCTTCGGCCTCCACTTCTTTGTCGCTACACTACTTTTTTTTTCTTTTGCTTCATCTCGTGCTACTTACTAGATATCTTTTTGGTAGCTTAGCAGTCTTCCGGCTTACCACTTCTTCTGGGAGGGCTTGGATAGACCACTGATTGCTTTGCCCCCGTATCAGAACCTCACTATCGAAGGCAGCAACGTCTGGCCACAGAAAGTAGATACAGGTGAGTCGTATTTTCCCTGACTCCATGGCTCCTACCTCCACGTCTCAACATGGCTGTTGACCATGGTATCCCCTTTTCTGTTGGGCCCGTTTCAACACCTTGGAAGCAATGTCCTGAAGACCGATTGTATCTGCCTAAACCCTCAACTTCTGTCTCTCGCGCAATTTACCTCTTGGTTATGACTCTACATTATGCCTTCGCGCGATGTTCGGAGGAGAACTATCACCCCAGCATTCATGTTCTCCCGCGATTCCCAGCTTCTATACATACCGCGCGTCCCAGAACCCATCAGACCATGTTCGCAAGCATTAATCCCCCGTACGCAGTCACGCGAATCGAAAGCATCACGAGACTCGAAAGAGGCCCAGGCTGCGAGAGAGAACCACGAGAATCGCCACCGGTCCGAGGATCGCTATTTTCAGGACTCGTACAATATGGGCGCATCCGCACCAGAGCCGCCGCACGTTACGCAGCCGTCCGACTTCGAGAAGACGCGCAACAGCATCGGCGCAGGCTTCAGGGAGCTTGGAGAGCTGATCAGCCATGTTCGCAAGCCGATACCAAGGGGCACCGGCAACGGGACTGATCTCGACGAAGAGGAGAAATGGCACTTTATCAAGCAGGTCGAAAGCGGCCTGCAAGATCTCTCTCACCTGGGCGTCTCCGATATCTCCAGCCTGATCGCCATGCAACATAAAGTCGCGACTGGACAAGTGATTGACGACAAGCAATATCTGATGGAGGGCTTGATCAAGGTTCGACATATTCAAACAGTCGTAATACTTCAACTGACAATGAATGCCATAGGCGGCCGCCGGTCTTCCTCAAGGGTCAGCAAACGGCAAGAAGATCACCGACTCATTTGTAACTCAACTGTGGAATGACCTACAACACCCTCCCCAGTCGTACTTGGGCGATCAGTATGCATACAGAACTGCTGATGGCTCGTATAATGTAAGATGCGAGGAGAACTTTCCATGTCTCCTGTAACCCGGGATTGAACCAACTAACAATTCATAGAGTCTAAAGTTCCCCGGAATGGGCGCGGCAAACATGCCATATGCCAGGTCGGTCAAGCCTATGACCGTGCAGCCTGGCGCCAGGCCTGATCCCGGCCTTCTCTTCGATGCGTTGATGGCTCGTCCGGAACACTACGACTATGAGGCAAACAAACATCCTAACCGTATTTCTTCGGTGCTCTTTTACGTAGCTTCTATCATAGTGCATGACTGTTTCCGTACAGACCACAAGGACTACTCCATGTCCCTCACATCCTCGTACCTAGATCTGGCTCCGCTGTACGGTAGCAACCAGGAAGAGCAGGATAGGATCAGAACTTTCAAGGACGGAAAGCTTAAACCCGACACATTTTCCGAAAAGCGACTTCTGTCTTTTCCTCCTGGTGTCAGCGTGCTACTGGTCATGTTCAATCGCTTCCACAACTACGTGGTCGAACAGCTTGCTGCGATTGACGAGGGCAAGCAGTTCTCCAAGCTCAAAGATCCCAAAGATAAAGTCTATAAAAAGTTCCCCGAGGAGACTCAGGACTGGAAAGACACAATCAAGGACAGGAAGTATGAGGAGGCGCTCTTCCAGACTGGCCGATTGATCACCTGCGGCCTCTACATCAATATCATCCTCATTGACTATGTCCGCACGATTCTGAACCTTAACCGAACGAACAGCAAATGGCAGCTTAACCCAAGAGCTCCCATCAAGGATGGTCCAGAATTAGGCGTCGGCAACCAGGTGTCCGCCGAGTTCAACCTGGTCTATCGATGGCACGCCACCGTGTCCAAGCGTGACGAGGAGTGGACAAAGCAGCTATGGGAACAGCTATTCGGTGACAGGGATGCGAACACTATTGGAGAGTACGAGTTCCTCGCGAAGCTGAAGGAAATAGATGAGAAATCTCCAAAGGATCCTGCTCAGCGTACTTTCGGGGGCCTGAAGAGGGATGACAAGACGGGACGCTTCAAGGACGACGACCTGGTTAAGATAATCACGGAGAGCATCGAGGATTGTGCAAACTCGTTCGGCGCTCAACGCGTGCCGGCGGTGATGCGAGCAATCGAGATTCTAGGCATCAAGCAGTCCCGTGCGTGGAACCTTGCCACTCTCAACGAGTTCAGGAAGCATTTCGGTCTGGAACCACACCGGACGTTCGAGGATATCAACCCCCAGGTAGCTGACGAACTGAAGAACCTTTATGATCATCCAGATCTGGTGGAGATATACCCAGGAATCGTTGCCGAGTCAGCGAAACAACCCATGGCACCAGGTTCCGGCCTCTGTCCGTCTTACACAGTCTCCAGAGCGGTACTGAGTGACGCTGTTGCACTTGTCAGAGGTGATCGCTTCTACACTGTTGACTATCACCCGAGGAAACTCACCAACTGGGGTTACAAGGAAGTTGACTTTGATCTGGACGTCAATAATGGTTGTGTGTTTTACAAGCTTTTTGCCCGCGCCTTCCCCGACCATTTCGAACCGAACTCCGTTTATGCTCACTTCCCAATGACTACGCCGGACGCGATGAAGGTCGCGCTTAAAGATCTCGAGTCTGACCATCTTTATACGTGGGAGAAGCCCAAGTTCAAGGGCGAGCACCACATGACTTTCTCATACAAGGCCGCAGATCAGATACTAGGTGATCAGAAGCTATTCAACGTGACTTGGGGACAAGCTATGGAGCTCCTCATGGGTAAGCCGGCCAAGAACTTCATGCTTGCCGGAGACGGGTACCAGAACACGGAGTCGCGTAAGAGGATGGAGAAGGCTCTCTATATCGATGGCTGGAACCAAGAAGTGCGCAAATACTACGAACACATCACACAGAAGCTTCTGCACGAGAAGAGTTACAAACTTGCTGGTAAGAAGCATGTGGACATCGTCCGTGACGTTGGCAATCTTGCACACGTTCACTTCTGCGCGGAACTCTTCATGCTTCCACTCAAGACGGACAACAGACCGGGTGTTTTCACCGAGCACGAGCTCTATCTGATCATGACTGCTGTATTCGCTGCCATCTTCTTCGACCTCGACCCAGGCTCGTCGTTTTCGCTGCGACAAAAGGCCGCCAAAGCAACGCAGACACTTGGTAAGCTTGTCGAGGCAAACGTCCAAGAAATCAAGGCAGGCGGCATCATAAGTTCGGCCATGCAGCTCATCTGGCCAGAATCATCTCCGCTCCAAGACTACGGCAAGAAGCTCATCAAGCGGCTCCTGGATACGGATACGTCAGTGCATGATCTTGTCTGGGGTCAGATCTTGGGTACTGCGGGCGGAATGGTTTCTAACCAAGGCCAACTGTTCGGACAGATTCTGGATTACTTCTTCACGAGGGGCCAAGAGCACCTCCCCGAGATCCACAGGCTCTCGAAGCTGGACGACGACGCGAGTTTCGACAAACTGATGCACTACGTCCTCGAGGCATCGCGTCTGAATGGCGAGACTGCCGTCATCCGACAGGTCACTCAAGACACAAGCATACAAGACGGCGACAAGACAATGCACGTGAAGAAGGGAGAACGAGTGTTTGTCAACCTTCGAAGCGCCTCGCATGACCCCGCCATATTCCCGGACCCGGACAAAGTCAACCTCAATCGCCCGGTAGAGTCATACATCCACCTTGGCGCCGGCCCACACCAGTGCCTCGGCCTCAAGATGACCAGGATCTCGCTCACGTCGATGCTCAAGGTCGTCGGTCGCCTGGAGAACCTGGCTCCGGTAAGAGGACCACAGGGAGAAGTCAAGAAGACGACGAAGAGGTTTTTCGAAGGCGACACGCTGCCTGAGAGCGTCCATTACCACAAGTACTTGACGGAGAATTGGGATTCGTATTTTCCGGTGCCGTGCTGTAAGTGATGCCTGAATCCTGATTGCGAGCGAGAATTTTGCTGACGCTTTTACTAGCTCTCAAGGTCTGCTGGGATTGAATGAGGTATTTGGGTTTTGGATAGATTGTTTGGCGTTGTTGTATGATAGTGTTTGTTTGGTATGAGAATCACACACGCAGGGGTTCAGCGATTTGGTTTCTTCGTTCTCGGGTTATCGTCCCTATATTCCAGTGTCGGAATTGGTGTGTTTTATGGATGGACGTTTGGCATTGCTTGGTGGTTCTGGTCTCTCTCTCTCTCTCTTTCTCTCTCTCTCGTTCCCTTCCTCCCTCCCTCTCTCCCTCCCTATCCTATCTGAATTCATGTACGAATGGCTGAAATTTAGGTATTTTGGTCAATTTGAATATATTACCTTACCTTTCTCTTAATATGCTGGCTGTTGTTATGTGTACATGTGACATGATGCACTGCTCTTGACTAGTTGTATGTACGTCCGTCGTGATATGAACATAGCGGCAGATGCGCTGTGGAGGGAGCCATGGCTCGGTATGTCCCATGGGCCGCTGACTTGCTACAAGTGCACTGCGACGGCTTCGGATATCATGTTGATGTCTCCTCAATGAATGCCTTCTTTCGAATGACGAAAAGTATAGTTAGTGTACAATTGCAGTCGTAACACACGTCTCGTCTCCCACACATGAGCGAAGCTAAGCCATCGACCCGACACCAAAAGACGAGCAAACAAGACACCCCATGTCATGTCATATCCACCATCTCTCAAGAGGAGCCTCAACTCGGCACACCCTCATAATCCCCGCGATCCGCCCCACCGACACTCCCTCTCCGCCGCCTCCCGCGCCTCGCATTCCTGCGATTCGACGCACACTTGATGAAGAACATGAGCGCCGCAACGGCAAAGATGACGACGGCCGCGACGGCAGGCACGACGACGGTGCGGGTGCGAATCTCGTTTGGGTCCTCGAGGTAGGGGCACGTGGTGTTTACGCCGACGACCCAGCAGTCTGGACGGTCGATGGCTTGGAAGTTGATGAAGATGGGGTCTGAGGCGTTGCGGGTGGTGTGATGGTCTTCGTCGGTGTCGGCGATGAGGAGGGAGAGAAGCCAGGTGTTTTCGAGGGCGGAGCGGGGAGCGCTAAAGGAGCTGTTTGGCGGGCAGCGGGAGGGGGAGGCGAAGTCGGTGAAGGGGCCTGGGGAGGGGGAGAGGGTCCAGGCGTAGGGCTGGGAGGCGATGCGGCAGGCGGCGTGGTGGTGGGATTGGCAGTTTGTTGCTTTCCAGCGGCCGTTGAGGGAGGGGTAGAGGGCGGCGCAGAGGAGGCCTTGTTGGCCGGTGGTGTCGTCGTTGTTGTCGTCGAAGTTGATGCTGTTGTTGGTGTCGTCTTTGCTGGCTGGGTCGGTGGTGTTGGGCTGGTCGGGGGCCCAGGACCAGATTGTTGCTGCGTTGGCAAAGGCGCGGTATGTGGCTGGGTCTGTGTCGGCGGACTGGCCTGCGAGCGTCTGGTTGAGGAGCGAGGAGATGCCGCAGGACGAGAGGTTGGATAGGGTGGAGAAGGTGCTGTCGCTGAGGGTTCCGCTCGCGGGGATGTTCAGGTTTGAGGTGACAGCCCAGGAGTTGTTTGTGGCTTCTGTGATTGCGGGGACTGTTCTGTCAAAGAAGCATCCTGAGCGTATGGCACCGTCGGTGCTGAGTGTAACGTTTCGCACTGCTTCCATGGTCCCAGACATGAAGATGGTATCTGCGTCTCCGCTGAAGTTGTAGTTCGACATCTGGGGGTCCACTCTGCCGATGTACGCAATCATCCGGGAGTACCGGTCGAAGTTGGTGAAGGTCTCCGTGGGCCATCCTGAAGGCGTCGAGTAGGTGTTGCCGTCTTTTTCGAGGGTAAGATAGGGGATGATAGGTGCGTCCGGGCCAGGGATCTCGAACCAGCTTTGGTTGAGGTTCGCGCGATCGATGTCGAGCATTGTTGGGGTGTATATATTTGCGGACAGGTTCGCATTGAGTGCGCCACTTAGCAGCTGGGTGCCCTGAGGGAGTTGAGAATCGGCGGGAGATGCTGCCGGACTGCTAGGGTTCGAGCTTGATGCAGCAGCATGTATGTTGAGTTCAAGGATGGTTAGATCGACAACGACTGTAGTTTCGGACGCTTGAAAGTATCCATATAGGATGTCTGCAAGCAGGGATAGGCTGCTTGTAGCTGTGCAGCTGTAGGGCCCGATCTGAAGCAGCGTTTCGTCATTGCCATTACTACTAGAGACATATGTTGCCATAGGCGAAGGAGATGTCACTATGGTGGTCGTCGTCGAGCTTACAGGAGAACTGATCTCTGATGGGGAATTCGATCCTGATAGACCTGCGGACGAGTCTTGTCTCGCCATGACTTTTGCGGCCCCAGCTTCGGTGGGAGCTGGTGGTGACCCAGTCTGGTCGTCTGATAGCACACCACTTGCGATGAAAGCCGTCGACCTTGATGAAGGTGCACTGGCGATGGATGTGTCATCTCCTGTCGACGCCGATTCCGGTACCTCTGCTGGACATAGACTCCAGACGGCCCGACCGGCATCCCAGTAGAGGTCCACTACCAACCTTTTGAATCCCATCGCCAATAGATTCGAGACGCATAGTTTGATTGCATCGTCTTCGAACCGGTTGCTCGCAAAGCAAGCCGCAGTCAATGAGACACCGGGCTTGGTGATGAAATCAATGGGGAGCTCGAACGCTACGTCGCGTTGTGACTGCACACAGGGTCAGTATGAGACAGCAGGCATCACATATCGTCAACCCAACTAAGAATGCTGTTGTCCATGGTGGCTGAGTTTCCGCATCGGGACTGGGTTGATAGGATCCGGACATCTGTATCACCCTGTACTGATCCGCAAAGGAGCCCTGCACGAAAGGATGATGAGCTCAGGTATCAACCACATATGTTATCGAGACACATATACAACAAGTCTCTCCATAGGGTCCATCTGATGATACACCGTTGTGTTGTTGCTGAGAATGTGATGCGGATTACCCGTGGATTGATGCCAAACATGCGTTCACATACAACACGAGGACGTGAGGTCATCCATTTCGGGGGTGCCAAGAGATGTGAAATTACACGCTAATGAAGTCTAATTCCGCGACTTCCGCCCACTTTCTACAGAACAACAACAATCACAAAACATCTTTCTTCCTCCGAACGTGTCAGCGAGAGTCGCGAGAGCAGCCTTCTGGTCGGGTGCGATTGATATGACGTGAGATGAGTCGGCCTCGTAATGTATGTGATGATGCAGACTTAGTCACTTGTACGTTGATGTTCTAGATCGCGGGGGACACGACCGGCAGGTAGGACTTCCGAAAGCGCAACGGTCGACATGAATCCTTTCAGTGGTCGATTCTGATAAGTCTGTAATATCTCAAGGAATCAATATACCCTCTCGTTCACGCCTCGGCCAGGCCGTAGCGCATTCCGTCGTGCGTCTCGTCTCCCAGTGGCCGCTGAAATTGGCATTGCTGCCTCGGCGAAGCAAAATGCCTGGCGAGCCTGGCGAGAATGGCGAGAAAAAAGAACAACGACGCACGGAAACCTCCATTCTAGCGATACTGGAGCAGCCGCATGCTTGTATAGTCTGTGTTATAGTTATGGCCTAGGAGGATGGTAGATCTGGGCATCCTCGGCTTCCCCACATCAGCAATAAGGCAACGCCTCCAGCGGCTTCGAAAAGGACACGGCTGGACCTCTCCCGTCGGAACCACTCACTGGAGTGGGAACACGTCCACCCACGCCTCGGCCGATGCGCTCGCCGCTCGTTGTGTATAGAGAGTGTGGAGAACGACACCCGGAAAAAGCCCTGGACGCGTGCTTCGAAGAGAATCGCCTGAACGGGCAATGCAAGCCTCGCGCCTCGACGACAGATAGACAGGCTTGAGCGAAACGAGACGTGGCTGCGGCAACTACCGTATCTGTGGAGAGATACGAATAGACTTTGACCTGGCTTCATGCATTACAGCACACCCAAGGCAGGGCAGGGCAGGCCAGGGCAGGCATCGCATCTTCATGCCATGTCGTCCAAAACAATAGAGCGGCTTCAGGATCGAAACTCTCGCCCCGCTGCACCTTCATGAGCTTGGTCCCAGGGAGTGGCGGGATCACCACTTGTCGTCAGGCTTCAGCGTTGTTGACACCACCCAAAACACGATCTGCCCCCGGCATGACTACCAGAGCGCATCAAACCACAAAACGTCCACTGGCGCCGGCCTATCGCGAAACGGCCGGGAGCGCGACGCCAGTCCATGGACGGATGCGCTTGGCGTCGTATGCTATGCTATGCCATGCGTCGGCAGCATCGCCGTCGCATTGCATCGCGCGCCGTCCCCAACGTCTGGCAGTGAGAGTGCCCGATCTCATCGGTCGGGCCCCCCGCCGCGCCGCCCATCGCACGACGACGACGCGCGCGCGCTGATCCAGCCCGCCGCCGTCAGATTGAAGAATACGGCATGATCGACAAGCAGGAATTCCGCCGTCGTCCTCGCGGGGGGTCGCTTATGCTTCTAGTGCCCACGAGACCGCCGCCTCCGGCTCGTCCCAAATCGGCAAATCAGCCATCTTTTATTTTTCGCAAAAATTGCTCCTGCAAACCTTAGCGACCTCGACCTGCACCTAGCACCTCGTATCGGCCAGCTTAGCCAGGCGACCGTTGGCGCTTCTTTTCGACTCGTCGGCGGCGCTAGAGCGTGCGAGATGATGCAGTACGATGATGATACAGGACGGTAGTGGTGGTGGTGAGAGGTAAACGGGGGGAGGGGGGTCCCTCTTCGAGCCTCGAGCCTCGAGACTCGAGTAAGCACCACTCGATGAATGCGGTCGCAGGCGCAGACTTGGGACGTCGACTGTCGATGCAGACGTCCGGAAAAGGATATCATTCGGGGGAGTTGATGCGATGTTGCCTATGTCGCCGTCCTCGTGCCTTTGTCGCCCGCCCAGCCCCCCGCCAGCCAGCGATCGTGGGTGGTAAATACACTATAAACATGTACATGGATCGAACTCGCGGATATCTAATTGCCTCGCGGTTTTGAGGCTTGGGGATTTGAGGCTTGAACCTCGACCCTCGAAACCCCCCACGGTCTGTATGTCTGTCCGTTCGTCTGTCCGTTCGTCTGTCCGTCCGTTCATATCTACCACCGGACGAGCCCAACCCAGCTCAGCCCAAAGAGCCCGACGCTGAAACTGACAGTAGTAACTATCACACCCTTACTTACTTACTTACCCACCTTCGATGACGCTGAGCAGCGGCATCATCCGCGATGTGCACTTAGCCTATGCTGTTCTGTACTGTCCTAGCCTGTATGTTCTGTCCTAGCCTGTCTTGTACTGTCCTTTCCCAGTAGGGCACGGAAGGCATACCGTAGTATACAGTATACAGTAGTATAGTAATCACTCCCAAGAAACCGAGTCTTGATAGACAGTTCTATATTCTTGACGAAACGTATAGAAGATGCATAGAATATACATAGAATATATAACATAGATCATACAGAGTAATGCACCTACAATATATACTCATTTTGGCAAATGATGTTCTTGATATTTATTGCAAGTACCACACAGTAAGATTAACTACTTGATGGATTACATGGATGATTAGACTAGCATCGGGCATTTAGTAGTGGATTCAATAACATTCAAAACAAACACTCAAACACTCATATATCTAAAAATGCGTACATATGCGCATATACATCATCTACACCCAAGCATGTCCGCCTATACACAAATCCATACCCATACCATATGGACACATATATCTCCATCACCCCTCCAGCCCAACCCTCTAGCCCCCAAAAAAAGGCACAGAAACAAGAGAAGGCGTCGTAAGACAACAATAACAACGATATAACAGCAATGCAACAATGTTATATAAGCAACGATACCGATAACGACAACGACAACGATAACGATAATGGTATAGTATGGTATAGTATGGTAAAACGATATGCTTTGCAAAGGAAAACAACAAACACAAATGTGATTGATCCCCATCCCCATCCCCATCCCCATCCCCATCATCCAGGCCCACAAAAAATCGGCAACAAGAAGCCCTTCAGAAACAAAAGCTTCTCCATCGCATTGCATTGCAAAGCCCAAGCCGCAAGACGCAAGAACGCACACGAACAAAACACCATCCCAACGCCCACGCTCGCCACGCTCATGTCAGACGTACAGATATATATATATATATGTATCAAATCACCCCCCCCAAAAAAACACCCAGAACGACCAAAACAGGTTTTTCCACATACAGTAGTAGTAATAGTCCATCCAATAAGCACATACAACAACAACAACAACCTCCTCCTCCAAGACAAACCCACAAGCAAGAAGATCAAGCCAGAATCGACGACAGAGCCATCTTCTTCGGCTCCACAGCAGGCAGCGGCGGCGTTCTCGTCACTGTGTGGGTATTCGTATTCGTATTTGTATGTGACCAGCAGGACGCATAGTTTGGATCGCGGAAGACGGGCTTCTCCATCTCGCGCGGGCTAGGCAGTTGGGGGAAGTGCTGCTGCTCGGCCGGGACGCCGCGGACCATGTGTTGCGGGCTTGGGAGGAGGAGCTGTTGTTGTTGGTGGTGCTGGTGCTGATATTGGTGGTGGTGATGCTGTTGGTGGTGGTAGGCGGGCGCGGGAGTCAAGATTGCAAGCGGGGGCGAGTCAACGTCATGATGAGCAATGGGCGCAAGGTGGAGTTTCTTGAACACCGCATCGTCGTCGCCGCCGAGTTCAGCACCGGATTTGGGCAGATAACGGAGGATGCTGGAGCGCCTGCGCTGAGAGCGTGGGGCAAGGGAGGACGAGGAAGAAGAAGAAGGAGGCAGGGTGTAGATTTCGTTTGGCGAGGTGGAGTAGTGTGGCGAGCGGGATTCGGAGCCGGAGTCTGTGACGAGGGAAGGGGGCGCGCCTTCGCCGGAGATGACGGAGACGGAGGGTGAGGGCATGGGGGTGTCGAATGCGTAGCCGGGCCGGCTGGATTGCTGGGCGGCGTGGATGCTGATGGGGGCAGGGCGTTGGCCCGGGTGTGGATATGAGGGGAAATGTGTTGCTGGCGGGAGGGCGTAGCGGGCTTGTGAGGGCTGGGCGTAGTATGCTGGGTTTGGGAAGGCGGAAGAGGAGGTGGAGGAGGAGGAGGAGGATCGGGTGTCGAGAACGGGGAGCGAAGGGCGGCGACTGCTGTCAATGTGGTGGTGGTCGAGTGTGTATGCGTGCATATCGCTGCTGTCGGACTGGCGGTGATCGGCTCCGCGTCGTCGCCTGTTCTGACCTCCGTTCCACCAGTTCTTCACCGCGTTGTCGCTTCGGCCCTTTAGCCTCCTCGCAATCTCAGCCCATCGCTTGCCCATTTCTTGCACCATCTTCTCAATCTGCTCGCCTTCCTCTGGGGTGATGGGGTCGTGGTTCAGGGTGGGTTTCAGGTTCTGGTGGAAGCGTTCCCGGCATTGCTTGGGCGACCGGCTTCCGATGGAATGTGAGATGCGGACCCAGTTTGAGGCACCATCGCGCTGCACGAGCTGGAGAAGATATAGATCTTCCTGCTGGGTCCAAGGACCACGACGTTGGTTGACCATATTATCTGCAGAAATATTCAAGACTATACAAGTGAGTTAGTGTCGATTCGGTGGTGGTCTATCAAGCAAAGAAATAGTAACAGCGTAAGTGAGATTGCGACAGAGATCCAAAAGAGAATGGACACTCTGGTCACTAGACGGCGCAAGAGAAATGATTTGTTTACCTTTGGTTCAACGTTGGAGCGTGCAGGACCGGGTAGCTGACTGTGGTCCGAGTTGTCGTAGGCTGTAACTGAGGGTTTGTGTTAGTGGAAGCTTTGATCAACAGGACGCAGCGGGCGATATAAGAAGAGCACACACTTGATGCGTAGGCGATGGGGTAGACGGTAGTAGACTTACGGATGGAGCAGGACTAGGACAGAAACAGTCACTGCAGCAAGGCCGAGGAGCAAGACGTTGGACACCTTTTTGGGCGTGATGGCGCAGGCCTAAAGAGACGCTGGCAGTGAAGGGCGATCTGAAAGTCTAGTAGGAGACTGGTGCGGACGGCAAGGGAGGCTAATGGGAAGACGGGCGTTGACGAGATCGATCTATGTGGAAGGGCGAAGTAGAGTTGACGGGAGCGTGCAGTCGAGACGGCGACGGGTGATTTGTTTGGAGAGAATTGAATGTGTGAGAGAGAGTAGAGGATGAGGCAGTAGTAGTAGTAGTAGTAATAGTTGTAGTAGTTGGTGGAGGGCGTGCAGACCCATATACACAAGCACACTCGTCACGGAGGCTGCTTTGGGCGAGCAGGGGAGAAAGGCTGAGGAAATTCCAGATCGCTGGGAGCGAGATGCTGCAGGCCATGGATACAAGCCCATGTAGCACATCGCGGGTGTCTAGGGTACGTCTGGGTCAGGACTCGTACACTCGAGACGCACCCAGGGGGGGGCCCCCCCTCCCCTTGCCCCATCCATTCATCCCCTGGCAGTCGTCAATGCTGGCGTCAGGGTTGTGGTCATTTCCATTCTCCCGCGGCGGATCGTCCTCGTACATAGATGATGATAGTATGAGGAATGCCTGCTCGGACGAACCACAAAGCACCAAAACAACAACAACGACGACGACGACAAGCATCAAGACGTCCTCAATCCGTGATTGAGGGTATGATGTATCATGACCAGGGAGAGTTTGGAGTAGCGGATATGTATAGATAGACTCAAGACCGTGTGGCACCGGGGTGGTGGTAGTCAAAATGATAAAAGTGTAGGGAGACATGATTGGCAGGCTGCACGAAGGTTTCGTGATGGTTTGGCCTCCCGCAGAGCGCCAGGAAGCCCGTTCCGTCAACGTCAACGTCAACGAAGGCCGAGTCAGGCAGGGTGAATGCGGAGAAAAAACATGATGGCGCTGGCCGAGTAATGCTTTCATTCCCCCCACGCATCCCAATGGACACGGCCGCAAAACATGATCCGGGCGGGCAGCAAGCCAGCAAGCCAGCCATTACACAGACCTCGGCAGGCAGGCTGGTTGGCTGGCAGTGGACCAGCAAGCGACGACAAGGTGGTATACGTACGGAAGAGGAGGATTACAGCTAGTTAGGTAGCGGAAGCGGCACACGGAAACAGCAAGTCGGCGTGTCGCAGTTTTATCGGAAGCGTGGCTGTCTTTGTGCTCCATTGAAGATGAGGCTTATATTGAGAGGGGCTAGCGGAGGGCAGATCCGACAGAGCGCTCACACTGACAGGCAGTGTGTGATGAGTTTTGATTATTACACAGAAGGACAGAATTGTAAGGATCCGCTCTTTCGGTCGTAAGAGTAAGGATCAATAATAATATTAACAGCGGTGGTGGTAGGCATGAAGGGATAGAAGGATGAAGCAGGGCTAGAGGATGCAGGAGTAAAGGTTGACAAGCAGAAAAGAATGAATATGGATAGGGGGTAAGTTATTGTTAGTTGTTGTTAGTTGTTAATAGATAGACGGGACCCGTGGATAGTAAGGTTGTTTGGCAAGTCGTCCAGGGCAAGGGTCCCTAGGCAGACAGGCATTTGCTTGCAAGTTTTACTCGTCTCACTCTCTCCCTCCCTGCCTGATCAGAGGAGGGCGGCTATCGCAGTCCCATGCGAGGCAGATGCAAGATGCGAGATCGATCATCCTCAAGCATGCTCATCCTCATACGAATAATATATCAGCTGTGCAAGTTCCGAAAGCCAGATCCTGCCAGCGCTAGGCCGGAAGTGGTGAATTGTGCCAGTGCAGCGAGAGGCCACGACATCGACAACGACGACGACGACGACAACGACGAAAAGGACAAGCAGGGCAAGAGGGACGAAAGCGGAAAAGGGGATATATGGTGGTAAGTGGTGTAGCATTAGAATATACCGTGCAGCAGTAGGTAGGATGTTGAAGTGAATGCGGTTGTTATGGTAGTAGTAGTGGTGGTGGTGGTGGTGACAACAAGCATCGAAGCATCCAAGACGGGCAGGCACCCGAAGCATTGGTTCAACGTTTTTCTGCTGTTACTGTTACGCCAAAGTTGCCGCCTCAGCGCTCAGGCATCATGCTGGCCTCTCTCTGTTTACCCTTGTTCGCCGCGGGGAAGGAGCCCCCCCTTCTGGCCAATCAGCTTCGGACTGGACAGAATTTGAAATACTTTATTGACCAGACAGGGTAACCGCGGTCAAACGTCGGCCTGATCCCGGTAATGCAGCCGCATCCTGTCTTGTTTACGGGTCTGTGTGTCTTGTCTGCTGCTGCTGCACTCTGCACTCTCACCACCACGACGACCATCATCTGCCACCATCTGCCACCACCACAATCACCTCTACCACCGCTACCACCTCTATAATAAATGATACCTACTCTCTACCACGTCCACGTCCATGTCCATCCATGTCGGCTGCTCCAAAACGGGTAACACCAATGCCGCGCCCATAGCCCCCCTTTAAGTTGCCCCCGGTCCACACACCTCGTCATTGACCTGGCACAAACCCACAAAACAAAGTACACATGTGGTAGTCGTAGTCGTAGTGTGTTATTACTATTATTATTATAGTAATAACAATAAGAATAGTGATAATAATGCTGCTACCGCTACTACCAATACGACTTTGACAGTCGAGAATGGAACGCTTCCTACGCTTCTCCCTATACGGCCCCCCCTCCCCCTCTTCTTACAAGTTCGTTCATACACACACACACAGCTCGTATAGCTAATCTATCTCAGACTTGTCAAACCTGTCATCCTGGCCCTTGTCTTTCTTGTCGACGCGGCGCTGTCCTGTCCGTGCTCTCAACGAGGCTCCGGTGCTAGTTAGTATATGGCTACTTTAGTTACCTTAATTAATGGTTGCTTGCCTATGACCGTTGAGCAGCCCCGGCGCGCCCGTTCGCGCTGTTGGCCCGAGGGGGGCGCGTGTGGAGTCGTGGACAAAAGAGAGAGAAAGGAAAGAAAGAAAGGAGGCCAGCCACGTGGAGGACAGACTACGGAGATGCCAGTGAGGAACATTCAAGACGCTTACACATTCTTCTGTAGAATGTGCGCGCGTGAGTTTGTGTAGATGTGTATATATAAGTACATATATATATATATATACATGTACATGTGTATGTACATGTGGCTGTTGTGCCGCGTGAAGTGTGAAGAAGAAGGACCCGACGAAGTGGACGAGAGAGCGAGAGAGAGAGAGAGAGAGGGAGTGGGTTAAGCTATGATTGGGCGGGCACTAAGTTGACAGCCTGCTCCCTGCGGCAAGTCCCTGCTCCCTGCTTCCCTGGGCAAAAAAGCCATATTCGCCAGTTTTTGCTGGATCCAGCCAGAGCGGCGCATGGGTGACAACAACGAGACGAGGGTAAGTGATTAAATAAGGGAGAGATGGTAGTGTGTTGGTAATTGGTGGTAGGTGGAGGTAATTAGGTGATGCATGGATTTGCAATTCCAGCAGGCTGGGGGTGCCCGTTAGACTAGGCTGAAGGCGTGGTAGTTCCCGGGCGGTATGTGACGTGGTGTGCGCTGCCTGTGCTTCAATCTGCGCGCCTGTCACACACACTTCATTAGGCTCGCTAGTACAGTAGGTAGTAGTAGATTGCACATTCGGCCGAAGACCCCCACACTCTTCCCAACTTCAGGGCTAGCTATGACCAACCAAACTGCCGCCGTCGGCCCCAAGTCAAGTGCATTGCATGCCCTGTAATACCTGCCCCATGCCTTGTAGTACCGGGCCCATGCCTGGTAATACCCCATCCATGCCTGCTAATACTCTGCCCCGGCTTTCCCGTGAGCTTGGGAAGGAAAAGAGAGAGAGAGAGAGAGACACAACGGCCGTCCCGACAGTACAAATTCCATCCATGCGTTCCAGTTGCCGCCGCCGCCACCGCCGCCTCCTCTGTCGTGCTCACTCACTCACGCCCCAAGTTAATGATAATCCCAGCATCAGCCTGACACACGACACACGGGAGGCAAGTAAAGTGGTGGAATGGCTGGATCAAGCAGTTGGAATTTCCTGTTGTTGTTTGGGGTTTCCGCGCCAAGGGAACGGTCCTTCCCGGGAACTGCCCTGGTGGTGCTGGTAGTATGTACTAGGTATTATTATAGTGGACAATGGGATGGAATGGGATGCCATGCCATGCCATCATCATGTACGACGACGACGGCAATGTTACACGCAAAGACACTTGAGGAAAACACACGCAACGTGTGTGATGCCGCGTTGTCGTCCTCGTCCTCGTCCTCGCCCATCCCGGCCCCGACACAGAGGACCGGAAACTGTCTGGCAAGTGTCACGATAAAGGTATCCTGGGCGCTGGGACACATACACACACACACACACACATGTCGTACTCTGTCATAGGCAATGTCGTGCAAAACAACCCATCTCCCCCGTCTTAGAAACGGAGCAAACGCTGTGCCTGAATGAGCGATCAGCATAGACCCGGGCCGCAGCAGCAGTAGCGGCGGCGGCAGCAGCAGCAGCAGCAGCATCATGATCATCGATGTTGGATGCTGTGGATGCTGGATGCTGGATGCTGGATGCTGGATGCTGGATGCTGGATGCTGGATGCTGGATGCTAGATGCTGGATACCATACCGGATGTACACTGCTGCTGCGACTGATGGAAATGAGACATGCCATCACCTGCAATTCCATTCCGTGTAACATCAACAACAACTGTGCTTTCCCAAACAAGCATGCCCATACGGGATCCCCATGCCAGTCAATCGAGGTACCTACGACTACTTACATCCCTCGCTAGTTCGAGCATGGATCTGTGCGCGCGACCAGAAATGGGTTTCCGTTTCTTTGTACGATGGAGATTGTATAGATCTCTGGGATCCCACCATCTCGGACAAGCCAGGGCAAGGGACTGGCAGGGGGAGGGGGGCTGCTTTGCTGCTGGATCCACAACATAGATCAAACATCCCATCCAGCCATCATCCGTCGTCGTCGTCGTCGTCGGCTTCTTCCATCACCAGATTAACGAGAGCATATCAAAGGCCCTTCTCTCGCCGCTGCTTCCGGGGCCAATCATGACTGGCCTTTCTGCGCGCGCGTTCCTCCTCCTTGTTTAGATGTACGGTACATAGCAATGTGTGCTGGTATGTATGATTGTGTTGATTAAGCAGCGTATGCCATTCATGGATGTGAAACGGATCGTATGTAATGAAGCAGCATATGCCCGTGGATCCAAGTGCTGGCGTCGTCGGCAAAGAGCAGAGCCACAGCCACAGCCACCCACTCACCACACAGCTGGCACCTACAGTACGCGCGGGCAACGGGTGTCAAAAATCTTGCTGCTGGACCCGACAGCACGGAGCCCCAGCAGCAGCGACAGCAGCGGGTAGACGCCATCTGCTCGGATGCTCGTGCCTGGTCTCCCTCCTGTTTTCTTGAACAATGCACAACGACAACCAAGCGACATTGCGACTTGAGAAAAGAGTCATGTCTTTTGGATATATATTATTGATTATTATGGGGACCTGATCGCCTTTGCCCGCTGCCATCTTTTCGCGCGCCGTCGTCGCTGCTTGCTGGTTGCGCGACACATTGACGGGCGCCGATCAGGCCAGCTATGACTCGCTCACAACACAACACAATGCCATCTTTTCCCATCTCTCACGTTTAGCCGCCGCTCACTTCGAGTGTGGTGGATGACATTACACATGTGGACATGGAACATGGGAACATGCACGACCGACTCGCGGTTTAGCATTCGAGAAAGTGATGGGCTGCTCCCACTGGGCACTGGTAGGCTGGCTGGCTGGCTGGCCGACTAGCTGCTCCCAAGTACCCAAGTGTTCAGTAATCTGGGTCTACGCCTATCAAACGGGCGGGCTGCCGCCCGGCGCGCAAGGAGCCCCAGCAACGTCAACGTCACCGTCCAGCTGCTTGGCCTGTCATTGGGGGGTTTCGGGAAACGAGACAAAGGAGGGGGGGGGGGGGAGGGGGGGACAGGGTAGAAGACATGGCATGGATATGCTGGATGATGGGATGATGCATCTGCTCTGCATCAGATCCCTTGATCTTCTTTGATCGCAGCTATCCCGGTCTTTTCCAATAACTCTCTATTCTATTCTCTACACACTCCACACACTTACTCTACTCTACTCTGCTCGTCCTCTCTACTAATTACTACACTATCCCAAGGGACCAGGACCAGGACCCAGCATTCCTACCCCATCTCTTCGCACCGAGCATTTCCGTTTATAGCTTTTCGGCATAATCTCTCTCTCTCTCTTCCTCCTCGTTAATCTCCTTTCAGCTGGGCCTCTCTCTCTTTTTCTTGCTTGGCTCGCTAATAGAGGTCATTCCTTCATTCCTTCCGGTGCTACTTTTACTATACTGTAATAACAAATCTTTTCCTTCTAAGCCACCACCCATGCTGGTATTAATTTGTTCGGTCGACCCTGTATGTGCAGCACGAACAGCCGGACAGGGGACCTGACTACTGACTGCGCGTCGTCGTCGTGGAGGAGGAGGACGCCCCGCCATGTCCGACCCCGAGTCTCCTTTCACCAAAGGCTTGCACTCCCTGCTTCGGGACTAGCGCTGCCGTGCTCCCTTACTTGCCCTGCCCTTAATCGCCCTGCTCTGCCCGTGCCTGTCTGCCATGGCGAACAACTCTGATAACCCATGATCCCGGGGAACATCGCCAATCCCAAACTTTCATCCTTTTTTTCTTTCTTCTTTCCTGCTTGCTTGCTTGCTTGCTTGCTTGCTTTCTTTCTTTCTGATCCCAACCGACCGCTGTGTCCTGTCCCGCTCTACTCCGGGCAGGGGTTCTTTGACCTGGGCAATTAGATGGTTTATTGCCTATTCCATCCATCCATCCATCCATCTACCTTGCCCTGACCCTGACCCTACCCTGCCTTTCTTTGCCCTGCTATCCGCACACTGTGTACACATGTGACCATCTAGATGTCTAGACAGGAACAGGTCCTGTTGTACTCCGCGGAAAGTGTCTTACTAGCCAATGGCAGGTCGGCTAGCTGGCTACGACACACCAGACCCTCGGCCGAACGTCTGTCATTGCGTGCGTGGGTGTGCGTGCCGTGCCCTGTGTCAACAACAGTCGGGACTTTTCTAGTCTTTTGTCCTTCTTCGTAGTACCTAGTATTGATCAAGGATGGATAGATACACGGGGGGGCATAATAGAATGAAATAGAACAGACGCATGTTGTCTCTCAACAATTACGTCGTCGTCGTCGTCGTCGTCGTCGTCGTCTCAACCCCTTTTTTTTTTCAACCTCTAAACGACCGACTGAACCTACGCACGCACATAGCTATGCCGAGATGTTCGCCCAAGAAAAAAAAAACTATAAAAACAGAAAGAAGAATAAAACCGTTCGTGCAGATCTGATCTTGCCCTTTCCGAACTGAATTACACCCCCCCACAAGCCCTTCAAGCCCCCGAAGCGCTAAACACACGGCCGTTGGCGATGAATGTCTGGATCTGGAGTTTTTCAAACGTCTGTTTGCGCGGGCGGGCTTGGTCGTTGGTATTTGGTTCGTGGTGGTATGTAGTATGTAGTATGTAGTTCTTGCTTGCCGGATAGCTAGCCAGTCAACCAGACAGCCAGATAAATACTATCCCCGTACTCCAATTACAACAACCAAGCCAATGCACACACGCACACACAACCCAGGTAAAGCCCCAACGTCAACATCCAAACAGTACGCAGGAGAGATCCGAAGAGGGGACGAGAGCACGGGGGGAGAAAACAGGCGAGACAGACTGCCGATGCCGAGACGAACCATTTGGAATTCTGGACTTCGTCCCGTATGGCTGGGCTCGTGAGTGCGTGCGTACGTGCGTGCGTGCGTGCGTGCGTGCGCCATATCGAGACTACGGGCAGCAGACAGGCAGATAGGCGAGATGGCGGGTAGAGATGATGAGAGAGAGAGGTAGTGGGCAGTTGTTATGTACCTACCTATAAGAAGGAGATGAAGAAGAAGAAGAAGGAATTGTATGTCATGTAATTATATCGTATGTCTTTCCATATGTATGTATTGCAATTGCATCCCAGCCCCTCCTCCTCCTAGGCACGTTATTTTACATTCTTGGCTTTCGGCTTTTAGAGTTTTTTGAGTTTTTGGCTTCCGGGCTTTTTTTTTGGTTTTGGCACCGACCAGTTTCTGCAGTGTGACGACGATTGGGGGAGGGTTTTTTTTTTGACAAATATTGCTCTCGTTTTTGTCTTGTTTTTACTTTCTTGGATTTTCTTAACGCTTTTTTGTGTCTTGTTCTTTGTGTCTTTGTCTCTGTCTCTGTCTTTTTCTTTTTCTTCTCTTTTCCTCGTGTCTTGCAGATTGGCAGATTCGCTCGCTCGCTGGCTGGCTGGCTGGCTGGCTCGGTCTGCTGGCCGACAGGTTGCATGCACACTGGCACATTGGCACGTTGGCACATTGACACCACTTTGCATGCATGAATCAAGTGATGATGATATTGTGTGTTCGTTTACAAGTTAGGAGAGATTCATTGCTATGACATATACTCCTCATGCCATACTCATACCTAGGACGAGAGACGGGAAAGAAAGGGGAGGAGACCGATAGGCAGGCAAGTAGTAGATAGGCACGAACAAAAAATAAATCAATACATACACATACCAGCGCCCAGCCAGCCATGAATCCCTCCATCCTCAACACCCAACCTCGCATTGTCAAGGCAACGCAACGCAACGCCAGGCACGACAAGATAAAGCAAGGAAAGAGCAAGTAACTAAGATCCCGCACCCTTTGTGGGCCACCCGCCCCTCCTTCCCCAATCAATTATGCGATTTCACGATTTTACGATTCGCGATCTGCGATCTGCGATTCGCACGGCCGGCCGCCGTCCTCCCCTCGTCCTCGGGCGGCTCGGGGGGGGTGAGTGAGGGAGGGGGCGGCGTGTGCTGTGAGAAGCGTGTTTGCAGTTTTAGCAGTAGTGTCCATCTGTGAGGGAAGTGAGTTCTGGAGGGTTCCTCAAGCGTCCAGCGTATTTTAGTGTTCTAAATGTTCGAAACAAAGCTTTACTGAGTAATCATGTAGTCATTAGTTTAGCCGAAGTAATCTCTGGTACACTTCTATCCGCCTCTTATTCTTCTCTCTTTCTCTTTCTCTCTCCCTCTCTTCCTTCTCCTCTCTCTCTATAGTATATATAATTTTAACTAATTTTAACCTTATAGGCTTTAAAATAACATATATACACGTATTTTTGACTGATTTTGACTGATTTTGACTGATTTTGAC